CATTTTGCTCGTTTGTAATCGTACTTCCGACTAAACTTTGCTTTGATTTCCGTACGACGCTTAATGAAGTTAGTAGTCCAGTTCTTCCCAACAGGGCTCTCGCCTCGTTCGGAGAGTAGAAGGTCTGCCATTTCTTGCACAGCTTGTAGCCGGGGTGGAAATCCACGTGAATCTAGGTCGAGGATATACTGAACAAGAGCTGACTCTTCGTACGGAGTCAATTTTCGTGAGTTAGGAGTAGAGTCGCGTCGGGAAGCCATTCCTTTAATCCGATCGAAGAGTGTTGAAGAAGGCACGTCATATAATATAGCTGCTGCTCGAACACTCTTAATTTAGTGAAGTTTAATTGCTTGGATAGCTGATAGTATTCTATCCTCCTGTTTAGAGGATTGGGCTTGCGTTGGTTGTGGCATTGTAAATTACAGATGGGTTGACGCGTTTTGGTGTTTTGGTGTCCGACCCGCTTGTGTGTCCGACTCGCTTGTGAAATACGTTATAGACATGGGTGAGTTGAATTATAATTAAGTAATTTGCGAGATCGGAAGAAAATAGCAACGATCGCATTTATCGTCTTAAATATATAACTTCTCAGGCAAAAGGTCTAAATAAGTAACTTCAATCAGCAAGTCAAACAAGTTCCTATGGATCTAAATATCTACAACCCCTTCCAAGAAAATCCCTGTTCAAGATGAATTTGCGCGACCAAATCGCCAACATGAATCTTAAATTCACCCGCCTCCGCACGCCAGCACCTGGTCTCTTCATCCCAGTAGCTAAAGGCGTACTTGTCTTTGATGAAAAATCGGATAGTCTCCGATGTTTGCGGCTCGAGATGCGTTTTTTCGAAGGCCTTTAGTTCTCGGGATGGCCGAGTGACAGATGAGGCGACGTCCTCGACATATACTTGCACAACCTCTGCACCACTGACTGGTCCAGTGTTGGATAATTCTACCTCCACTATGATTTCGTTGTCTCCAACAGAGGCGGCCGTGTTGGACCTTGTAACTTTGAGAGATGAAAGCTCAAACGACGTGTATGATAATCCGAACCCGAAGGCAAATTGAGGCGAATTAACCCAATTATGTCGGTATCCCAATCCTATTCCTTCACCACACGAAATCTCCCATCCCCGGGCCGTTTCTGTGGCTGGGAAAGATTGATATGATGGTGTATCCTCCAACTTCTTAGGCCAAGTCACAGCAAGCTTACCACTGGGGTTCACCTTGCCGTACAGAATCTCAGCAAGAGCATTGCCTCCTTCTTGGCCCAAGAAATGAGCACAGATAATCGCGTCAACATCGTCTATAAAGTCTCGTACATCGATTGGATTTCCGCAATGAAGAATAAGCACGCTTCTTCGACTCGCAGCTGCCACCTTTTTAATCATCTTGACTTGGTTGGCAGGTAGAGTGATTTCAGGCAAATCGAAACCCTCGGATTCGTACTCTGAATTGCGTCCAGCAAATATGATAGTGGCATCTGCGTGCTCTGCTACGGCGACAGCTTCGGAGATTGCGTTACAATCAGAATACTCCTCTATATAGCAGAGTTTGGCTCCATGGACTAACGGCTCGCCTGTCATTGATGCTGGTTTATGCGGCTGGACTACCAACTTCAGGAAGTATGGCATGCCTGCCTTCATTTCGACCTGGCAGCGAACTTCAAGGCGTTCAGGCTTGAAGAGGAAATCCTCAACTGTGATTCCAGAAACTGTCTCGGATAGAACCTAGAGTGAATGTTAGCTAAGTAGACAGGGATATACGTGGCTATACTTACTTCTTTCCCATTGACAGTGAGAAGGAAAGAGCCAGTAGCGTGAATTCCTATGGTATGTAGCCCAGTAGTAGTGGGAATGAGAGTAGTAGACATCTCATAATGAAATCCTTCTGCCTTTAGGCCTGGTTTGATTCGACCAAGCATGACAACCTGAGGAATTTTTTGAAACTCTTCGGTAATTGGCATCTCAATCCTGTCGTTGAAATAGCTCACATCCACGCCATGTTCGCCATTTCGTGCGAATATCTGGTCTTCAGCACAGATTGGAATAGTAGCATGTACCTTTACACCTTCGGAACCTGTCACAAATTCCGGGTGTGAATGTAGTGCTTTAATCGAATCAATCGGCCGCTGGAGATACTGAGGCGGCGCGGATGCACTACCACCTCCAGATATTGGCGGAGTAGTTGCAGCGGACCCGATCACAGCTAACTTCTGAGTTATCTGTAGAGGCAACACTGACTTCCTATTCTGCAACAGAACGATGCCTTCTGTTCCAATCTCCTTGGCCAAACAGTTCCCTGATTCATCATTGAGAGATTTTTCAGGTTCTGTCGAGTGGCTTTCAGCAGTTCGTTCGATCAGGCGCAAGACGTTGGCAAGTCGCTGGTCCACTAGTTTTTCATCCACTGTTCCATTCTGAACATTTTTAACCAGTGATGCACCCCGAAAGACGGATGGGCCTGGCATTTCCAAATCTAGACCTGCTTTAAGCGCTGCAGTCTCAGAGTTGGTTCCGTACCAATCTGACATGACACAGCCTTTATAGCCCCAGTCGCCTCGAAGGACATCCTGTATCAATGGGATATTTTCGCTACAATATACGCCATCAACTTTGTTGTATCTTGTCAAAAATTAGCAAACTTCTTTAGACCAGATTCAGAGGAGTCTTACGCAGTCATTAGGGCCATAGGATCAGAGTTGCGAAGCATGACTTGGAAAGCTGCCAGGTAGATCTCTCTCATCGTTCTCCCGTCTAAAGATTCGGTAACATCTTGTATCCTCCTCTTTGTCTCACACTCGTTTCCCACGAAATGCTTTGGGCACGCGCCAACTCCTTCCGATTGAATGGCATTCACCAGTGCCGCACCAAGCTCTCCCGTAAGTAATGGATCTTCGCTGAAAAATTCGAAATTTCGGCCTCCACGAGGATCGCGATGCATATTCATGGAAGGCCCTAGAATTACTTGAGCGGATTTGGACTTTGCCTGCGCTGCCAGCTTTTTCCCCATGCGAGTAAGCAGTTCCCGGTTCCATGTTGCCCCTAAACAAGCTGTGCTCGGGAAGCAGAGTGTTGAAGTTCCATTGTGAAGATCGCTGCCTTTGACGCCATTGACAGTATCGACTAGCTATGAGAGCACAATTGTTAGCGGATATCATGTTGTAAGGCTTCTGTATATTTGACCAACCTTCAATGGAGGAATACCGAGACGAGCAACACCTGCGGTGCTGACGAAATTTCTGCCAGATAACAGTTGGACTTTTTCTTCTATCGTAAGCTGCTTTATGATCGGGTCTGATGGTGATATCTCGGTTGTTACTTGTGTTACTTGTCCGTGTGTTGCAGGGGTCGTTGCATGTTTCGAAAGGTCTGTAGCCAAAGCTACTGGTATGTCAACAGTGGCCATTGCACAGGGTTTGAGAAAGAGAAAGACTGCGAAACGTATAGCGTGGTAAATAAACCAACAGAAAGAATGGTAATGAAATAAGATAGATAGTAAGAGTAACGCAAAGATACGAGGCTTATAGCTTATAACAGAAAGAAATATCAGCGCCAATATCTACAATACCACATTCATTTGGGCCTAGCCCAGGAGCTCGTAAACGTGGCCGATGAGACTAGTGTCAGTTTCGGCATCCACACTTGTGCATATCCACAGCTGTCCACTTCAGAGTTCCGGGAACGGGGAAGTTGACTGTCGTGTCACGTAGAATTTGGTTCCTATTGTCCACTTCAACGAACTCCAACACAAGCCGTGGCACAAATTGGCTCCAAAAGCTGAGATCCGCCAAGACATGTCCACTTTCACACCCCAATACTCCACATTGCGCTAGTCCCCACAATCGACACCCCCACAGTTTCCCACATCACCCACATACCACAGTCCACATCCCAAAGTAACTCTACACCCCACAGTCCAGACCCAACGTACATCGTTAGATTTCACCTACCTCAAGCACAGTCCCCTCGTCGATATTGGTCCACTACCGACATCATTTGCCGACGCCTTTTACCTGAACTCTGGGAACAACACTTAAGGCTAGTCCTGCAAGGCGGCAGCATGGCATCGCGCCCGGGAGCGTGGAGAAACATCCTTCGGCGACAGCCATCATCGCCAAGAAAAACTTCCACCATTTCACACATTTCTCTGCCATTGGAAATTCCTCTCGAGGAAGAAACTCTACCTTACTATGAACCTGAGCATTACTACCCGGTCCATATTGGAGAGGTATACGAGTCCCGGTATCAAATCACGGGAAAACTTGGTTATGGCGCGTATTCAACAAGTTGGCTATGCCGAGATCTCCAGTGCGTGGCTCCGTTGTGTGCAACTCCTATGACCCCCCATAACAAGTCTCTCGTAGGAATAAACATTATAGAGTATTGAAGGTCTCCACATCTCGCCAAGATTTCCCACTGCAACAGATCGAGAGCCGAAAATTTACGGCCATATCGCGAAAATTAATTATACCCATCCGGGGCAGGCTCTGATCCGCGAGTTTTATGATTCGTTCGATCTCCAAGGACCTGATGGTAGGCATCGTTGTCTGGTGATGCAGCCGATGCATATGTCTCTTATTGAGATGATGGGGCTGAACCCGCGGCCATTTGATCTACCACTCTTCAAAATGACAGTCACACGCCTTTTATTAGCCCTCGATTTCTTGTATTCTGAAGCCGGATTAATTCATGCTGGTACTACGCATCAGATTTGTCTTATACATAGATGTAATGCTGACTGAACTAAACCTGAAAACTGATAACGTAATGCTCAGCATCGAAGATGATGGCATGTTGGCGGACTTCGTGAAAGCAGAAGTCGACAGCCCCACCCCCAGGAAGCAGATTGATGAGTCGCGCATTATCTATAAGAGCCGAAAATTTGGGCGACCTGATAAAGCAAAAGGCTACGGGCTCCCATCTCTGTGTGACCTTGGCGAATCACGAATAGGAGCGACGCAAGAGTCCAACCCGTTTGTGCAGCCTCATATTTATCGAGCGCCGGAGGTTATGTTTGACATGCCCTGGGGAAGTGCTGCAGACATTTGGAATGTGGCTGGACTAGTGAGTACGGCATTTTACAACGGCCCATTGCCTTCCTGACAACTGAGTAGATTTGGGACTTGTTTGAAGTCGAGCACCTGTTTGGAGACGTATTCGACGCGAGAGGCGGCCATGATCCGTTCAAGCATTTTGCGCTTATAGTCGCTTTGATTGGAGAACCGCCGAGCGAATTTGTCAAACGCAGTGAAACGACGGGGCAGTGTTTTGATACTAATGGTAAGAGTCCTGCCCCCACTTGAAGTTTGTTGGTCTAACCTGACGCAAACGTACGTAACTGGATTGCCCATGAAAATGAAGTCATACCAACGACCTCTTTAGATAGTTTGGAGAGAAGACTCTCTGGACAAGAAAAAACGGCTATTCATTCAGTTTATGGTGTCAATGCTCAAGTGGATGCCAGAAGAACGCAAGACTGCAGGGCAGCTACTTGAAGATCCATGGTTGCTGTAATATTTCGACCGAGTACTTCTATGCCTAGCCAACTTGAGGGGAATGTATGGCAAGGCAAAGCCGGGCCATTTCAGAGACCTGGCACACATAGCCCTAGTTGGAAAGCAACCAAGGTCAGTAGAGTTCCCTCCCCAACTATCTACTGTTCTTGATCTAATTGATTTATTGCAGGACCAAGCCGCGATGTAAGAAACAGAGCCTTAGAAAGCCTACATGGGCCCAATAGCTTTCGTAAGGCGAATACGAGAAGAGGGTAGGATCGAGGCGTCTTTAAGGGGATGACAATCTTCAGGCACCCAAGCCACCATAATCCCAGCCAAAACACGGGTGTAGAATGTAATTACTATAGCACAGCATAGGGAATCTGTGCAGAAACCATGTACAATCCGTTCACGCTTACTGCAATGCTGTCGCCACGTTCCCTCTCGGCCCACGCCTTCGGGCGTCGTCCGGGCCTCCAGTCATTCTGAAGTCCACTTGAGACAGACCGCACCCTTATGATCGGTCCACCCACCAAATTAGACGTCGGTTTACCAGTTGCAAGCGACCTCGTTGACGGGCCAGTACAAGTCTGTCTCTCTGGCAAACCCACATGCACCCCAGATCGTTCCAGTGTCAGCATAGCAAGTCTTATGGTTGAGATCCTTCCAAATACGATGAGACCTCCTATTTGCCTTGTCGACACAGATGCTCTGCTGCCGTCCGCATGACGTGAAGTCGGCACACCCATCTTAGTTAGACGTGGTAGAGACGCGTTATCCGCAGTCGTTGACGCGGATCTTGTAGATGAACCATGCGAGGTTGTAGTCCATGCTCTCGTCCTGCTCGAACTACATCATGAAGTCAAAGCTAGCATTGTTATCAGGGCAGGCGCCCTGGCTGCAACCACTTCTCTCAGAGATCACGTTCACATCGCTGGCGTCGATGATGACGCTTACACTTACAGGGTCATCGAGGGGCACTACCGTGACGACTCCACCCAAGGCGAGCATTGCCACAAGGGAATTCTTTAAAGTGAACATGGTTGAAAAACTGCCTTCGAATTTTCGTGGCAGTTGGGCGAGTCAATGCAAAGATGGTGTCGAGAGGGTTCCTGATCTCCAGCCCAACAAACATAATATGAGAGATAAGAGAGTTTTTATACCACTTGAATCCGGCCTGTCAGCCAAAGGACCCCGCTATCAATATTATGCTCAGAGATCGGGGTTATAGTTTGTCTTAGCACCCGCATTCTAAAAATCTAAAGGCACATCCCTGGCCTACCTCTGATTGGGACTTTGGATAAATACCGTTCTTGTAGGATCGCCATCCCGACTATCAACTTGCGTCGTGTTTCTGTAGGAGCCAAATCCTTACAAACAACGTTCCATGCTAGCCCTTTCCATTCGTCACAGCGCCCAGTTCCATGAGCTTGAAAACCGCCAGCGCCCAACGCGGATGCACATATCCTACCATCGCATTTGCGCGCGCATATCTAGTTTCCAGTTTGGTGAAGCGTGCTGCCATAGTTTATAGTCAATAGTGCACCAGCAGCGTCTCATCTGTCATAAGGCCAAGACGGGGAATCAGTTGAGAGGGCCCAGGCAGGCTTATGCACATAGTTCAGGGATGATAGGTACCAAGCCGCGGGTGACAAGTTAAGCTTAGCTTAGTACTCCACCATTGGAATAGGTGAGGCAGGAACGGCGGGGAGACTGGGCAGAGAATCGGGGTTTTTAATGACCGCGCCTTGCCCTCTTTGCGATGGCAACTTGCCATTTGAGTGTTGGGCATGAAGCTGACTAAAACGCGACAATGGGCGGGCATTCTGGTGTGCAATCTTTGCGTGCGCTTTTTGTCGTCGCTTCAATTCAGATGTCCCTTCTTCCCTGTCCCAGTTACTTGGATACTAGCTCACCCATGGGCATCCAACGTCACGGTTTTCCCTCCCACCACTTCAAAGTTGATGATGGCATAGCGCGGCCTGACTCAAATGGGGCTGATGCCTGTGGCTGAAGACCTTGTTGTTAACTTGCCATGCCGTCCCACAGTTTGAAAATGTGACTGCGCACAACACAGGTAAGGGTCAGAAACAGCCCATGGTCCCCATTAAAGCTTTGAATATTTACAGCGAATATAGAGAAAGAGGGAGCCTTTAACTTCTCAGGGTTATAATTATCGAGTTTACTTTATTTTATTTTATGTTTTATCAACCAGCAACTTTGAAATCGAATATTTGCTATCAACTTCTCACTATGCACGGTCCCTTCGGGAAGTTTTAGGCGGCACAAGCAATTTGGTGGCCGATAACAGGCAGCAACCAAGCCAAGAAACGCCATATCTTACACCAGCCACCGCCATGAAAACTCAGCCCTGTGAGTTCAACCTCGCCCATTTCACATGCAAATCCAGCTTCACGATGATAAGAAGAGGAGAATTCGTCATGGGCAACCATTTTCTTAATTCCCCCATAACATCACAATACCCGATACAAAATGAGTTCCGACACAAACCATGGGGTAGTGGAAGAATCACAGGAGCCTTCGCCACCCGAGTATGAGCCTGGGACAGAACCGACACCGCCTGAATATGATCCTGGAACAGAACCTCTACCTGGATACTTCCGAGAAATTTCTGGCCTTGAGAGCATTATCTTGGCTCGAAGGAACAGTACTGCACCTTTAAGCCGCGACGATATAACGTGGGACTTGGAGACTTGGCGCCAATATATCCAGATTTACCCCCCCTCGACTAAACCCTGGGATGAGAGGGATGCAAAAGAAAATGCCTTTGTCGCATCAAGTCTGTTTATGGGAATTAATCTGGGAAAGGGCGATGTGATTGCGTTCTTGATCGAAAATGGCATTGTTACGCCGAATACGAAGCTGGCCGAAGAGACTCCATTACTACGTGCAGTGGCAAAAACAAATGTGCGGATAGTGAAGCAGCTCCTTGATTTGGGAGCAGAAAAAGATGCGCTAGGTTCTGTTGTAAGTTGAATTGTTGTTTTCCTTTAATAGGCTTGTCTAACACTTTTCAGTCCACATACTATGATAGTTTCCAGGGAACTGTACACGTCTTTCGTACCCCGCTCCAACATGCAGCATCATTGGGTCATCTTGTGCTTGTGAAACTCCTAATGGAAACTTACCATTGCGATGACTCCATCGTGGCCCCTGACGGTCAAACCGCCCTGCGCCTAGCAGCTGAGAATAGACATCACGAGGTCGTTGATTACCTACCAACACGGAGATCGGGAGGCTTCCGAAGATGGAAGCACGCACACCGGAAATCACTGCGGCGCGCTACAAAGGCTGTGGTAAGGATTCTTGACTTTCTGAAGTTCTTCTGTTGGTCTGTCCCCAAGTTCATTTTGTGGGACATCCCAAAGAATACGATTGTCAAGCCGATTATGAAGGGCTGTGCGTGGTGCTGGAAAAACCGAAAAGATTTCGGTCCATGGTGCAAGCACCAACTACTCAATCTACCGGGAAGGGTTGCACGATTTGGGAAGAGGGTTGGTAAGAGTTTGGCAAAAATCCCCGGGGATTGTTGGGACTTTGGAACCAAGACCCTGCCACGATGGATCAAAAAGTTTTCGATTTGGTTGTGGAAACTAGTCTCTGAAAGATTACCGAGGGCCTTTGGTATCCTAGCACGATGGATCTCAAGCATCATTACCTCTTCCGCGAAGGCAGTTTGGAATGTCATCTTGAAGATAGTCTCGCTCTTGTCAACAGTGGTGGAGGCCGTCATATCATTTCTTCGGAGGGTTACGCTGACTGATGTTTGGAATGGTTTTGTCGAGGTCCTAAAGGCGATATTTATGACCTTCCCGAAAATAATCCTATCTTGGATAAAAACCGGCGGCAAAACATCCTACAAAGTGTTGAAAGCACTGTTTGGGACGGCTGGTAAGATCCTCTGGTACTTTGTGTTCGCACTTGGCTGGGTAATTATTTTCATCCCAAGACAGCTATGGAAAATTATCAAAAGCTTTGGAGAAAGTTTCATGAAGGGATCTCATGAGTTAAGAGTTTGGTTAAATCCAAAGGTGAGGTGATAAGGGAATAGCGTATCGAATTGTTGGGGGGGGATCTTTTGTACATATACTGAGATGTGAGCCTACAATACCCATGATATATATATAATACAGTACATAAACACTTCGCGTTAAGCACGATGTTCTTGATGATCATTCAGCAAGAGTTAATGCGGGCACGGCCTTCCTTGTCTTCAAGCGATGCAGCGGAGTAACATTTCCACCGCGATTACTAGTTTCCTCAAATATAACCGCGAATAACTTCAGACTCCCACTACCAGTAAAAATATAATTATCTTCTCTACGCACGCCTCGTGTGCCCTAACTCGCACAATGCGTCTCATAAACACCACCACTCTCGGCATGGAAATATTTTTCGATGGCCACGAACCCCCCTACGCAGTCCTCTCCCATCGCTGGCAGGATGGGGAGGTCTCTCTCCAAGAAATGCAAAACGGCACAGCCGTTGAACGGCCTGGCTATGTGAAGATTGTGCAAGCATGCGCATTGGCAGCTCGCGACAGGCTAGGCTACGCCTGGGCGGATACGTGCTGCATCGACAAGACTAGTAGCGCTGAGCTCTCGGTGGCTATCAACTCTATGTACCGGTGGTACCGCGAGGCGGTGGTGTGCTATGCCTTTCTATCGGACGTCGAGGATGAAGATGTGGAGGCAGATGCGGGCGCGGCGGTGTTTGCAAATAGTGCGTGGTTCTCGCGGGGATGGACGCTGCAGGAGCTTCTAGCCCCGTCGAAGGTGGAATTCTACAATGTGTCGTGGCACAAGATCGGGACGAAGGCGACGCTGGCCACAGCCATTGTGGCCAAGACAGGAATTGACATGGATGCACTCAATGGTGGTGACCTGGCGGCGTTTAGTATTGCGCGGCGCATGTCCTGGGCCGCGGGGCGCGAGACGACGGTGCCAGAGGACACCGCGTACTGTCTGTTCGGGCTCTTCGGGGTCAACATGCCAATGCTATACGGCGAGGGCCAGCGAGCCTTCATCCGCCTACAAGAGGAGATAATGAAGCACTCCGCAGATCACTCGCTGTTTGCATGGAGTTCCAACGAACCCGGCGCACGGGGTCTGCTCGCTCGGTCCCCAGCCGACTTCGTGGGGTGCGCAGACATCGTCGTTACACGTGAGCGTTGGAACAAGACCCCGTACACTGTCACAAACCTGGGACTGTCGATCCAGCTCCCCATGCTGCCGTGGGCTATGGAGACATATCTCGCGGTGCTGGACTGCGAGCGTGCCGGAGTGCCGGACAGTCGCGTTGGGATTTTTCTGCGGCTTCTTCCACAAGCCGACCAGCACGCGCGTGTTGCACTTGAGGGAGACGATAGGTTTGTTTTCAGGGAGGAGCTGGCGGAGAAGTTGATGTATAGGAATGTATTTGTGCAGCAGCATCTGTGGGGAATGACCCTGGAACCGCAACGCTTTTATGGATTCCACCTCCGGAATTTCTCATCACCGATCCATACGGTGACAAAGACAGAGAGTGAGCAGGTATCGTTGTCGACAGTTGACCTGGCGACAACACAGGTTGCCTGGGATGATGAAAAGCGCTTGCTGGAACTTCCAGTTGGGAAGAACGGCACAGTGGGGATGATAACATGGGCCCGCGATGAGAAGAATTGGGAGGTGTTGAAGTTCGGATTCGATAATGAGTTTAACCCCGCACTACAATTAGGAGGGGATTATCGTAGTCCTAACAGACCATTTACCATGGATCCAAAGTCGGCCGAGGACTGGTTGGATCCGTCGTGGATGGATGGGCCAGCGCATAGTAAGTACCTGCATAAAGCGGATAGGTTGAGTGGCCTACATGAGGAAGTCTTTATTACTGAAAAACGCATTTCTATTGAGGAAGGTGAAATAGGGGAGACGGGGATGAGGGGGTGGGTAATTGATATATTGGATCATACGCCAAGATATCGCAGATATCAAGATCTCTGCGAGGGATGTGTCAATCTAAGCAAACCTGTGCGTAAATTCCGGATGTCAAGCTAGGCTTCAGTATCGGACAATCGGCATAGCTTATGTAAACACTCGAAGTGGCCGGGTGAGGTCTGCAAGGGGTTACTGGCCATATTGACACTGTTGTGCCTAGCCCCTTTTCATACCTTTAGGGAAGAATATGCTTATGTCTCGCTTGCGTCGCAACTTCGCAAGAGTGGGGTGGGGTAGCAGAAGGCGCAAAAGGGAAGCTCGAGAGAGAAAGAGCGAGAGTGAAGAGGGCAACAGGGAAAGAGTGGGGATAGGAAGGAGCGATGGAGATGGGACGATATGGAAGGAGCAACCGGAGGAGAGCAAGGGGGGAAAGAGCGAGGGATAGAGAGCGAGAAGAAAGGAGCAAACGGGCAAGGTTGAGGGGAGAGGGGGAAGGAGCGAAGGGGCGATCATATATATATGTTAATTGGATCAGACAACTTCACAAATCCCAATGTGCCAAAACACACGCATATATAGAATGATAGATATAGATCTAGGAGAGGTTGGCATCGCATTTATATTTAAGAGATAAGTTCAGTTCCAATCGCAAAACACCAAGTGAATAACAATGCCGGACTCGCTGCAAAATCCCACTCAGCACTTTCTCAGACGCTTCCCCGCCTTCTGCTCTCGGTGTGGGCTTCTCCCATGGATTACTCCCATAGCTCATGTATCTTCTATGCACCAAACCATGGCTTTTAAATAACACATCACGAACCACTCAAGACCAATTCCGCATAAGGTAATTGTTGCCATGTTCTATGCTCTATGAGAAGTCTAGTTTAGAACCGGATATATCACCACCGAAAACCGGGCGCCGTTTCTTGTTGCATCTCTAGCGAAGAATTCCACCTCTGAAAGATCAGCGACGCGTCACGAGCGCGGGGGGGAGTAGAAACGAAAGATCGCTGACGAAGAAACCATATCCATTTCAGGTAGATTTCTTGTTCAAGATGCTCAGTCCCTCTCTGATCTCCTTCAGCTCGGCCATGCGGGCCTTCTCTCCTCCATGCAGCACGCGCAGGTGCTCCTTCTTCAGCTCCTTGAAGTCGTCATCGAGCTGCTGGTGCCACGGGTACAGGACGAAGATCTGGAAGCACAGCGCCGAGGTGCCAATGGCGAAATTGGTGAGTGAGAAGCCACGTGTGATCATCATCTTTGCGGCGGCTCAGGCAAACATGGAATGGGAGTTCACGCAGCCGCTTTGGAGGGCGGATGGGTTGTTGGCGGGGAGGTCAGGTGCGGGGTCTCTTTTTCGTGGCGGTGAGCAACGTGTAAAATCCCTCCTTCACAGAAGATTAGATGTGATAGGAGCCTGCTAAATGATGAGTATGAATAGGTTGGGCTACGTTCAATAGGCAAGTCTTACTGGAGTGGAGAGTAAGTGGCAAGGTAGAGGTAAGAGTGAACGTTTACAGGTGAAAATCGTGATCTCGGCTGTCGTCGGTATAGATATAGTGTGAGTCACGTGACCCGCCGCATTGACGACCAAGGAAGTGGCAAATCCAAGAGTTTGCCGCGCGATTGATTTATGTTATAAACTTTATACCAAGGCTTCGGAGGCGCCTCTCAGGCCAGTTTCTGTCATAAAGACTTGAACGTTAAGAGATCATGGCAGCTTGAAGTAAAATATCCACTGTGGCGTTACAGTGGGATACGGGTGTAACTGTCACGTGCCACTCTGTATTGAATGGAATTGGGCATTGTGTCGGCTCCGCTAAGAGTTTATAACTTATTCCTTGTTCTTTGCGAATGCAGTGAGGTAGAATCAGGGTTTAGTGATAGTGTGTGGATTACACGTGGCCGGTGAGCCGGATCAACGGTGGCAAGAGGCGGCCTACCTCCCCCATCCGGCGCCGTTTTCAACAGCAGTTAATGTACTTGCATACCACTCAGGGTATTATAAACCAACTCTTATCAACAAAAAGCAAGAGATAGAGCTAGTCTGTTTGTGCTATTGGGCCTTCTCACGATGCCCCATCTTCTCATATGGAAAAATTTAAGGGCCAAATCTCAATCTCACCCTCCTCGGAGCGGATGAGAAACCGAGTCCTATTTTCTATATTCCGCCAGTCCATATCCCTTTCCGCCCGTTAAAGGTGAGAAGGGCTTACTGGCAATTTACCCGCGGATCCTAACTACTCGAACATAGGCACAGGGGGACAGCATTTTAATTTTGAGATAACGTAACGTATGGGGAAGTCGGACATATGGGGTAGTCGGACAAAAAGTTTATTCTACTCTAGTTGACCTAGTCCTACGTGCCACACACTCCTCCAATTCCAATTCTGAGTCGCTTGAATCATTCTCTACCTCTTCCTCTTCAACTTCCTCGTCTACTTCTTCAATTAGTCGTTTGCGTGGCCTTCCACGTGGTCTTTTCTCGGTTGACTTCAACTCTGCCTCCCGGACAATTTTCAACACTTCCTCAGTACTGAATACAAATTCGCCTTGCAGCTTAATTCTCTTGCCCGTAGTTCTCTTCTTTTGCGTCTCAAGTATCTCTTTGTACTCTTTCAGCTCCTTCCGAAGGATGCTGAGTTCAGCATTCTGACTTTCAACCAGCCTAGTCATTCTCTTAGCATAGCGTCGAGTTGGTGAAGCAGGAGAGTCACAAGTTGCTATACTTGAATTAAATACTGAGTTTGCATGCCTTAGTTCAGTTCCATCTGGAGGAGAACTTCGGAGTATTGAGAGATCCAGAGTAGTGACATTGGTTGAGTTTTGAGGAGTGCGAGGTGGTTTAGTTGGTTGAAGTGGGAGGTTAGCCAGAACTCTTTCTGGGAGAAAGGGTATTAAACCCGCCGCCCTCCACCCACTTCTGATGTTTTGGGGTATAAGACCCTTCTCTCGAATACACTGGAAGATTTCAACCCAGTGGTGGCGCTGAATTCGCTTTATTCCTGCTCGAGTATACCGATCTACTTCCTGCGCATGAAATCGCTTAAGAGGTCCATATACCCCGACATCAAGTGGTTGGAGTAGATGAGAGCAATGAGGCGGTAGAATAAGAAGGTCGATGTCATTCTCAATGCACAGTGCAATCATATCGCCAGTAATGTGACTAGAATGGCCATCCATAATCAACATTCGCGGATGATTTCCAGACTTTTTGCGTGACTCAGGCTCAAATACCTTCCGTAACCACTCAAATCCATGACTGTTTGAAGTCCAGCCGCTATTACTTGTTGAGAAGTGCCAGTTTGTAGGCGTGTCCTTTGGAATCCAACTTGAATTAGTATTCTTAGCCTTAAATATAATCATAGGTGGTAAAGCACCACCATCTGCATTAATGCATTCAAGTACAGTTATCCACTCCTGCTTCCCAGCTGTGACCTTCCAATTAGATTTCAAGGTAGAATCAACAATTATACGCGTGGATTGAGTCTCTCCAACTGCAAAACCTGTCTCGTCCATATTGTAGATGTTGCATGGCTTGTACTTTCGCTCTTCAATTCGTGCTTTAAACGCGTTAAACCAAGCTGAAATCTTTATAGGAGTGGCCTCTTTATGTCGTGCAGACTCTAGTTGTCTTGAGTAGACTCCTTTAAAGTTCGGATGTCGTTTTAAGAATCTATAGATCCATTCATGGCCTATGGGGGTAGGATTGGTCCGAAGGGTAGTTTGAGAAGACGCGATTTGGACGCGTCGTGCGCGAACTTCTTCAGCCATTTCCTTGATCAACATAGGAGTTGCAGGAAAACCCGTAGCAGTAAGACGCGTAATCCATCGTGCCAGTGTATTTTCTTCCGCGTTTGAGAGAGCTTGTTCAATTTCGTGAGCTACAGCGCGCGTTTTCTTCCTAGACATCCTATCAGCAAGAGTTGACTTAGGAACTTCAAAGTGGTCTGCAGCAAGTCTGATTGATTTGAATTCCTTCAATTGGAGCGCAATAATAGCCTTTTGGATGTTGTCTTCAGTTTGAGCACGACTATATGGTTGTTGGATGTTCATGGTGGAAGATATGAAGGTTCTAAGTTAGTGGTGGGGCATTTTTGTCCGACTACCCCATATGTCCGACTTCCCCATACGTTACGTTATGGATATATTTTATTATTTATTTTATTATTTACTCTACTTTTTATTCTACATGTATTTATGCGGCGGCGGGGACACAGGTCCTAAATGTAATAGTAGCGGCCCAGAGAAATAGGGACGAGGAGACAGAGTACCTTTGTGTGTATAATTGAGAGGTACCGGAGGAGGGAAAGGAATGGACGCTTTAAGTGAGAGGGTGACGACACAGACATAGGGCGATACGAGCATAAAGTATGAGTATATGAGAGTATATGCTTTGGTTTATAACTTAATTTTGTTCTGTTCTTGTTCAATCTTCTCGACATAATACTCTGTGATCATTAGCAATTTCCTAGGACAACACCAAATCCTATAACGTGAGTTTCTTACTTCCAGCACCCCACCTTAAGCCAATATACCCCAGTAAATCTTTTAGTGGCTGTATCCGCAGCTTTAGGTTGCTATCTCTCGAAACCTTTGCATCGTGGAGACAGATCATGGCGGCTTTATATACGCAATGCGTAATAAAAACAGGCAGAGCCGCCAATCCCGCCGAGTCAGTTTTCACACCCCTTGCACCATGCGCGATCTCATGCGTCAGGGACGTCAAAATATTAAGTGACGCCTGGACACAGTACTCATTGTCTTGTGGCTCAACCTTAGATCCAAATTCTAGGACTTCCAGCATAGCGCTAGATTTTAGTTAGTTCATATTCTCTGTATGCGTACATACTCCTTGGATTTACCTTCTGCCTATAGCCAGGGAGCTATCCGAAAGAGTTTTCAGGGCGTTATCTTCACCCTCGAAGGATGCTAGAAACGAGGTTAACGAGTGTAGGATCTGCATTGCCTCGACTCTCTTGAACTCCTGTTGCGATGTACGCTCGTGGATGTGAGAGAGTACTTGATCTAATAGGAGTGATGAGTAGGTCATCTTGGTGAATGGGTTCATCTGCGTTAAATCTTCAGAGCTCTGATATCTAGGTTAGTTATTTGTCTGGGATATATGGATGGCTTATATCACCTACATTATTGCCGCACATCCCTTCTATCAATCGCCCCAGGGATGCAGTATGTCTGGCGTTACTCTCGAGGGATGCATATCTGTAAAATGCTATCCTTAGTTTCAACACTACCTAATGAGTATCGCGATGGGTCCCGACCTATTAGTGATAACAATACCCCGCCAGGTCTGCCTTGCCTCCTCAGCTATCCGGGGATCCGGAAAAGCTTTGGATAAATCCGCCGACGACACAGCACTTGCCCCCAGAGCGACCGCCGCCTGGATATTAGCCCCAGCCGATATATACGCTGCTGGGTACATCGCATGTCCGATTTCGAAGGTCGTCAGCAGTAACCGACTCTGTAGCATCGCTAGAGTGTTCGTCCCCATCGCCTCGAGCATACCTACCCAGCCCTTAATTAGAATATACAAACCTCGTGTCTCCAATGTCATCTCGCCACCCACTGGCATCGCGCAGACGAGGAATATACAAAGAGTCAAGAGACTAAAGTCCGCTGGCGCGGGCTCAATTCGGAATCTCGACAGCCGCGCATAATACCCCCCCTCCTCCACGACCGGCATCCACGTATTCACCGTCCCAAAAAACACCCCCGCTGCCTCCCGTAACCTCAATCCATCCCCCACAACCGAGAATACCTGTGCCTCAAGCGTAAACCGTAAATTAGATGACGTCAAGTCCAACAACCCCGGCATGGGGAGCAAACGCGGTGTCTCCGGATGCGCCGGATGAGAACAGGGTTTATTTAACCTTAATTTATCAGCAAACACTAAACAGACCCCACCCCCCTAAAAAAACTAGCGGCGTACCGTTGACACAGGGAACAGGTGGGGAAGAGTTTATCGCATTTCCGCTTCTGGATTCTGCAGCGGAGGCAGGATTGGGTGGCGTGGGGGGGCATGATTGTTGCTGTTACTGGGATGCGGGTGCGGGTGCGGGTGCGGAGGGGAATGGTTCTTATAAATCTTGACGCTGAATTGGGTATTAGAAATGCAAATGTAGGGGTGCTGCCTAATTTAGTTTAGCCTCCGCGTCCGCATCCGCACCCGCATTGGCTTAGAAATGTGAGAATTTATCCATGGTTGTTGCGGAGATGGGGAGTTTGGATATGGGTTGCGCGGGAATTGTGATTGTGCGACGATGAAAATATACCTATATAAAGGCCGCTGAAGGCTGTTAAAATCTCATCCTCATCCTGTTTGAAATAACCCTACACGTCAAATAACCATCTCAACCATGACCGCAATCCGCAACATCGCTATCGCCGGAGTAACTCTCCCCATCCTCCTCCATAACGCATACTAACACCCCCCAGGCCTCAGGCGACCTCGGCTCCCCCATCCTCCACGCCCTCATCTCAAGCAACGTCTTCAACATAACCGTCCTCACGCGCGACTCCTCCAAGGCTCAATTCCCCCCCTCCACCCGCGTCATCCGCGTCGACTACACCTCCATCCCCTCCCTCACCGCCGCCCTCCACAACCAAGATGCCGTGATCTCCGCCCTAACCAGCTCAGCGATGGACACCCAAGACCTCCTCATCAAAGCCTCCATCGCCGCCGGCGTAAAGCGCTTCATACCCTCTGAATTCTCCTCGAACATAGGTAATCCCAAGAGCGCCACATTGCCCGTCTACCAGTCGAAGATCGCGGTGCATGAGCTCCTAAAGCGGTTGGCGAGCGAGAATCCGGGATTCACGTATACGTTGATCCGGAATGGGCCGTTCTTGGATTGGTGTTTGATGAAGGGGGTTTTTGTCGATTTTAAGGGGACGACTACGCCGTTTTATGATGGCGGGGATAGGCGGTTTAGTACGACAACTTTGAATACCATTGGGCGCGCGGTGGTGGGTGTGCTGCTGCACCTCGATGAGACGAAAAACCGTGCAGTGTTTATTCATGACCTCGTCACGACGCAGAGGGAGATCCTTGGTATGGCGGAGAAGTTGGCGCCGGGGCGGACGTGGACGCCGGTGGATGTGAGTACTGCGGACATGGAGGCTGTTGCGCAGGGGAATTATGCGAAGGGTGTGGTGGATTTGGGGGCATCGATGGGGTTCTTGATGCGTGCGGTTTTTGGGGAGGGGTATGGAGGGGAGTTCGAGGAGGTGGATAATGAAATGCTTGGGATTCCGTTGAAGACTGATGATGAACTGGAGGGATTGGTTGGAGCGGCATTGGCTACGTTGGAAGCCTAACTGGAATGCTGCCTAACTTATTATTATTTTCCAATGCAATACTCGCGTTCTGCAACATATTGCGTCAATATACCACAAACCTCAATATGAACACCGCCAAAGCCATGGATCTTACCAAAGTCGAGATCTTGAACCAGGATATAGATTCCGATGGCAAGACACCCAGTTATTACAGAATGTTGGCGACAAAACGTCCTTCAAATACATCACCATCGACCCCGGGATCTACGAAGTCGACGACCTCTGTTTCCCCCCAATCCTGCTAGAACTTCTACCTCCCTTCCCTAATGGCATCTGGAACTGTGGTCGCATCTCCTAGAAAACGTTAGGAAGCCCACCCATTTTCGCCGAGACCACCCAAGAAACCCCCCCTTCCATCACCCCCCCCTGGCACCCACAGTCCTACTCCTACCTCTCCCTTGACATCGGGAAGCGTCTCAGAGCAAACGTCTACATAGCATCTTCCCCAGAATTCAAGAACCCCGTCATCGCCAAATTCGCGCGTTTCGAGTGGGAAATCGGCTACTACATCGCCGAGACACAGGCGTATTCATAGATAGAAGGCCACGGTATCGGGCCAGAGTTCTTGGGATACTTGACTGAAGAAGGGCGGGTTATAGGGTTCCTCATTGAATTTGTTGAAGGTCGGCATGCTACTATCTCGGATCTTCCTGCTTGTGAGGGTATTGTGAAGCGGTTGCATGGGTTGGGAGTTGTGCATGGGGATTTGAATAAGCATAATTTCTTGATTTCGGAAAAGGGTGCAGTGCTCATTGATTTTGAGACGGCGAAGAGGTCGGGGGATGGTGAGGGGATGGAGAGGGAGGTGAGGGGGTTGGGAGGGCAGTTGTTGGATGAGTCTGGGAATGGTGGGACGGTTGTGGAGGCTTGAGAGGGGAGGAGAGGAGTGATTGAGGGACTGATTCTCCGCCACTATACCCTATGAATGTACCAGACTGTAATGATAGACTTACAGTTTGAGCTGGTTGCTTGTGTTCTAAAGCTAAAAAAGGTCATTTATTGAGTAATCTGTGTATTGTTCTGCTTCTGTATGTAGCTGTCTGAAATTATGGTGAAGTGGTGTTAAGGTCATGTGACTATGTATAAAACAATCACGTGATACACAATGTTAATATTCCAAGTCACGTGGTTATTTTCTCGACGACCCTAATTATATACGCGGCCACCCTAATTATAGGGCTGCCGCGTAAGACATCTCAGCAGTCATGTAATTAACCATATGTATCTGAATGTCATTGAGTTGAGCACATTAGATGATCCAATCACCAACATCCTGTCTCTCCTTCCGCAAAGTATGTGAAAACCAACATCTCTCCAACCATTCGCACCTCCCCCACGGAGGCTTCTCCGTGTCCGTACGCCCCTCTCTCTCCAAGACAGACAAAAAAAAAGAGGGTGTAGTGACAATACGGTGACATATGTACGGTGGGTGACATTCAGCCGAAGGAACATTCTTTTCCCACGATACGGAGTCGCATTTGCGTCGTATCGCGTCCCTGGTTCCATGTCGGCCCGCATGCATCCATCGTTGTTTCCCTTTCCCTTTTTCCCCTTCGTCCACAGGAGCGGCACAGCACCACGCACACACCAACACACACCAACACACACAGACAGGAGAAGGGAAGGAAGCGCAAAGGTATTCTTGGATTTCTGGAAGTCGCCGTACCCAGCCACTAGACGCGACTGCGCCCACACCTCAGCCGTGTTAGGAGCTACTTACGGCGGGTCTGGCAAGGGTGTACGTGGAGTTTAGGAGGTGTGTTGGTAGGGTTCGTAGTTGTTAGCAGGGTTAGTAGTGTGCTAGTACTGCTAGTAGGGTTAGTGGTTGATTAGTAGCTTCGCACATACATCCACCCCTTGTGCGTTTGGGGATGGACTGAGATTAACCTGCATTTTGACAGGCCAGGGAGGGGGGCCAGGAGTAGGGGGGGAGAGTCAATTTTTGTCGGCGTTATTTTTCCCGCTCGCCGTGCGTGGTGGTGTGGTGTCCATACGGAGAGATACCGAGGTGTGTTGGGGAGGGTTTGTGGAGCGTACGTATGCTTCTTTCGTTTTGAGCGTATTCGCCTTTCTTCTCGTTCCCGCGTATAGCACGGGGTCGAGGACGGGGACGGAGACGGGGACGGGTGCGATCAGTCTCTGCGTATCCGTCGTATCGCTCATCGCACGCACATCGCACATCGCCCCTTGCGCGTATTGTGGATGATAATAATGACGCTCAAGGGTCGCTTTTCGTTTCAATCTGGTACAATAACGTACATAATAATAACTCTACCACACACTTCAGCCGTACCACACACACCACACACACACACAGATCCCTCCATCCATCCTTCCACTCCATCTAAACGATCAATATTTCCCGCCCGCCCCTACGGAACCTCCTTGGCCGCAGATCGCATCCGTATGCGCCTTCCGCGTATGGATCAAGATGGAGCAGGGCATGGAGCCGTTGATGGAGCAAGGGCGTCGTAACGTACGCGCTCCACGATCATCTGTCCACCATTGCCTACTCGGTGCCAAGGAACGGTGGCAGGTGAAACTCGCGCAGCTTCCTGATGGAGTAGGAGGATACGGCTGCCGTACTGCTGCCAATACAATACGCTTCGTAGAGTGTGCAGGCGCCAATATACGCCAATATACGCCAATAACCTGTACTTACTGCACGGTATTTGCGAATATCCACCGTACGACTTGCTCCCGTACACTTGCTTTCTTGCTTGCTCCCCTGCCCACTTTATTATTCCCGTGTCGACAAGGTCGAGACGTACATTTGTCTCGGCTTGACTCGAACTTGGTGTGGATGTGCGTGGATGTGGTGCGCAACACAGTTTTGCACAGCCGCCTGGAAAGAGAGCCTGAGGACACAAAACTCAACAAAATGGCCAAAACAGGGAAGTCAGAAGCCAGCCAGGTGGAGCGGAATTGAGGATATGGGTTTATATGGGTTGGTGGTTATAATCGGATACTTCTTTTCCCGCGCGCACTGTGCGCTGGAATACCCCGTATAGGCTGCAGCACGCACCCCTATAGCCTACAGCACACCGCGGAATCCGTCCTCCTCCTCCCTGACTTCTTCAAACTTCCAGACTCCTCGTAACTGGCTGAAATGCTACCCCGCAATCAACAGGAGTTAGGAAGGAAGGACCATACCATCCATGGCAGGACCGTTCCCAAGACGCGGACCACAGCTGGACCGACACCATCGCAATCAATCCATCCCCATCCCACATATTCCCATAAATATCCCACTGATTTCTACTGATCCTACCAGATCCCCAGACATACGTGGTGGGGTTGTCGCCACCCATAACATCATAGTAGGTCGATGGGTTTGATATGCGCCTCTTTTAACGCGTCACTGTGTTCCATGTTCCCATATATTTTTTGGCTATAGTGTTGTTATAGTGCTTGTCTGCGACTTCATGTGTCTCTGATCACCGTTGTTGGTGTGTTGTTGCCTGTGTAGGGACGCTGTAGAGTGGGTGTAGAATAGTGTCCTTATGGGCAAGTTTTGCACTTCACATCTCCCAGATCTTGTTGCCCCCATGCCCCCTATGCTAATCTTGGTTGAAACTAGAAAAGCCAGAACGTGGCTCGTCAGGTACCAGCCAATCCTATCTCATACCGTCGCAGGCCATCCCCTCCCCATCCCCCATGTATTTTCCCCTGCCACCCTGTACGTACTCTACGTTAGTTCTTCCCCTCCCATCTTCCCATCCCACGCCTGTCCCTGTAACTAAAAACTGTCCACTGTCGTGTACGTATAACTACTAGTTATGTGGGATGGTACATACTCTTTATACTGTTCACCACATACAATCTCATGTACCGTCCCACACCCTCCCTCTCATCAACCAGTCGTTTCGTCGCCTCGTAGATCCAGTCAATCTCTCGCGGCCACTAACTTCCTACCTAGCGTCCCTTAGCGCCCATTGGCAGTCCCCTACTAAACTAACATGTCACTAGTTTAGCAGAACTACTTGTCCACTCTATCTATCCTTCCACCCAAACTCATGTACCTTTACTACTCCAACTACCCCAACCTACCCTACTCGTCGTCGTCCTCCTACCTCCTCCACGATGCGGGTTGGCCGACGATGGGTTCGTTGATTGCCCCTCGCCCCTCTCTTCTGCCTCCATTTCCTCCTCCTTTCTCCTCTTTCTCCTCTCTCTCCTCTCTCCTCTCCCGCCTAATTTTGACTTTTCTTTTGACGTGCTAGCCATGGCCATGTTGTCCCTTCCCTTGTGCCTTTTGTCCCAAGGTACTGTAAGTACTTACTGGTCTGTTACGACTACGGTGGTGTGCTGCTCCATCTAGTTCTCATATTGCGATTCCCCTGTTCTTCTCCTCTTCCTCCTCTGCTACCTTGTGATCTACTACCTCCTACCTCACACCCTCTTTTTACTTTTTACCTTACCTCCTCCCCCCCCAAGTGTTACACATTCATTCCACCTTCCCTTCTTCTCAACACTCACTCAAACGGACTATACCTTTCACCTTCTTGTCTACAGTTGCATCCTACGTTTGCTGCTCTTGCTCTCGTCTTTCAACTCTTGCCCAATCCCCCGGGGCGCTCCTCCTTCTTTCACTCGCTTCGTGCGTTTGCTCCTTCCCCCCCCCCAAACCGCCACCAAGATGAGCCGCTCCCGCGTTCTCTCTCGCCGCCAGATCGAAGGCCTCATTGCGAACAATCAATCCATCGTCATCTTCGACAACAAGGTCCTGCGCCTGGACAAATGGCTCGAGAGGCATCCTGGAGGCAAGCTGCCGATTCAGCACATGGTGGGCAGAGATGCCACGGACGAGATCAAAATGTAAATTAAGGCGGACTCTCACTCACTCTTTCTCTCTTCGAACTATCAAGCTCCTCTCATGGTCCTTGCCGCATCAAGCACCTAGCCATTGAGTTGTTCCAACTCATCTGCCCTTGCCCCCCCTTCCAAACGAGAGAACAAAAACTAAACATATCGTGTCGATCTTTAGCTACCACTCTGCGGAAACCCTGCCGAGGATGGATAGCTTTCGAATTGGATACATAGACGGGCCATGGGTCAACTTTGAGCCCCCGATTTCGGGTGGTATCTTCCGCCCATACGAAGGGGAAGCGAATATGCGAAAATGCGCAAAGACGATCACACCCATACTCTGCCCCTCGAAGACGTCAGCTCTCCCTGGAACCGATGGGACCTGCAACAAGAAGGGCGCACCGCCTCCTTGCCCGGACGCAAAGCCACCGCTCAGCAACATTCAGGATAAATTGGACGTGAACCAGCTGGTTACTGGCACGTTGGACAAGTTCCCGAGAAGCTGCACGCAGGTTGAGTTCATGGACCTCGCTGAGCAGCTGGAGATCGACTCGGACATTAGCAGATTCCCATCTGTGGACCCGGCGACCCAGAGGACTATCATCAACAGGTACCGCCAGCTACACGATAAGGTTAAGGAGGACGGCCATTACGAGTGTCGCTTCTGGGAATATGGAAAGGAGTGTATCCGCTACGTCTCCATCTTCGCCCTCTCCATGACGGCGTTGAAGTACGAGTGGTATATGACATCCGCCATGCTTCTGGGTCTGTTTTGGCACCAGATCATGTTCACGGCGCATGACGCTGGACATTTGGCTATCACCCACAACTACATCGCTGATACTCTCATTGGAATCTTTATTGCGGATTTCTGCTGTGGGTTATCCATTGGATGGTGGAAGAGCAGCCACAATGTTCACCACTTGGTTCCCAACCACCCAGTAAGCATTTATTGAACCATAGATAAGACCCCCGCTAACCACATGTCTCAGGCCCACGACCCTGATATTCAGAACGTCCCCCTCTTCGCCAACTCCCCCATGTTCTTCCAGTCCCTCCGCTCCACCTACTACAACTTCGACTTCGCCTGGGACCGCGCGTGCGAGATCGCCATCAAGTTCCAGAAGTACACCTACTACCCCGTCATGGGCATCGCGCGCTTCAACCTCTACCTCCTCTCCTGGCTGCACCTGATCTCCCCGCGCTCCTCCAACAAGGGCACGGCAGCCTGGACCCGCCCCACCGAGATGCTCTTCATGGCCTGCTACTGGTACCTCTTCGGCTACCGCCTGCTCTGGCTCACGCTCCCCACCTGGACCATCCGCGTCGCCTTCGTCCTCGTGTCGCACATTATCACCATGCCTCTTCACGTGCAGATCACGCTCTCCCACTGGGGCATGTCGACCGCCGACCTCGGCGCCACCGAGTCCTTCGCCCAGAAGCAGCTGCGCACCACCATGGATGTCGACTGCCCCGCGTGGTTGGACTTCATCCACGGTGGCCTCCAGTTCCAGGCCGTGCACCACCTGTTCCCGCGCGTGCCCCGCCACAACCTGCGCAGGGTGCAGGCGCTGGTTCGCGAGTTCTGCAAGGATGTCGGGATTGAGTATACCATCTTCGGGTTCGTGGATGGGAATAAGGTCGTCCTCAGCAGGCTGGGCGATATTGCCAAGCAGGTTGAGATTATGGTCGCGTGCCAGAAGCATAATGCTGAGACGGGGGATATGAGCATCTAAAGCCGGTCGACGCATCGATCTGACTGCTCTGTTACGAATTTGTCTCCTTTAGCGTGTTTTTTTTATTGTTTTGACTACTTGCTTGGATTTTTTTTTTGGATGATGAAGAAACTACAGTACCATCTGGTTGGGCGCATACATATTTTTCATTTTTGTCATATTTCGGATCCATAACACTGCATTTTTTTATTGGCCGAGCGGATGGGGGCTGAGTCCTCGAGCTCGTGGCGAAGGGAGGGTAGGCGGTTTTTTGAAGGCCCTCCTCTCTCCCTTTTCTTTTCTTGAGATTTGCTCATACGATGGAGGATGGATGGGGAAATCGCATGGTGGTGGTGGATATACATGAGCGATGCAACTTATAGATGGGCGCGATAATAATAGACGGTGGACGGCTTCCGCTAGAGTAGCGGGGTTGTGAGGAAGTGAGAGGGATGAGAGGAGAATGGATTATTTGAGTCCATGTTGATAGTTTCTGTATGAGAGATTGCAGATTATGAGGGGACTATTATGATGTGAAATGAAAGATATATTCTCTTTTTTGTGTAAACTTTTGGGGGTTGAGGATGTGTTGGTTTGGGAGTGTTGGGGGTGTGGAATGTGTAGTGTGAAGTTTTGGTATGTGGTGATATGTATGGATGTGTCTCGCCTCGGATAGATGAGGGGAGAGACTTGTGGGGTGGGAAGAGCTGCGGAAAGGGGTTTGGAGGACGATGGGGCAGTGAGGCTGTGGGTGTAGGGGAATGTCAATTGCCCTGATCGAGTGGGGGTGTTGTGCGTAGGGTTCTGAAGTGAGAAATGTTTTTATGTGGGTTGAGGTGGGTTGGGGTGGTGCTACATGAGTATGAGAATACTATACTGGTTATACAACCTAATCTGATTTGAATAGAGATTTACATATGGGAAGGCTATGTTGATTGGGTAGGTGATGGGGATAGTAGGGGGAAATATGGGAAAGGCTCTAAAGTGCTATTGCTGGTGAGTTGAGTTAGCATGTTTTGCTCAAGGGCTTCTTGGAAAGGAAGGGAGCGAAGATTCATAAGGTGGTTTGGTATCGTTAAGCATGTAGAGACCGGATTATCCAACATTTTGTTGAGTTGAAGGGGGGGGAGGGGACTTCGATTCTTCCTGGGTATTTCTCGTTTCTTCCACGGCAGCAACAGGCAGACTTATCACAGGTTATACTTCGAAGCAATAACATACACGTTACCTCCGTGCAACAACATTAATCCTTCCCCACGCTTTCTTCATGAGAAGATAGCTCCCGCCATTAAGCTAGAGTCCAGTCCCCATCCTCACGCCTTTTTCATGAGAAGAGGCATCCCGCCATTGATCGATAATCGTACCTCCCTACAGCACAATAACGAGTTAGGAGAGGAGGCGGGTTCTACGGAATAGGGATGAGGTACCTCGTGGGACTCGTATAGATGACGCCGTCAAACCTGCCGCCGGGTTCGATCGGATACAGCGGCGGGTGGAAACGATCGCCTGAGCCGCGCTTATAGACGCGCGCCTTGACGCCATCTAGATAGCCCTCCTCCTCCTCTGGCGGTCCCACGCTAGGAGCTAGAGGCGTGCTGAGTGTGACTTTCGCTACTGGGCTGAGATGGGTTAGGATCCCCTCCAGCGCAGCGGCGTCGTGCTCGGTGATGCCGGTGAAGCCGTAGGATTGATCTGACTTAGGGTCGGCCATAGTCAACGACCTTGCAGATACCCAGATATTGAGATTCTGCAGGTTCTGGAACCTGGGAAGATGGAGCCAGTGGAAATCGTAGACGGAGTGCCGATGGGGGAGGTCAGGGAGGTCGTAGGCGGCGCAGAGGAGGGCGGAGGGGAAGTCGGGCATGAGGGCTAGCTCGAGGGAGCGGGCGTGCTTGAAGAAGGCGGGAGGGGTTATGCCTTGCTTGGACCGCTTCTTGATGGCGGGGTGGAGGGCGCAGTAGCCTAGGAAGGTTTGGATGGTTGTGAGGTCGGTGAGGATGAAGGTTGTGGATTCGTAGATGGATTTTAGGCATTCTTCTGATCTGATGCCAGGCAGGTGGGGTGAGTAAATCGAGTATAACAATGTTGGGGCTGGGAATGAGGGAGAAGCGGAGTAGGAGACGTACAGGAGCTTGCACGACAACAACATGGGGAGGTAAGGACTCCAAGAGGGCACAAGTTCCTTCCTCCCGCCCGTAGAGTGCGTCTTCCAGCACTTCACCCCCGCGGTTTGAAAGCCCCAATTCGCATCAATCCCATGCACCTCCGCCGCCCGCTCCCCACAAGCCCAGTGGTTCATCCACGGCGATTGTAGATGGCGAGTTAGCACCGACACCTCTGGATCCTTTCCCGGCCCAAAACCCCCCATATTATCGCCGAGACGGACGCCGAGACGGATTCTCAGCTCGTCGACGTCGCGCTGGAGATTGTCGGCGGCGGAGAAGTCGGTCGTGCATGGCCAGCTGCAGAAATGTCGGCCGGAGGAGTCGTTCCCGTGCCATATGATGTGTTGGCGGAGGCCGTGGGAGCGCCAGAGGGAGAGGTAGATGGCGTCGCGGAGTTCGGGGGGGAGGGTGAGGAGACGGGTGAGGAAGGGGGATTGGGTTTGGGGATTTATGGACATGCTGAGGGGCTATAAATGTCGGCGGGGATATATGATAGTGGGAATTTCGCTGGTGCCTACTCAGCTAGCTAAATATCGAGCCGCGATATCAAGTGTTGGACTTGGATTATGCTATACCTAAATCGGTGTGGAGCCTAGCGGCTGGGTGGCGCCTCCCGCCCCCACGATGGACCCTCTCAGGTACGTGATGGGAGGACCTCGGTCATAAGGGTTTTAACTTTGAGCGCGTTGCACGGCGACATTAGCTAGATAGGTATAATTTAGTAAAGAGAGAAAAGTTAGAGGGCGAATAGGGTGATCAAGAAAGCGATGCTCGGTCATCCTTTCGGAGATATCAATTCAAGTTTTCAAGCTCACTTTGTGGCCCCCGATGTCGATGTGGGTTCTGTTTTGTCGTTGCTATATTTAGAGACTTGGCTTTCATCCATGGTGCATCTTGGCGAGGATTATGATCCTCAATGATACAACTTCACAGTGAACTAGAGCACTCAGGTAGACTGAACTATACAGTCCTATGGTATGGCGGAAATGTGGTTAAGCTTTCTTAGAAATAATACCTTGTACTAAAGAGATTGGTAGGATTTGACTATTACGCCATTATGAATCCCAATTATTGCAAAGCAAGATATATAAGAACCCGAGATTGGCCTCTCAATATGGCTCCTCTCCAACGCAGTTTGAGCAGGCGCAACAACCAGTTGCCCAAACCCCAAGATGCGTCCTCACGGCCTGACCAGTTTGGCCAGCCTTGTTAGCTTGTCCTTATATTGCACTCAAGGTGTGACCCAAGAGTTGCCGCCTGGGCTTCCCCTCCAATATGCCAGTACAGCGCCAGGAGTCGCCGTGACCAACGGCACGAAGCTACGCATTCTACCCGTCGGCGACTCTATCACCGTGGGCTGGCTGGGCGATGACCATAATGGCTACAGAAAGCAGCTGCGGAGCGATCTGTCGGGTAAGCTGGCTCTGTTATAACTTACTACAAACTGCTTACTGACTTCGTTTGTGTGCCACAGCCGATAAAGTCGTATTTGCCGGCACCGAGCGGTACGGATCTATGGATGATCCATACTTTGTAAGTGCTGAAATAAGACTCCTGGCATCCGACTCTAGAAGCTAATGTGGCGATATTTCAGGCAGCATGGTCAGGCAAAACGATCAAGTATATGCATGACCACATCGACGCCTCTCTCGCCCAGAAACCTAATGTCATTCTCCTCCATGCTGGCACCAATGACATGAGCCCCGACGGATCCTGCCGCGGCCGCCGAGAGACTCGGGGCTCTGATCGACAAGATGATTCAAAAATGTCCCGACGCCACCATCCTGGTTGCCATGATCATTAGCACTACTCGGCCAGCACAGGCACCACAAACCGCCCAATTCCAAGCTCTCGTCCCTGGTGTTGTGCAAACCCGTTCGGCAGCCGGAAAACATGTCATCGCCGTTGACTTCACTAGGTTCCCAACGGCCCTGTTGCGCGATGGAATCCATCCCACGGACGGTGGCTACCGCACCATGGGCGACTGGTGGTACGACTTTATGACGCAGATTCCACCTAGCTGGATCTCGGTGCCAGAGGGACCGGACCCGGTGCGAGATATCAGCAGCAATGGCGGGCCTGACGAAAACATCCCGCCGCTCGACTGGGGAACCAGCCCTATCACGGTGAAGACGCCATCTGAGATCTTTGAGGCTGGTAAGACCGCCTCGTTGGAGTCTCGGAAAATATGTAAGGTGAACCCTCATTGGTACTCGACCGGCAAGCTGGCGTCGGGGAGGGGCGTGAATGGAGATTTCAAGTTTCGCAGTAAATGGGAATCGGTGGGTCAGGTTATGCCAGCGACTGGTTTGGATCCCAAATTTGCCCGGTATGAACGCAATGACTAAGTTGATGATGGAAGTAATCACTAATGTGTTGAATGTGTATAGGCTTCACGACATGGACGGAGATGGCAAAGCAGGTAAGGAAATAGCCCATTCGAAGCAGGTAATTCTAGATCAATGGCGCTGACTGTGAGGCGTAGACTACGTCTGGATCGACCCAGATACCGGTGCTATTCGCTGCTGGCTGAACAAGTACCCCAATGCGTGGGTAAAGGCTGGGAACGATGGCTTGCTCGCGGATGGCCGGGGCCCGTCCGATTCCATCTTTCTGGCTGTATGTTGTCTATATATTGGGCGAAGTTCTCGTGCGACTACAAGCTAACAATGGTACAGGACATGAATGGCGACGGACTGGATGACTACCTCGTCGTCAACCCCGACGACGGATCTGCCGACATCTACTGGAACCACGGCCCCGACGCCGGGTGGGCGCACGGCTGGAAGTTCGTGGAAGGCGGCCAGATCGCTTCCGGCGTGCCACATGCCAATTGGAAGACGCTCCGCCTGGCTGACATGAATGGTGATGGGCGGGCTGACTATCTCACTATCGGCGTTAGGGGATCCGCTGCGCTGTGGCTGAACCAGGGTTCTCTGGGGACAGATGTTAAGTGGCTCGGACAAGGGGGCATTACGGCGGGTAGTGGTGTTACTGATCTCGATACGATCTTCTTTGCAGATGTAAGTTTATGAGCTTCCGTCCTCGGTTCTACAAGTGCTAACAAGAAGATAGATCGATGGAGACGGACGGGATGGTGAGCTTTCCACGCCATCTTTCGGCGTTTTCTCCATTGGCGAAGAACAAGAACACTAATTCCCTTGTAGACTACCTTATTTTTGACGATGAGGCCGGGATTTCTGGTTATCTGAACATCATGACCCAGAAGAGCGGGTTGCCCCTTTTCGCCAAACAGGAAGGGAATCAACCCATAGCCGCCGGAATTAAAAACACGAAGAACTGGCGGGATATTAGAATTGCCGATGTTGACGGGTTCGTATAATTTTCATTTTTCATTGCCTTCCTTCAATACATCAACTTTGCTAATGTACGACTGCTCCTGCAGAGACGGAAAAGCAGATTACTCGTACATCGCAAGTGATGGATCCGTTCATCTGTGGCTGAACCGCGGATCAGCCGACACGAGTCGGGCTTCGGACAGCGTGGTGTTTGCTGATATTGATGGGGATACTGTAGGTGGACCTTATTTGCCCTCTCATTCTGATACCGCCTTGCTGAACATGATGCATGTAGATTGACGACTATGTGATTCTCGGCCACGACAGTGGATCTATCTCCGTTTAGTAAGTGTTTAGAGAGCACAATAAAGCCCGGTGCACGCTGACTCTCGTACCAGTCTAAACAAAGGCCCGGATGAGGGCATGGGTTGGAAGTTTGAAGCCCTGAATGGAGGTGAACCCATCGCCTCTGGTCGCGCCCCAGCGAGCCAGATTATATTTGCCGACATCAACAGGTAGGTGCCACTTAAAGCTCCCTAGAAGCCCGGAAAGTTGCCTACATAGATTTGCTAACTGACATTTGCAGGGACGATCTCGATGACTACTTGGTTCTCGACCCTGTAACCGGTGCCCTTAGGGTCTGGCTCAACGAAGGCAGAGATAGCGGGAGCGCGACTGGGTGGCAATTCAAGGAGATGGGTCAAATCGCGAGCGGTCTCGGGCCTGGCGCTAGAGTGCGCATGGCGGATATTGACGGTGATGGGGTGCGTAGAGCCTATCCTGGTAGGCACGGAGTCGGTGCTGACATGGTGCGCTCTAGTATGCCGACTACATCTTCCTGAAGCCCAACGGTGGCACTACGATTTACCGCAACAATTGGAGCGAGGGTGGTCCAGGAAACTACTTTGTCCCGTTCCCCAAGATGGATGCATCCGGAATCAATGAGAATCCTGACGAGATTCAATTCGTCGATATTAACGGGTAAGTTGGCGCTTGATATCCCGGAATCCTTGGGCGTCTATAATGTTCGCGATTCGATCCTAATTTTTGGTGCAGGGACGAAAAGGCTGACTACGTCTGGACGCGAAAAATCGATGGCGTCGCCAAGGTATGGTATAACAACTACGAATTCAAAGAAGAAGGAGATGAAGACAAGTCCAGATATGGCTGGCGAGAGGGCGGCGTGTTTGCTAGTGGGGTCGGAGCCAACGGCGACAACGTGCGGTATGCGATCATGGACAAGTCGGGCCGCGCAAGCTACGTCGTTCTCGATCCCGCCACTGGCGCGCCGGCGGCGTGGCTAAACGGATGCGACGACAAGGGTGACTCGCCCCGTGGCCCGGTATCCTGTGAGGGTGGGGTTGCGAACAACCCATATCATCCTGCCGGCGACTCTTTTGGTTGGGCCGTGTACATCCCCGAGCCCATCGGGTTGACTCCGGCATACGAGGTCCAGGAATGCGGGAACCACTTCCTTAAGGTCCTTAAGAAACAAGGGGGGTGCGAGACGCCAACGTCGTGGGGATGTGACGCTTATGGTAGGGGCGTCCTTCTCCACTTCGATACCTCCATCTTCTGTGGCAAGGGCCAGGTTCAGAAGGCTGTCTGGGACTCGACCAACCCGCAGATCGGCGGCGAGTGCATCAACCACGGAAACTCACAAGATAAATGGTCCGGCAAAAGCCCCATTGAGATCCTCTTAGGGATATTAAGCCTGCTACCCGGCCCTAGTAAAGGGAAGTCTTAGGGTTGTCCTCGTAGATATCAAATGAGCATATAATAATATACCTATATTACTAAATCATCCGATTTTGCAATTCCCTTGGGTCTCGTCGTTTGCGGCAGATATAGCCGTAGGATACCTCGAGTAGGATATTTTCCATAAACAAGACAATATATAGTAAAAATGAACACAAAAATATAATATTGGGTATCCGCTCATAGTCATCCACCTCACTACTGATTCATTCATCTCTCAGTATCCAACACAATGAAAATTCCACTCCTCTCGACAGTTTTCCTTCCTACCTTGGTACGAACAAGGGTTCCAAATCATGCCCACCATCGAGTCGTCGTAGCGGCGTCTGGATCGGTCTCCGAAACTCTGCTTTGGCTTTCAGAACTTCCGGCCGGACCTTCAAAAAGTACCAAAACGCAAGCACTAAGCAAAATGGACCACTGTTGACGTTAGCAACCAGGTTTGCGGGGAAATGGAGTAGGGTCTATCGCACGTTAACAAGACCCTAATGCACGAAGCAGCCAACCCCTTTTTCAGCGCTTCGTTGCAGCTTCCTTTATCGGCGCATACTGAATTACTCATACTAATAGCCATGATAGCCAACCCATATGCACCAGTGCCCAGGGCCGAGACCCCGATGAGAGCGATGCTAAGGAAGTAGGCGAGATGCCAGTTCCAGAAGAGGAAGCAAAACGACAAGATGGCAAATAAAGTCATCTCTCCGAAGCCAGCAACAGTGGTTATTAATATGCCTGCGGGATCGACAGCAGACCCTGTTTCCGTCGAGCCGACATTAGACGACGCGTTCGCAGAGAGTCCGACAGTGAGGAAATCAGTGGTGAGTAGGATAGCGCTGATGTAACATATCATTCTCACGGCCGGCGCCCGTCGTGTTAGAATGCTTCCTAGGGTGTCTACTAAAAGGGTAGGTCCCTCATCAGTGACAAAGGCTGGATGCGGGCGCGCCCGATTGGTGGCTACCACATGGCCTCCGGACGGCCCCTGGTCTCCTGGGATGTCCACGGGCGCATAGGCGCCATCTAAATTGTTAGGTCGGGTACTCGTGCCCATCATGTCTGAAGAATCGCGAAATGGGAGTTCAAGCGCATGGTAAAGCTGAGCGATCAGGAACGAAGTCGCGATGGAGGCGAAGCCATGTGATGCCTTGGCGTCTGATACGCGACCATATTTTGTACCAAGCCATCCTTCTACGTTAATCACGCCCTCTTATGGCAGAAGCTTCTTGGAGAATGCTTATTGCCTGTTAGCTATACTTGGCTGTGCCCGTGCCTAACCAAGCTCAATGTTTAGGACCACCACAAGCATTTCTTGTCGCCTGTTGGCATCCTCGGAGTTGTTGCTCTCTCCACCAAATAATAGCGATGTTGTTTGTCGGCACGAGGCCAAGATAACGCTAGCGTATTAAGAAAGCCATCTACCTCCCCGTTTAGGCTAGCCTACTGGACTCGCCGTGACCGTTCAATCATACTTAATTAGGTCGTCTGCCCGAAGCCATCACCATCCGTACCAACCACAAGCCGCAGCCGGATAAGCAACAGCATTGTCGCCAGGGGGGAGCTGGGATATAATGTATGCGGAACGACCGTGCCAGGCTCAATTAAGAAGGTTTCTACATGTTTGTAGAGATCAGGGTCCAGTACCTGCCTGTCATGCTGCTTTGTGATGCATGACCATGCCTGGACGGCGCAAAATCCTTGATAATGACGGAATCTAGATTGGATCGACAAAGTAGGTAGGTAGGTAGGTGTGATACTATAAGTACTGCTCTCATAGCTCTCTTTTTCTGTACCCAGTTCCACAGCTTGCTTCTGTTGCAATTGCCAATCATGTTCTCCCTTCGTTATGCCGTTCAGGCTCTCCTGCTCTCGGCTTCGGCCGTAGTAGCTATTCAGCCATTCGAGCAATTGAGTGAGGTCCCGAGAGGATGGTCGCTAGTTGGTGCCGCAAAGGATGCGACGGCCATAAAACTCCGATTGTCATTAAAACAGCAGAATGTTGACAAGTTCTACGAGGAGATGCTTGCTGTCTCGACGCCAGACAATGCCAAGTATGGCAAGCATTACGAGGGTCTCGAGCTAAGAAGCTTGTTAGCTCCTACGGATGAGACATCCAATACTGTTATCAGTTGGCTATTGGATAATAACATTACCTCTATTGCTGATGACGGCGATTGGATCGTGCTCCAGACAAATGTTGGAGCCGCGAACAAGTTGCTGAACACCGAGTTCCAGTGGTTCAGCAATGCTGAGGAGAAGACCCCTGTCCTTCGAACCCTCCAATACTCGGTTCCGGATGAAATCGCTTCTCATATCAACTTTGTCCAGCCGACAACTCGATTTGGAGGCATTCAAAAGTTGAAGTCGACGGTTCAAATTGTTGAAGAGGGACAAGCTGTGTCTTCCCTGAAGTGGACTCCTTCTGTTTCTTCCAAGGTTGATCCTGCTTGCAATGTTTCAATTACACCAACATGCCTTCTCCAGCTTTACAATGTTCACTACAAGGGCGACCCAAAGAGTGGCAGCAGAGTTGGTTACGCTTCTTTCCTGGAAGAATACGCCAGATACTCTGACCTAGAGAAGTTCGAAGATGCATATGCCCCGTATGCTGCTGGACAGAACTTCACCGTCATTAAGTTTAATGGTGGCCTCGATGATCAAAACAGTACCGATGACAGCGGAGAGGCCAACCTCGACAACCAGTACGCACTTAGTCTTGGATTCCCCAACCCCGTCACTGAATTCAGTGTTGGCGGGCGTGGGCTTCTCATTCCAGATGGAGACTCCCCAACCCCGAGCGACAACACCAATGAGCCGTACCTCGATTTCTTGCTCGCTTTGTTGAAGTTACCAAACAGCAAGATTCCTCAAGTCATCTCTATCTCATACGGAGAGAACGAGCAGGTAGGCAGATAACACCCAGTAATCTTCTATTTGTCAGCTAACAAACCTAGGAAATTCCCGTCCCTTACGCCCAGCAAGTCTGCCAACTGTTCGCTCAACTCGGTGCTCGTGGAACCTCAGTCCTATTTTCTTCTGGTGACTCTGGCACAGGAGACTTTTGCCTCTCTAACGACGGCAAGAACACCACCAAGTTCCAACCTCAGTTTCCAGCCTCCTGCCCGTGGGTCACATCCGTCGGTGGTACGCGCAATATCGAACCCGAGCAGGCCACCTACTTCTCGTCGGGAGGATTTTCTAACCTCTGGCCTCGCCCGCTCTACCAAGAAGCCGCAGTCCGCGGCTACCTTGCTCAAATTGGTGACAAGAATGCTGGTTATTACAACAAGAAAGGCCGTGGCTTCCCTGATATCGCGGCGCAGTCATACCGCTACCACGTTTATGACAGCGGGAAAGACGTTCAATACCAGGGTACATCATGCGCGTCTCCCGCAGCAGCTGGTATTATCTCGCTCCTCAACTCTGCGCGCTTGTCCTCCAAGCTTCCTCCCCTTGGATTTTTGAACCCGTGGATCTACGCCATTGGACATATTGGATTTAACGATATTGTGCACGGTGCAGCGACGGGATGTAATGGATACTCCAGATTTAACTCCGCGCCAAACGGTAGCCCAGTCATCCCGGGCGCAAGCTGGAATGCTACAAAGGGTTGGGATCCGGCTACTGGTGTTGGAACACCGGATTTTGGAAAGCTCTTGAAGCTGAGCACGCCGTGGGTGAAGAATGAGGGAGGGCCGGTGTCTGCTTAAAATATGTAACGACTGAAGTGAGATATAGCGTGAAAGGCGAATATAATTGCTTCATACAAGCTCGAGAGGACCAGGCATCATATCTACTCTCCTATATACAAAACTTAGCTCACTCTGAATGATAGTGCCGAATATGGTAGCGGGCGTAAAATAAAACTCTTCCAGAATTAAGTGGGTGTGATTAGTGGGCGAGTAAGTTACCCGGATTAAACAATTGCAATCGCTACAAGCCTAGGAAGGGACTTCTATCGTCCTATTACACGATCGGCCTTAGAGGCTAGGTGACGAGAAGCACCGGCGATGAGAAGGATCGGTGGCTTGAAAGTTCCGAGGAAGCTGCGACTGGGTCTGCTTGGTAATCGTTCTTTCCATATAGGGATTGAAAGTTCTGAGGAGGCTGCGACTGAGTTTGCTTGGTAATTGTTCTTGCCATATTTAAGGTTAGAAGCTTCAAGGAACGGAATGAGGCGAGGGATCATTTTCCCGTTTGTGTAACTCAGGTCCCTGAAAAGATTCCCCTGGCAGGAATGGAGGGAGTAAAGAATTACCGTCATACCGAAATAATACTGACACTAACACTAGACTAAAATTGACCGGCACAACAAGAGTCGCGAAGTCGCGAATTCACGTCGACAACAAAACTACGTAGTGAAAAGCTTCCATTACAAGCTGTACGTTATGACAAAGTCCAGCAAATGACAAAGATATAAATTACCGATCTCTAATTGCCGCGAGCAACAAAACGAGGTTACTCAACGTAGTCCCCAAAGATACTCATCAACTAGTGCTGCAAGTCCGTGCTGAATTCCCAAAGGCGATTCGTTGCACAATTAAGCCTTTGGCTCAGTTTCATCGGCGTGCTCCTCTTGTTCGGCGGTAGCAGCATGCTTCTCCTGAAAGATTTTCAGGGCTGCATCGGCCGCCTCTGGGCCTTCCAGCGCGTGTGGGACGAGCTGGTCACCAAATATGGTATCCATTTGCTCAAGTGTTTTACCCTTCGTCCTGTGAGAAAGCCAGATGTTAGTAATTTGTATGCAATGATAATGGTAATATAATATGTGAAAGAGGATGACTTACTCAGGGAATAAAAAGATATAGCAAATGGCAGCGCATAGGTTAAAGACGAAGAAGGCATAAAAGTAGCGGAATCCGACAGCATCAAGCGCCAAGGGTGAGATCTGGCCAATGAGCAACCCGAGACACCAGTTCATAAGTGTCGAAAGCGAGTTGCCGCGAGCGCGAATCTCAACCGGGAAGATTTCTGCTGGGTACACCCAAGTTATGATTCCGGTGAAGGTGAAGAAGAAACTGAAGACAAGGTTCATGGCAACCATTGCCCGCAGTGCATTTCCATTGGCGCTTTCGGTGTTTGCACTGGTGACGTAGTATTGGCTGAGGATGGCATTAACAAGCAGCGTGAGTGCACAGCCAATAGCGGAGAAAATCATCGGCTTTATGCGGCCGACACGCTCCAAGAAGTACAGACCAAGGGCACAGTAAACGATGGAAAGAGACCCAGAGATACCAATGATCATAAGCGATGTACGGGTGTCGATGCCGAGAAGCTTATAGATTGGGACGCCATAATAGTTGACAACATTGATACCGGAAAGCTGTCCGAATGCCTGGATTCCCATTCCCAAAGCAAGGCGGCGCCTCCAGGCGGGCTTCGAAACCATTCCAGCCCAGGAACGCACGGAAACTTGTTTCTCGGCAACAATTGTGTCATGGATTTCGCGGTATTCGAGCTCAAGATATTCTTCGTTGTGGCCGTTTCCATGGAGGAGACGAAGTGCCTCTCGGGCCTCATCATGGCGATCTTTCTCCATAAGCCATCTTGGGCTCTCCTGAAGGAACCATATTCCACCCGCAAGTGCAAGGCCTGGAACAACTTGGAATGCTAGAGGGAAGCGCCCTATTGACTGCGTCAGCTATGCCATTGGGTGGTTTGAACAGAGGCCCTACATTGGAACGCAGTACTACTGTAGTTACAACCATATCCAATCCATTGGGCAGCGAAGAAGCCCCAGGACAACATAAATTGGAGTAAGCCGCTAAGGGCCCCACGATAGGAGGCCTCAGCAATTTCGGACTATTAAACAATAGTCAGTTTAACTGCGATAGGATAGCGCCTGGCCAGAATGTGCAACTTACGCAGTACATAGGCACAATAGCGGATAGAAGACCAACGGCGATTCCAGCAATGAAACGGCCAGCAATCAGCATACCAATGGTGGCGGCACCGGCTTGTAGCGCACAGCCGAAAGATGAAATGACTCCTCCGATGAAGACGGACTTCTTGCGGCCTAGACTATCTGCAAGCCATGACACCGATAATGCACCGATGATAGCCCCTCCGGTGAAAGATGATACAATGCCACCTGTTTCGGAGGCATTTGGGTTGCCAAAGTACTCAATGAACGTCTCTTGGCCAATAGTCGAAGTTATCACACCACTGTCATAACCAAACAAGAAGCCTAGTAGAATTAATTAGCACCTGTGCTTCATTCACATGTACTTGTGCATATTGCACGTCTTTGGACAGTAAAAGCCTGCTTACCTCCAATGGACAAGAAGATACCGGATCCGATGGTTACGGCTTTCCCCATGGCGGCGGTTCAGCCACGGAAGTGACAATTTCGACGACGTAAAGTTTGATGCCTTTGCCTTTGCCTTCGAAATAGAAAGGGAGAAGTTGGCTGTCGAAGGTAAAGAGAGCAAGCGCTTGGTGTCCTCAATGGATGGGGAGGAACCGTGGGTTATAACTACAAGCAGATCTGCCGGTGAGAAGCCACATGGAAACCAAAGAATTATTGCCCACAACCATGAGCAATGGAGCCCCTTGTACACCCCGCACCCCGCAGACCCCAGAGTCCCCGGGTTCTATTCGACAGAGCCGAATGTAATGAAGCTAACAATGGACGTCCAGGAGCGAGCCAGCCGTGTAAAATCTCGTCGTGTCTCAAGCCGAACCCGCGGCATAATATCACGAGTTAGGGCATGTTGAACCGAAACGGGATAGTTCATTTGCCACAATATACGCCTTGGCGGGGAAATGCGGCTCCTGCGTACCCCAGCACTGACCCTGTACCCCACACAATTCTCCTCGTTCCGGGGCGACGCCGGTACGAGCAGGAGCTAGGCTAGAATAGGATAGGCCTGGACCGTGGGAACTCCGGAATCTTGCTCAGTCCACATTCAGTCACTCTAATGCTTGTGTTCTTTCGTGATAGTGATTTCCGAGAAAGATGGTCAGGCATGTTTCTGTTCTCCAATTCTTCCCCCCGGGAAAGCGGCTTCCCCACTCCTTATTCATGCAGAAGACCATTTATCGCCTGATAGAGCCTCGATTTTTCATGGGGAAATGAACACTCTCCCCAACATCTAATTTGGCTGGCATTTTATTGCAGAACGACAAGTCTAGTCATTAATACATATTTTTCAGTGTTATTTTCATGTTGGATTTTAGACCCAAGCACTTCAAATCCCAGCTTGCATTTTCCGATGGGGTCAATCTGTGAAGTTCTGGAGGTTCCAGAAAACCAGAAGGTCGAGGTGGTGCCGAAGACAATTTTCAATCATGGCTTCGCCCGAATCGCAGAGGAATTGACGCCGATACTGCACGAATGGATAGATCGCCCTCTTTCTGTCGTTGAGTTCCAGCCAGATCCAGAAGAATTCTTTAAGTGCAAAGGGCTTCCAAAATACACCATCGAGCAGCTCTCCTCGATTTCCTATGGACGAGGAGACCAGTTTATTTTAGACTTCGGTTCTCACCGGGTTGGCTACCTTTCTTTTCATTTGAGTGTGGATGGTGTCAATATCGATGCGCCTGCTCGATTACGGATCACGTTCGGCGAAATACCGTATGATGTTACCGATAATCTTCACCCATGCAACACTTGGATCAGCACGAGCTGGCTCCCGGACGAAGTCATAAACGTGGACTGGCTCCCAACAGATGTCGAAATGCCACGAAGATACGCATTTCGCTATGTCAAAATCGAAATCATTGACACTTCTCAAAAATACAAGATCCGTTTTTCAGACATCAAAATACGAGCCGTGAGCGCCGTGTCGCCTCCCACGATGTCAGGTGTCGATATCTTGAAAACCAGCGATAAAGAACTTGTTTCCATTGATCGAATCAGCCAAGAAACCCTTCGGAATTGCATGCAGACAGTGTTCGAAGATGGACCACGACGAGATCGAAGATTATGGATGGGTGATTTACGGCTTCAGGCTTTGACCAATTACTGTACGTTCAAGGATTACAGCTTGGTCAAGCGCTGTTTATACATGTTCGCAGCGCTTCCTCGTGAGGATGGCAGTATTCCTGCTTGCGTTTTCGAGAAACCAAAGCTTTCTGCGGCCTCGGATTACATTGTGGACTATGACGCACTATTTGGCCCAACTGTTTACGAATATACAGTTGCGTCTGGGGATGTGCAAACCGCAATTGAGCTCTGGCCCACTGTTATAAGCAGTATGCAGATGGCATTATTGCATCTAGATAAGGCCGGAAAATTCAATCCTGACGCAACTAAGGCGTGGAAATTTCTGGATTGGTCCAAGGGATTAGATACCGCAGCTGGCATGCATGGCGTCGTGCTTTTCTGTTGCAAGGAAGTCAACAAATTGGCTTTACTTGTCTCAAAACCTCCGCCATTTTTGGATATTGTAGAGAAAATGACAGCGGCTGCAATGTCATTCTATGATCCATCTCTTGGGGTCTTTGTCAGTGGCCCTGATCGCCAAATTTCGTGGATAAGTCAAGCATGGCTCGCCCTCGCCGGAGTCGCTGATGCTGAAACTTGCCTTACTGCAATCAAGGCCGCCATGGCGAACCCAGAAGCTGTCAAACCCCTCACTCCTTACGCATACCACCACGTCGCTGAAGGTCTTGCTCGTTGTGGTGGTCAAGAAGACTGCTTGAAGTTGATGCGTGAATACTGGGGAGGAATGGCTAGAGCAGGTGCGGACACATTCTGGGAATTCTTTGATAGTGAAGATCCAAGAAGCAGTCCGTACGGGGATTGCCACAACAATAGTTATTGTCATGCTTGGAGTTGCACACCGAGCTATTTACTAAGGGTGGTCCTAAAGGATCATATCATCTAACAAACTTAGAATTTAGACTCTTAGACGCAATTCACCGTATAAACCTATCAAACTCGCGATTTGTTTTTAGTTGTACCACTCTAGTAGATGGAGTTTGCATGGAGTTTGTGTTGAAAAATATCATGTATTAGGCTACAAAAGGCACGAAAAACAATATTTATATTTATATTTCAATCAAATTTATAAAGTGGCATAATTTTAGTCACATTTTGGTTAGAGACATGTTCGAGGAGATATTTAATATTTGAAATACTTTTTGAGGTTTGTAATTATGTACTACTACCATAGTTGCAGTAAAAGCCAAACACACACGTCCACTCCTTTCGCGGCTTTTATTTATTTAACTACTATTTTAGTTGCAGTTAAATCGGCTTCATCCGAGCTAGATCCCACAAAAATAGTGTACTGATCGGCATCCACTTGCTTAACTCCATTAACGAAGTAGCCCAACTCGCTAACTGGAATGCTGAAGCTGACGGTAGTAGAGGCCCCGGGTTTGAGATCAATCTTTGTAAACCGGATAAGATTTTTAACAGGTCTCTCGATGTCTGGCGCGAATTGGTTGAAGTATACCTGTACGACTTCTTTTCCCTGCACCGAGCCAGTGTTTTTGACGATTGCCTTGACAGTGATTTGACCATGAGTTGACGTGTTATTTGTCACAGTGACGCCTGAGATATCAAACTTGGTATAGCTGAGACCGTGTCCAAAGGGATATAGTGCAAGGCGATCAAGTACAGGTGACTGGTAGTCGGTGTATACCTGCTGCCAGCCGACCTGTTTCCGGTCACTGTTGATATAGTTGTAGTAGATGGGCACTGCAGATGAAAGGCGGGGGATGGAGACTGTGAGTTTTCCACTGGGGTTCGTTTTCCCAGTAATAATTTCAGCCAAGACGTCTCCGCCTAGTTCGCCTTGGAGGAAAGTATGGATGATTGCATTCGTCGCATTTGCAGCATATTCCATAGAAAAGGCTTGGCCACCACTGACTATGAGCACGACTGGGGTGCCAGTCTCGACAATAGCCTTGAGGAGCTCGTTTTGTGGACCAGGGAAGTCCAAGTTCGCATGATCAAAACCTTCACCGTCAGTGCGGTCGTTTGCGTTTGTGTCGACTATTTGTGCCACGGATCCGAGGGCAACGACAGCGAGGCCCGCATTCCTAGCGTTTGCAACAGCCTCAGCCTTCATAGTATCAAAATCGGTGTCATTATTGCGGAAGCAACCCCGTGAGAAGGTAACGTCGGACGATATCTTCTTTATTCCACTCAGTATTGTTGAACCTGTGGAGTAGTCACTTGCCGCGTAAGAACCAGGGTTGATGATGTCGGCCATGGGACCAATGACGGCGACCTTTAAAAGAAGAGAGCTTTTCAAAGGTAAGATGCCGTCGTTTTTGAGAAGCACCATAGACTCGCGGGTAATATCCAAATTTCTCTGCATGGCATCTGCAGTTCGTAGAGAGCTGTTCAGCTTCTTCAAATCTGGGATAGGTTCGTCGAAGGTTTTGGTGAGAAATTTCAAAGTCAAGACCCTTCGAGCCGCTTCGCGTACTGCTTTTGCAACAGTTGGATTTTTAGAAAGTATTGAAAGAGCTTCCATGCCAGATTGATTTGGTGGGCCAAGTTCGTGATCAACTGTGGCTGCGAGCGCCTTCAATCCAGCCGCTTGGATGTTATTCGCAGTATGCTGTGTGCTAAGAACTTGTGAGATTGCAGCGTAGTCGGAGATGATAACTCCATCAAATTTGAGCAGATCTCGAATAACGTTCTTTGTGTATTGAATGTTGGTAGTCATTGGTACATTGTCGTAGGATGAATAGGATGGCATGAGAGCCATTGGGTTCGCCTCCTCAAATACTGCCATATATGGGTAAGAGTGCACGTTGTAGAAGTCGTTAATCCCACCGAGAATCCTGGCCTCATTGATACCACCGAGAGATGATCCATAAACCCAGTGTTTAACAGTCGTAGCGACTCGTGAGAATCCCTTCGAATCCGTATCTTGCATATTTTTGACGTATGCAACCCCGAAGCGTGACACGTGGTATCTATCTTCGCCGTACATTTCGCCAACTCGTCCATATCGTGGCTCAACAGCCAGATCCAACTCAGGACTCAAGACCCAGTGAATTCCGACAGCATGGTTTTCAATGGACATAGCTTGAACGACTTTTCCATAGAGATCGATGTTCCATGACTGGCCCATGCTCAATGTAGCCGGAAACAGTGTGGTGTTGAGAAGAGTCACACCATTAACACTATCCGCTACATTAATTAGAGGAACGTGAAGTCTGTCATTCTTCTGAAATTGAAGAACCACATCCTCAAGTGTTGCTGCTGCGAGATAAGCTGGGTTCTGATAGTTGCCGAAAGCTATTTTTTTTTTGTTAGCAGAGAGTTCTAAGATTATGTAAATAAAATTGCAACTTACATATTGACCCGCCTCCTTGCCCGTTATTAAATGAATAAACAGTTGTGTTGTCGAACGACGCATTTTCTCCGAGAATGCCCCCGACATTGCGAGTTTGTGCGAGCTGCTCAAGAAAGGTCATACGTGATAAAAGGTCGGCGACACGAGCTTTTACTGGCTTTGACGCGTCTTGATAGATGGCATTTGTTCTGGGTTCGTTCTGGGCGGGTGAGGCTGCTGTATGCCCGGTGCCCATTAGCGACGCAAGAGCTGCTCCGGTCACCAACTGACGGCATGATGGAAAGAACTGAAAAAGCATCTTAGGGGAAACAAATGCTCCAGTGAGACCTTGAAAGGGTGCAATCCTATGATGTGGAAATTCATTTGATTCGAGCGGACAGGCAATTATATACAGGTGTCCCAAGATCGTAGGTTCCTCTCCGGTGACATTGTACCTCGTGAATGTCGGGATAAAGGTAATGAGCTGCCAACTGTGCCTAGAGAGGGGTAAGTGAGAGCTAAGAGTAAAAATGAGGTTGAACACAAGATTGCCTAATTCATGGCCTTCATTCGGATGCGGGGTATCTATGGGGTAATGACCGGGTCGAGGCAGAGCATATGAATTAAGATGAGCTCCGGGCAAGTTGTGGAGTTCCATCGTCCAAACAATGCGGGGTTAAAAGAAGTTCCATTTTCTAAATTCAGTGGCTGGAAGTTTCTCCCTGGGATTATCTTGGCTTTTGACAGGATATGCTGAAGCTATGTCTAATTTAGAATCCGGCACGGAATATCATAAAGCGATCTCGGCGTAATTCATATTAACATGGCTTGTAAACTATATCTTGACGACCTAGGTCTGTGCTCTCCCTCGTACCGGTCCAGCTCCGGTACGAACACCGGACGCGGCTGTCAAGTTGCAATATACCCTGTATGTTTGTGGGCTTGTTGGTCGAGGAGAAGTGGGGCCGGACCTGTCCGGGGAAGCACTAACACTGCCTTAGCTCTTGAAGCATCCGACCACTTATTGTAATGGTGGTAAAACGTTGGCTACCTCGTAGCAAACTATGCTACTAACCTCAGGGATACTTGTTGTAAGAGCGACAGTGTTCACATGATGCTTCAATCGATTAATATAGAGGGCCAGCACTATATCCAGTTCCGTGTAGGTTTAATGAGCATCGTAATTTGATAGAGAAATCAATTCATCTAGAGTGATTGGAAAGTAGAGAAGAGACGGATAGCAAGTTTTGTTTCCGAGATGTCTGATTCCACGTAGGTTTCATCTAGACTATACAAAACCACAATTCTCAAAATTAACTATAAGAAAGGCCATGTTTTTGCAAGCACTTAATATTTTTAGTGTTATCTGGCTTTCAAAGTTTCCACAGCGCCTTTTAGGCCAAGCACAAACATGAGCTTCTATAAGTCCTGTAGGGCAGGCTTAACTGTGGTTGGCATAGCTATGCCGGGAGTAATGGCCCAGAAAGGGCTTGGGGAGCAATGTGCGTACTCCTTTTACCATGCATCCGATCAATCCAATATTTCTCCTCCTTCCCCAATTCAATTATGTCAGCAGTTTATAACTTTTTAATAGGCGGTGGGTTGAATTACACTGGAAAGATAGCATGCAATAGCGGAGAGACATGTGTCTTCGCGAATGATTGTAAGCCATGAAACACAAGTCATCCTTCACTTGAAGACTGACCAATGTATTTAGATTGGTACCAGTGCCAGACTGCACTCATTCCTACATGCACTACATCATTTGCCCCTATCACTGCATCCGATGCATTTGCTGCATTGACTCCAGGGTGAAACCTTGGAAACAGTCTTGAGTCCTTCACAAATGAAGACTCCTGGAAAAACCCGCCCGTCACGTCTGATACCTTTGATGACGTTCTTGCGAGAGGTTTTTAAAGCATACGAGTTCTCGTTACTTGGTTTGGGCACATCTCTGTCGATTCCTCGCCATGGACTATCGACAGTACATGGCTGGACCGAGTTGAGGCTGTTGTTGACCAAGTCCTTGATCGAGGCTTCTACGCTATAATTAATGTCCACCACGACTCTCAGTTATGGGCTAACTTGGCAACCTCGGGCGCAAACCACACCCTCATTGAGGAGAAGTTCAAGTCAATTTGGACGCAGGTTGGTGTGAAACTAGGATGCAAGTCATCAAAGCTCCTTTTCGAATCAATCAACGAGCCCGCCGGATCAACTGAGTCGGAGGCAGTGGAGCTTAACGCACTGAACGATATTTTTTTGGATGCCATCAACATTGCTGGTGGTTTTAACCCGCAGCGGGTGGTTTCACTTTGTGGTTTGGGAAATACTCCCGCTTTAACCAGCCAGTATTTTTCTCGAGGCAGTAAATACCCAAACCAGCCATGGGGTTTGCAGATTCATTACTACTCCCCATGTAAGTGTTAAATATATCTACTTTCTTGCAAATCTACTTTCTTGCAACTGCTAATTGATGCAGACCCATTTGTTTTTCGGTGATTGGGGCACCACGATTTGGGGTTCCGACGATGATAAAGCTGCCCTTGATTTGGACTTCTCCCTCTTTCATGACAACTTCACAAGCATCCCGACCTTCATTGGCGAGTGGGATGCAACACCTGCGTACACAGAGACAGCAGCACGATGGAAATGCTTTGATTTCTTTGTCCGAACCGCAACTAATACGACTTCTCGCATTTCGTTTTTGATAACAGCGCCGACCTCCTGGATTGCTCGACTCATACCTGGTATGACGAAACCGTAATTGATATTCTTATAAACGCAGCTGCCGATACGGTCAATTCTCTTCCAGAATCAACTACCGATCTAAGTGCCACTTCGCAATCCGGCTCCGCATACTTGTTTCACGCCATTGGAGCTCCGGTTACTGACCAGTCCGTATCATACATTCTAAATGGTAATACCCTTGCTTCGATTAAAAATTCGGCTGGCACCAGCTTAACAACTAGCCAGTTCACTTTCTCCTCTGGCGGTGTACTGACTCTCTCGATGGCTTACCTATCACCTTTCTACGACGCCAGTAGTACTGCTGGAATTAAGGATACGTTAACGTTGCAGTTTAGCAAGGGCGCAGATTTGAGTTTGCAAATCGTCCAATATGGTACGCCAACAATCGGTGCTACCTCGTATACTGCCCAAGCTACGGACATGGAAATTCCGATTTCATACGCGGGGCTTGCAAAGGGAGCCACAGTACGAGCCGTGTTGGCAGACGGTACTTATCTTACAAACGCTTGGACAACCTCATCAGGACCATTGCAACAGGGACGCTGGACCCAGGGGAACTATGGCTTTGATTCCTCTAATTTTATTATCTATGATTCTGGAGGGCAGCAGATTATCGCTGCGGGGCAACCAGTCAGCTTGATGCTGGAATTCTATCCGCGGAGCGTGGGTGAAAATGTCGTCAACATCACGGTTCATTCATAACATTGGACACGGCACGGGTATGGAGGCGACTCATGTTGCCTCAACGTTGTCTATAGATATTTTAGTCGGCTAAGAATTGAGAGTAGTTAATCAAGAATGCAAAAATATTATTTACAAATATATATCGCCGGGTAGTTGGTGTGCTGTCTCTCGTATATAAAGCTCCTGAGAGGAAAGAAGATGTTGGTCTTGGAGTGAACCCTTCCGCTAGGGAGAAACAGGCTAGCGCGGAAATTCTAGTACATAACCCCGCATACTAGAACTGGCAAGTTCCACTTTTCACCGAATAACCCCACCATATTAACGCGACAACCCATCTAAATACCCCTCCACAGCACATCCCAGAAACTGCTCAATCCACACTGTTAACACGTCCTATTCTATCCACCTTCTGTTCTCTCTTTTTCTTACAGCATTTTCTTAAAATTTTCGCATAGGCGGCCTCGTGGCCCGAGGTTGGTCGAATGTGCGCTACTTGAGCAGAGCCAACTGTACATAATATGACTGGAAAAGCATGCGAGCACTGCCGCAAGGGCAAAAGGAGATGTGACATCTGGAGTGGGCCTACGGCATGCTCTTCATGCGTTCACCGGAATTTGCCCTGTTCACGTGTGCCTCCAAAAACCACCATATCGCCGCAATCTACAAAAAGTCCATCGCCACTCAACCAAGATGATATCCCAAAAAATGTTGCTGAAACGCTCACCGAACTCTACCTTCGATACATGCATGACAAGCCCCATGCGCTATTCCATGAACCATCCATAAGAGAGGCTGTCGCCAATGGCTCTGTCGCCCCAGTTGTGCTTTTTAGCATACTAGGTTTAGGTGCACGGTATGGAATATATCCTCTTGCTCTCCTGTGTTTTAAAGATGACGTGGTTTCCTATATTCCTATCAGCCTCAAACAATTTGCGAGCTCTCATTTTGCTGCATTTTCTGATATATGAGTAGTTTTTCAGATGATGCGGAAATCCGAAGTCAAGCTCCCAGCTTTACTGAAGCTGCAAAACGCCATTTAAAATCCGACCTAGAGCATTCCTGCGTTGAAAATATTCAAGCTTGTATTCTTATTGGCAATATATGTCTTGGGGATTCGGATCCAGATGCCGAGTCCATATATTTCGGTTTGTTGAAGTAAATTTTCTGCACACAAATATGCGGCTAGCTAATATTAAGTGGCTAGTTTTAGCAAATCGTATGGCTCAAATAGCTAAGCTAAGTGTCTTGAATGATGCTGACGATGGTATTACACGGGAGACTAAACTGCGTCTCTGGTGGACATGCTATTTGGTGGACACTTGGGCGAGTGGTGGGTCAGGCCTACCTCGTCAATTCGACATATTAAACGCAGCACCTCGACTCCCTATGGATGAGGAAGCATTTTTAAACATGCGGCCAGGTGACCCTGATGTCCCAGCTTCTGAATGGAGGCCAGGGTTTTGGGGCTATAATGTTAAGATGGCTACCATATACAGCCATATTTCCGACCTTACCAAGCGAATTATCATATCAACTATCTGGGAAGAGGAAGCCATTGAAGACGCTGTCCGCGAGTCCGCTGTAGAGCTAACTGCCTTTGAGGAGAGCCTTCCGACCACTATGAGATACTCTCTAAGCAACCTAACCCTACAGGTGGAACGCGGCCTTGGCCGTAACTTTATAGCGCTACATCTTGGATACAATCACTACGCTACCCTACTATATTATCAGTATCTTGATCGGAATCGGCCATTCACAACCAATGGTGCGGCATATGCCCAGCGCTGTAAACACCACGCTACACTTTTTTCTGAAATCTTGGAAGCTTCACGTAACCATGGCGGAGCAGAAGCACTCTACAATATCGTCGGCCATGTTACTGTTGTTTCATCTTCAGTGTTGCTACATTCCTTCCTTTTTGGTGATCCTAATGAGGTGGATTATATCCGACAGCGCATTGAATCTAATTTTGAGTCGCTGGTGCAATTACGCCGGTACTGGCCAAGCGTGGAGCTTATGGTAAGTGTTTATCTTTCGAATACTTTTTTTTTGTGCCTACAATAAAGTCATTTTACTCAGGGTTTACTGGCATATGTGTGAAACTCTAACGACTTGCCATAGATTAATCGACTGATAGTCTTTCAACGGAGTTGTCTGCGATCAGAGACCTCAAACACCCACCGCTTAGACAAATGGATGGTTAAATTCTTATTACAGCATGCACTAGCTCTGGACGACAAGGAGCTAGAGGAAGACGTCTATGACCTGTCGTCGTGGCCGCTTTCTATCCAAGACTCTCATATGGATCCTACTCATGTGAACACAGGTCTTATGGAGCGTAGCCGCGTTACTAAAGAGATAATTGAAGACATGCGGATGCGTAGACAATAGGGAGCAAATACCAATAACGAGTGTTCTTCAGTCTAGGTCCTGCATGACTTTCCGCTGATACGCCTGATAACATACCCCCCTCTCCTCATTCGCTGCACAGCCTACATATACTACTTAATGGTCCCTCATTAGCCAGATCGATAAAACCTTTCATTTCGAGTCGAGAATATTAGTCCGTCGTAGATAGTCGAGTTGACTTGTTTCCGCTGATCGCAAGCTCTCACCATCTTTTACCAAGATCGACTTCACAGTACTCAGATCTAAGGAGGCTATACTACATAAATAGGTATAAGAAGACTGTAGGTCGAATCTAGTCTTCAGTTGCTGTAAAAGTATCATATTGAAGCTATACTTAGAATCTTATATTAAGCGTCGTGACTCTCGCGCCTCAAAACCCCGGTATAGCTATGCCTATAGGAGCGACTAATACGTTTTTTGGGGGGGAATATAACACCAGTCTGATAGATAGGTTTCTTGTAATGCATCTATTCAGTGAAAGTAAATATAGTTAGGTCGCCAATAAGTGGGCCCTATTATCAAGTCAATACAAACCTCAATATGCGCGACTCAGTCTATGAGTAGCGGCTTGTACCTACCATGTAGATCAAATTTCTATGGGTGATCTTCCACTTCCCATCCTGTTGCTTCTTCCACACATCCTGATACTGTCCAAATGCGGTGGCCGTTTTCCCTCCAAACGTCCCCCTCCCAAAATGCGTCGCCGTGTAGTATGTCACTGAGAAGGCTGAGTCGTGGGATAGAATATCGATCAGCTGGGTCCCAAAAGAATGTTGTGTGGTCACGGGATTTAGGCTGGATTTTAAGACCGATTGGATTGTTGATAGCGGGGTTAGGACATTTAATGGCGCGGAGTAGTTTGCGACTGCGTTCTGCGCGAAGATGCGGGAGAGGGAGTCAAAGTTCTTGCCGTCGATAGCGAGGGGGTAAAGGGCGAGTGTAGCACGGATGGCCTCAATGTTGTGCGTGTTGGCCTCGACATTTTCTGTTGAGATTAGGGTTGGCAGGTTGAAGGCAGGGATCGCGTCGGCGTCGGTGAGACTGAGGCTTGGGCTTGTGCGCTTGGTGAGGGCGGGGGAGTGGGCTCCAACAAGTGTTAGAACTGCGATTGATAGGGCGGAGAAGCGCATGGTGGCGATGATATGGAACGAGTGAGATGGGGAAAGTTAATGGATGAAAGGGACATTAAAATATGGATGCAAGTTACAATCTCGTGCTTTGTGTTAAATGACAGTTCAGATTAGAAAATATGTTTTAGCGAGCTCAGGGAGATACCCTGCTGCTGACTGCGTTGCAGCATTCGTGTGTCCCAATCTTCCATATTAAATATCCACCATGGAGTCGGGCCGGGCTTCATCTCCACAGCGGCAGCCGCCCACCTCTGGGTTTGAAGTGCTAGACGACGCCTATCTGCTCGAGGAAGAGACGTTCTCGTGGTATTTGGCAGACGATTTTTACCACGTCCGAATTGGCGAAGTATTCCAGTCAAAGTACCAAGTCCTCGGGAAGCTGGGATTTGGGTCTGTTTCTACAGCTTGGCTTTGCCGCGATCTAATGTATGTGCGTCTCAATGATTGTTTTACTGTCAGAAGTTAACCCGAATAATTAGAGGCCATGAATATGTCACATTGAAGGTCTTCGTCAGCGGCCACCGCCAAGCCGAGAATGAAGAAACGGTTCCACCATCTGAGAACCATCAAGACTGACCACCCGGGCGTCACGGGCATCCGCTCTCTCCGAGTCTCATTTCAACTTCCAGGGAAACGCGGCCCGCATGAATGCCTCATCCACGACGCACTGGGTCTCACCTTGGGCGAAATCCGCGAGATGAGCGACGGGGAAAAGGTCTCCATAGACCTACAAAGGCCTTTTACCAAGTGCCTGCTATATGCTCTAGATTTCCTGCATACTGAGGCGCATGTCGTTCATACCGGTAAGTTGATCCAGTACTCCCTCGAGCATTCGCATGAGCTTATTGTATACGGTACAGATATCCAAGAAGGTAATATCATGATCGCCGTCAAAGAAGACATCATCTTCAAGACTTTCGAGCAGGAGGAGATGGAGGAGCCCAGGTTGCGGAAGGTAGATGGAGAGCGTATCATTTACGCGTCGCGCGCGCTTGATATCCCTGACGACGCCTCCCATAACGTGCTCTGTGATTTTGGCGACGCGCAGTTCGGAGCTGAGACGTATGAGGGCGAGGTAATGCCGTATCTGTATCGAGCGCCTGAGATTGTGCTTGGTATACCCTGGAATGAGAAAATAGATATCTGGGCTGTGGGAATGATGGTGAGTGTAATGGTGAGTGTAATGCTGCGATATGGTTAACTTCAAAATGTCACTAATCGGTTGATTAGGTATGGGACTTATATGAGGGGAAACACATGTTCAAGGAACGGCTACCGAGCAGGATGGAATCGGTCCCTGCGCACATTGCTAGGATGATTGCGTTGCTGGGGCCGCCACCGAAGGAGTTGTTAAAGCGAGGGCAATTCTCAGATATGTTTTTTGATGAGGATGGTGAGCTATTGAGTTCTACTAGGGGATGATAAACTTACGTTGTTTAGGAGACTTTACGAGAGACGTCAAAGTGGAAGAAACATCTTTAGAAGATGAAGAGGAGAATCTACAAGGGGAGGAAAAGAGGAAATTTCTGACTTTTTCGAGTGGGATGGTGCGGTGGATGCCGGAGGAGAGAAAGACGGCTAAGGAGCTGATTGATGATCCATGGCTGAATAATTTATAAGCTATGAGCATTCTATCCGAGAAACGAAGATGACAATTATTGCCTTGGGGTGACATTACCCTTTTATCAATTACAGCTACAATGGACACTATCTGCAACGGCCGGCACGTGAACCACTGTTGTGCCTGGCTCGCCTCCCGGAACCGTCGTATTCACGTGAGCGATTGTCATTCCAGGCGCCCCTCCCGGGATCACTGTATACAAATACGGGCCTGTGAAATCCTCTCCCCACGTTAACCGCACGCCAGACTCTGCAAACGCCGCCTCCACCACCGGTAGCTGTTCCATCTCTGCCTCTCTAGCGGGCGTCACATCCACGAAACCAATCTTCACGCTGTGGAGGTTCGGAAAGCTGGATGAGGCTGCCGCAGCGAGATGCAGCAGGTCGGCATTCATAGCCTTGTACACATAGGTGAGATGCACACTTCGGATTGAGGGCGGTAGAAAACTTGTGAGTCGGCCCGTGTCGGCCGGGACACTTTGCTTGCTGTAGACGATTACCTGGTCGATAACGAGGTCTTCGAGTTGCTCGAAGCTGTACAGGGATGGTATGAAAACTGCGTCGTGACTTGGCAGCATATCATGATAATTCTTTGTCAATGACGGTAGACGGCTAAGACAGAGCCTCCGAAGGTCCGCCCTCACTGGAGCGAGTGCCCTCATCACAGGCACACTATCCACCCAGCTGTACATATAGTACTCCATATCCCGCAGCGAGTGACAGCCACTCAGCACCTCAGCCAGATCTCCAGTGCGAAGCCCCTCCACCACAATCCTGCGCAGCCTCCCCAGGGGAAGCCATGACTGACTTTCCACCGGGTCACCGCAGTCGAGAGCATACAGCGTGTCTAAGTTCGGTGCCGCGGCGACCAGCGGTCCGACATCGTGCAGGTCATAGTCAGCATGCGACCCACGCAGCGCGACCGTCTTGAGGGCTGGTAGCTCAACGCTCGAGTCTTCAAAATAGTCATATGGCGTGACGTCCTCAAGGACATGGAGGAGCATCTCGAGGCGCGGCGTGAGCGCGATGGAAAGCGCTTGTAGCCAGCGGTGGATGTTACGTCGATAGCGTGTGGCGAGGGTGCGGTACTTGTTGGACTCTGGGTACAGGGGCGTCGGGGTTGCGAGGCCTAGCTCCTTGCTGGCCCGGGCGAAGCTGTTGAGAATCTCGGGCGGGCAGCCGGTACCAGCGTTACAGGTTTGGAGCTGGAGGGATGTAATGCAGGCAGCGAGATCGGGGCGTGCGACGAGGGTGCGGACAAAAAGAGGCAGCTTGTCGTCCTCTTCACCAAAGAACTGGCGGGTCCTGCCCAAGTCGGTGTTGACTTTCCGGGGGAGGTTGCCGGCGGCATAGTAGTGGAAGAGGATGGGTTGTGCGACGGCGTTTAGACGCTTCGATGAGCGGCAAAGGCCAGTGAGCGCGGCTTTGTCGGCTCGGTTCTCTGCGGTGTCCGAGTTAGGGAAAATGCCGGGGTTTTGGCAGTGGAAGCAGAGATAGAAGCATATTCGGTCAAGAACCTCGTTTGGGAGGCCGTTGTATTCCATTTTGAGGTTGAGGTAGGAGGTTATGAAAGTGGGTGCTAACGTTTTCCTCTTATAGGAACGAACGGATCAGCATTAAAGAGTTTCTCGTACATTCAATATATGAATTATGGCAAACCAAGCGATATATCTTAGGGAACATCTCAAAGAGAAGCTTATGCGGCGGGAGACCCCGCTATGATGCTGGTGGCTTCCAGGGGGTTGCGTCTGTCTTGGCACTCTTATTCTTCATGTAGTGTAGTAGGTGGCTCTTTGGTGAGACGTTGCTTGTTTAGCGCTTACTACATGGAATGTGAGAGAACGACGCACTGTTATATGTTTCAGCCCTCATTCAAACCTTTACAGACATCACGAATATCAGGAGACAGGGTACAAGTATAAATAACATAAATTCCACAATATAAACTCCCTCTCCATATACATACGCATACAGTAATTAAAATTCCTGGCCCCACGAGCGGTTACCAAACCAACTCCACTCCCTAAAGCAAATTAAAACGAAGTTAATCCTCAATGTCATCATCGCTCAGCACCGTCCCACCCGCCTTCAAGGCACCAAATCGCTCTTCCAGCCCCCTTCCCACGCCCGCTGCCCCAGGGCGCAAGATCTTGACCTTTCTCTCATTACCTTCCCCCTTCCCATCCACATCCACTACAAGGCCCACACCATCTTCGTCATCTTCTGCCACGCCCCCAATCCCAACAAACTTTACCACCCTCTCCATCTCCGCCCTTGGCAGCGGAAGGCTTACACTACGTGTCCGCGACACGTGGATAGCAAAAAGATACGGTAATCGTTCCAGCAGCATCTCCGTCCGCGCCGAGGCGCCAAGCCCCACAAGCGATGGCGACGGTGCATCTGGTTCACCTCCCTCCGTAACTGTAGCAGCAGCAGACGATGCAAAAGCGTCGCGGCGCCACCCTTCAACCGTGCCCACTTCCCTATTTACTGCCGCAGAACTGGTAGTACTTGCGCCATCTTCCCGCCGTAAAAGGCGCGATGCAGCGAGATCGGCAAGGCTTCCTATCTCTTCTTTCTGGCGCCACAGCTTGAGGCTTGTCGGGTAGAACATCTTGAATGCATCCCCACCTCCACCGCCACCGCCACCGCCACCCCGACCTCGCCCGCCCCTCCCCGGCGCACCCCGTCGTTTCACTGGATCTGGCAGCGCAAATAAGAGTCCCCTGACAGCGACCTGGAAGGCCAGTTCATCCTGTCTTGCCACGTCCCCCGCTCCACCTTGGCCATAGGCCGATTCCCATGAAGGGGTTAGGAGATCAGCGTCGGAGAGGGCGTCGATGCAACCAATTGCGTGGACGAGGTCTGATGAGTCTTCCGCGTAGGATGCTGGAGGGTCGCACGAGAGGATGTAGTTCTCATGCAATGCAGATATGAATGTGGACGTGTCCGTGCCCATCTCATCAATAAGTTCTGATGAGTTAACTTGTGAAGGCCGTGGGCGTGCCGCGTGCGCAAGGTATGGTGGTAGCATCTCAACCGCCCGCATATCCTGCTCGGTCGGGGGAGTATCACGCTTATTATACACAACTTTGCCCACAGCGTGGAATATCCCCAGGCTCGCTTCTCTTCTCGTAACAAGCTCCAGACTCTCCTCCTCCATCTTCGTCATTGGCTGTTCCCTTCCTGCGGCTTTCTTCCCCTTTGCCGAAAACGCGACTTTACCACCCCAATCTCCCTCTTCGCCGCGCAAACATAGAAACTGGAGGCTCGATACCGCGCTGCGTACGTCCCCTATCTCTGCGAGACGCTTGAGGACGAGCGGTCCGGGGGTCTTTCGGCGGCCGGATGCGCGGGCTTCCTTCTGTACCGTCAGATTGAGGGCTTTCGCGAGAAGCGTTGGCGCGACAGGGTTGAATTCAATTGTTGCGACGGCAGGGTGATGGAGGATCTCTGGGCCGAGGAGACGGTGTGCAGTGAAGCTATCCGTGGTAGCGGTCGTGGTGAGTAGAGTTTCGGTGATGACCATTATAAGAGGGATGATGGGGGCTTTCGCAGTGGCGGCGTTGGGGCGAGTGTACATGTCTGCAAGGGAGGGGGTGTTCGCGGCGAGGTACTGGAGGAGAGTAGAGCGAAAGTTCTGCAGCGCTGTGGACGCGCGCGTGATCGTGTTTGGGAATTCTTCGATGAGGATGATATTTTTCCTCCTATCGAGCGGTTTTACAACCGAAGTCGAAGGCGGAGTAGGCTCATCTTCAGAGAATATATCCAGCTGTCCGAATTTTCCGCCACGGCCCATGAACTCTTCAAACTGGGCTGCCATAGAGACGAACCCTTCGTCTGACGCCATTGATCCGGCTGGGTTCCGCCATTCGAGAATTTCTGCTCCCATTGATTTCGCCAGGAGCTGCACAGTTGTTGTCTTTCCTGTTCCAGCAGCTCCCTTGAGGATTAACAACCGTTGCCGTAGCTTCCCCTCCATAACTGCTTCAAGCCACCCTCCAACATCTGATACCTTCTTCTTATGAACTGCCAACTCATCTAAATCCATTGGCGCAAATCTGTCTGCCCACGGTCTGGAATCCCCCTCTTTTTTATTTGCTTGCACCGGCACTGGCGGCCTCATGAACCTCTGGCTCCCACTTATAACGCCCACGCCCCCCTCCATATCATCCCGTGTCCGCTTCGCTGCCGCAGCAGCAAATGAGCTACTAATCTTCGCCTTGCTTTCCGGTACCTCGTCTTCATCCGATATCCCCTCATCCTCCTCGACTAGTGCCTCTCTGTTTCGTTCTCCGGTTGGGCGTGCACCCTGGGATTGCTGTTTCTGGACTTGTGTCGAGAAGAACGTATACAGGCTTTTCGATTTCCCCTTCTCCACCGGCTTTCCCCTAGCCCTCGGCTTCTCCGGGCTTGTGCTGGCGCTCTTCCTGCTAGAAGCAGCGCGGCTCTGGTTGGGGAGAAGCGACGTAGTATTCCGCTGGCCATTGCTGGTCAGAGTCGATTGTCGCGATTTGGTCGGCGTGGGAGGTTGCTTCAATGATCGCGTCGGCCTCACAAACGGCGAAGGCTCCTCGATGGGAGACGAATTAAAGTCGATTGTCCGTATCGGTGCTGCGGCTCCCTTCTGTGTATATTCATCATCGCTGCCATTGTCGCCCTTCGGCGCAGAAGGTGAGCTCGAAACAACTACATTGCGCCTCGGTCTCTTCGTCGGGGGAGCCATCGAGGCAAACAGTATCTAGCAGCTTGAGTCATTTGCGGGAGAAGCCTCGACAGTCAACATAGTCGCTGTCGCCGTGCAATGTTTATCTGCGTTGGTGGCCAGGCTGTCTCGTCGATATTGTGGAGTTGGGGAAAGAGTGGACCCCCAGATCTGTCAGCCTTGTCCGTTGCACCCTGTACCTAAATTCTTGTGATTACATAAGCCATTTTACAACTTCAACGACAGCCCTCAACTCATGCTATATTTGCAGCTAAATGGTTTATAAACATGTGTATTAATTATTCTAGGCAAATAACCCTAATTGTGTTTTCAAAGTTGAAATCGTCGTTTTTTGGGGGATGCGTTTGGATTGACCGCTTCACTCGTGTGCCACTTTGCTTGCGCCGCTCATTGTGCCATCTCCCTGTTAATTAAATTTATGCTACGAGATTTTTATATTCAAAGAGATGCTCTCTTCGCATGTAGCAAACAGTGGTATTATAATATTAGGTCACGTTGGGCATAAATTCAGTACAGTTTTTCTAAACAGGATATATTAAGTGTCTAGTCGAATCTATGATATCGAACTGGATGCACGGAACCACCAATTTATTGTGCATAATGCCAAAAGGCAATCCGTCAATCGCCAACAGTGGCGTGGGCCGCGGGTTAATGAATGGCTCATCCCAATAAAGAGTAGGTAACCGGCCATCTCCCTCAACACTCTGTCTGCTTACTTAGATCCAATGTACTGTTTGCTAGTGGACCCAACGATCAGGTCACCGTTGCCGGTAGCAGCTTGGAATCCTTTTGACAATATTAGATTTGCTCTTTTAAATCCTGATAAACACAAACTTACCTGCAACTGATTGATCTGGACGGGTGCAGTGGTCGACAGTCCATAGCACTGCATCGGCCACGTGATGGCTACAATATATAGTTAGCATATATAACAAGGCGTTTTTAAGTGGGAGGTAAAATACTTACCAGTATGAGGAAGATCCACTTGGGTTCAAAGATTGCCCAGTGATCTCTGCCGAACCTGCGTAACAAAAGTGGGCAATGCCCAAGCCAGATGGGGCAACACAGTTCTGGTTGCCAAGTGCCTTGAGATAATTGTAGCATGCAATTACCTCGTTAACATTTGTATATGCATAATCACTTGGGCCGCATCTGGGCTCAAATCTTGCTTGGATCGAGGAAGTCTTGACAGAGTCATCGCCCGAGGACTCTTTGACAGCTATGATAGTCAGCATTCAGCACGCTTTGGCCAGGTTGAGGGCTTTTCTCATACATGAATCAGGTCTCCCTATTTTGTAAAGGTCCGCAGATGTGAGGCCAAGTTCTTTCAAGCTAGGCAATCCTGGGCCGGGGATAACTTCGGGGGTTTTAATAGAGTCGATAGCGGCACCTGTTACCACATTGAATGAGGCAAGGGCGAGAATAGCAGGAGTAAGATATGTAGTCGCAATCATCTTGACTGTAGTTATAACTTTGATGGAAGACTTGAGATGCGTAATGTAGAATAAAGCTGATTGAGAGGATGATCGAGTTTATTTTTTACTCTGAGAAGGGCAGACGTCGCCAGACTTATATACACGACCATTTCGCATTGCCTGGCATCGGGTTCCTTAGAGTTTGTGTTACGTTGCAATATCTCCGCAATGCTTGTACTTGCCAACTTATTCCTATGAAATGGATAAGGCAAGTCCCATGAGAGAATTCGTCTTACTCAGACGGACCCCAATTAGGACATGGACATGGACACACACAGCCAACGATGGATTCTTTGAGTGTAGCCGCATAATTAATGCTTCCGATAGAGCCGTATGGTAATGAATCCTTCGAATCCTTCGGACCGTCTGAACTTTCCATGTCCTCCAATAATAGGCGGCAAAAGTAAGGTTGACAGGAACAGTGGACAAAACGCTTTCTAGGAGGGGTATAAGTGAGCACAGCCTTTCGACCCCACGCTGACGGCCCCACTCACCGGACATAGGCCGAGGATGTATGCACAATCAATGAAAACGAAACGCGACAGCTCATGGCAGATACTATAGCTGCCGCCTATTATACACCAACTTAAAGCATATCTCGGGTAGTCATACATGCCCCTAATAATTGCAGTCTAATTAACACGTTCCTCCGTTTTGCTCTTGGCTGACGCATTGATGGGATTTCGGTCGCTTCTCACGGAAGTCTGAGCTGGCTCTGCGCCTTTGGAACACTACCAATCTGAGAGTAGACGTATAAACACAGCTGACTATACACGCGACGTGTCACTGCAGTTCTCGTAATCCTTAGGCCAGGAACAGTATAACGGGTGAGATATCCTCACGATCTACAGGATCTGCATGTCATCCTTAAAATAGCCACACCCCCTCGCCCTAACCGACCTGGGTAGCCAAGCATTTCCAAGGGTGTCCTATGCTTTCCAGCCGCTCTTACCGTTGTGTCACGGTTATTTTTGCATCTGTGCTGTTCTTTTACGGTTATATTAATTGAGGCTGCGGTCTTATTTACGGCCGATGTTGCAGCCATGCGGCTGTTCTTTACGGCCACTTCTTCCATTTTACCCCTGCGTTCCGTATTTAGGTTTCCTTTGGCATACGCCACCATCGGTGTATTATTATACTCAAAAACTTTGTTACGTCGCGTTTATAATAATGGGATGTAAAGGTATGCAGCCAAGTAACCATACCATACCTTGCATGATTGTATCCCCTAAAATATTTTTATTGCCTGCCATGCGCATCTGTAGATGAGGACGCGTAGGCAGACGGAAGTGTTAACCCGTGAATACGCGCACTGTTTGAGGCGGAATTTTGAATTTTGGCACCAATGTGTGCACAGACTCAAATGCATGTGCAAGCACCTTCTCGTATTATTCGCAGGTGTATTCTTCGTCATACATTCATACATTGTTCAATGAGCGACGTACTATATGCAGTGTCACGAGAGAAGAGACAAAACCCGTTAACAATGTAACCTATGTGTTCCGCGTATTCCGAGTCAGCCAGGATGCTGCAGTCTTTCGTCTCCGTTGGATGCGTCTAGAACATTGTTACGGAGCCGAGGGATGAAAGCGACACTATATTGAAAAGGGAAGACTGAAGATAATCACATCCAATAAGTACCAAATACAAGAATTGGCATTGTATAGTACGTAAAATACTGTACAGTAAGGTATGGGTGCCTGGAGTAACTACCGGAGATAATCGGAGAGCGGCATACGCACGATCAGCAGCAGCTTATAACAAAGTTCCAGGTCCCACAGTACGATTCATCTCATAGTATTATAAACGGGGACGACTAAAATCTACTCGTCGCTAGAATTTCTTATATCCAATGCCCTTGACGAATGTCTGCTGCCAGGGACCCTGCGACTTGCCCTCGGCGAGTTGGAGATATAATTCCGCATGAGCCTCTCCGTCAATAGCAGAGTACGCAGGCGCCCCATCGGCCTTCCGCTCATCGCTGTAATAGAACCTACTGGTGTTAATTTTGTCACCTGTAAAATCGTTGATAGAAATCCACAACTTACTTGAATCCTTGATCGGCGTAGGCTTGGGAGGCAGATTGGATAATATGTGCCGTGGCTGACTTCCCGACACCCAAATCAAGAAGCGGTGCTATCGTTGTCGTATTCGTTATATTTCCAGTATAGATGAATGTTCTTGATGCTGACTCCGGGAGTTCCTTGAAAGCCAAGACAGCTTGCTGAGCAGCGACAAAGGCGCTATTGGTGTTGATGGTCAAGTCTCGAGTGAAATCAGCCAATGGGAGAGAGAGCGGATCCTTCGGGTTGTTTTGGGTTGCAGCCGCAGCTTTAAGTATGTCAGCATACTTCAACAATATATTCAGTACCGGGTGTAGTTTTACCATTGTACACGACAACACTTGGGGCGCCCAGCAATGATTTCACTTTCGAGAAGGTCTTAATTACAGACTCTGGATCAGAGAAATCACCGGAGATGTTGACTTGGTCCGCAGTACTATCCGCTTCCTTCAGACTTCTGGATGCCAGAGCAACCTTGTAACCCTTTGCGGCAAAGGCTCGGGCCACATGCTTCCCGATATTGGGACCCGACCCAAGGATGAGAACGACGGGTGATGTGTTGACCATGGTTTAAAGTCTTAAATTTACACTGAAATGTTGGGTATGATTGCACAGTTTAAATTTATAGGAACGATTTTTAATGATCTTTCAGTAAAATTATCGGCAGTCTTTCCTATATTTATAAACGGTTGATAATAGCTATGTTAAGTAATTTACCTTTACTAATTCAGCCTCAAAGCTGCTAAACTTCCAATCGTCATCGTTATGTAGAATCGTATAATCGCAAGTTGATGACAAATTGTGGTCGATTATCAAGCCTAATTACTGACAAACCCAAGCTTTTCAGAAACCGATCTTGTCCGCCTCCGTTCGACTTCGCTTCCGCCCCGCCCCCGCCTCCGCTGCCGCCTCCGCTCCCGCCTCCGAATCGCGCCTTTAAATCCGCCTTTTCCCGCCTTTTTCTCACCCTCTTCGGACCTCATCCACCCTCTTCGGATCTTCTTACACCTTTGTCGGACCCCTTCCACCTTCCACCCACCAACCACAAACTAAAACATGTAGCAAACTGGGATGATGAAATACCTATACCTATAGCTCGTATTTAAAGAAGGAGCCTCCTTCTTTTAAATATATATGATGTAGACCCAAGAGCCTTGCGTCGGCCTTTCCATTATCCGCACCTTGTAACATATCGACAGATTCACGGTAACAATCATGTCCTCGCCCACAACTTTTCTGATCGCTGGCGGAACCGGTCGTCAAGGTGGTGCCGTCGTCAATGCGCTTTTGGCAGACAAGTCTATTTCAATTCAAGCCAAGGACATTTATGTCTTGACGCGGAATACAGCCGGCGCTGGTGCCGCCGCCCTCACAACCCGGGGGGTTAAGCTCGTGCAAGGCGAACTCGGCCAACCCGATGCGATCTTCAAACAGCTGTCAGACCTAGGCGTCAACCCCACAAAGACAGCCGCGTTCCTGTCTCAGGCTCATGGGCCGACAGAACTGAACGATGCGAAAGGTTTCATCGACGCTGCCATTACGAATGGATTGTCGTATTTCGTCTACTCCTCCGTTGATCGCGGTGGACCGGAACTCAGTGACCGCGACGCCTCCTACTGCAAGACCTTCTCCGACAAGTTCCAAATCGAGAAACACCTCGAATCGGCTAGCGCAGGTGGGAAGAACATCAACTACACAATTCTACGCCCAACTTGGTTCGCCGACAATGCTCTCTGGGGATTCCCTGGGAAACTTTGCATGGCAGGATGGCGCGAAAACATGAGAGGAAAGCGAATGCAGGTGACTACGATCAAGGATATCGGACGATGGGCAACTGAAGCTCTTTTGCGTCCTGATGCCTCGGGTATCCGAAACAAGCCTCTTAGCATTGCTAGCGACTATTTGTCGTTCGATGAGATTGACGCCATATTCAAGAAGGAGACAGGGAAGCCGGTCGGCGTCACCTACGGATGGCTAGCGAGATTGATGATCTGGATGGTCGAGGATTTGCGCACTATGTTCGGTTGGATCAATGAGAGGGACTATGGTGCCGACCTCGAGGAGCTGGCGAAGACGGTCAAGCCTACCACGTTCCGGGAATGGCTCAAGGAAGCCCATAAAGCTTGAGAAGTTGGCGGGGTGGTGAATTGTTTATGATTTCATAGAGCCTAAGATACCACGCAGCAGATACCACGCACTTGTTTAATTACAGGAAAGTTTTTTCGATTTACATACCGAGTATACAAACCACTGTTATGGTCGGGCTCACATGTGTTTTATAAAGCAGTCTGAGTGAACCTTGTTACGCAAGAAAAGCAAACCATATTTCTCCAAACAAGCACGATAATCTTATTTCTATCTCAAGCTTCTAGATATAGCCCGCAAATTCTTCGCGATTGCAATTCATGCCAACACGCCATCAAGTACGATCTCGAACTCGACCTCCTCACACTTGACCATCGAGCCCTCCGCGACCCCCGGCCCGCAAGCTGCTGACCCAACCCCAGCACCCTCCACGTCAACTCTCCACAACACCGCCCCATCATCCTCAACCACCAAATCTCTGGGGTGTCTTGCCTTCTCAAGCACCTTTGGAGAATACTGGCTTGCTGCCCACTGAAGCATACCATCGCCCGTTTCAGAGACTCTCGAAGCCTGGATTCCCGCCCCTGACTGGCTAGCCATCTTCACCCATCTCGTATCCATCCTGTTCCCGTTCTCCTGCGGCACTTCATAAGGCGTGTGCAGTTCCTCGACCGTCTTGTCCCAGATCCCAACTCGTTGAGCGGAGCGCTTGTCAGCGTATGACTCGCCAGGACCTAGTCCGAACCAAGATGCGTTCTCCAGGTTCTTCGCGAGGCGAACATCGAGACCAACGCGTGGAAGATAGGCGGGAAATGGCCCGCATGGAAGGATATGTGCTTTTATCCTCACAGAGCCGGATGAAGAAATCGTATAAGTTAGAGTACAGTCAAATCCCCAAGCGAGAATGGGAGGAGAAATGTAAGTTTTGATCTTCAGGTGGATTGTGGATGCATCGACACTCTCGATGGTGAAATCGCGCAACTGAGAAGTGAGCATATCAAGGCCATAGTGCGTCCAGTATAGGTAGTCTTTGGGGCGATCATTATCAGTTGGACTGCGCCAGAATCCTGGTATAATAGCTGCTCGGGTCTCCGGGTCGAGGGCAAGGAGTGGGACTCCCCCCACAGTCCACGATGTTATAGACCCGCGTGCGCGGCAAAATCTAATGTCGAAGTCGGAATTTCCAACGGAATATTCAACTTTTGAACTGCGGAGTTGGAGAGCGCTGGATTGAGAGGCCGGATATTGAGGTACGGAAGCTGTGGGAGAATCGGTCTGGATAAGACGATGCTGGAACCAGGCTATTTCGTGGCCAGCATCGGCCCAAGAAGTCGAGGCTCGAAGGCGGAAGCTCACCGTTAACCACCCGCCCGACGCTTTCAGGTAGTCAAGAATATCCTGGGAAAGACGCACTGTAGCTGTTTCGCCGGGCTTGACGTCAGGAAGAGGCAGCTCGCCAGATGGTCCTATTTGAGTACTATAATATTGTTAGATTTGAATGAATTTATCTGAGTCTCTTGAGACTTACCTATCGGTGAAAGATTCCAACTTGTATACGGCAACCAAGTGCTGCAGATCAACAAAGTCGTAGCCGTTCTCAATAATGATATCTTCGTCCCTCACTGAAGCTCTAACTGGCTCTATAACTTTTTTGAACTCTACTAAACCAGGAGTAGGCGTATGGTTGCTAAAACATAACCCATCCATGACAAATGTATTATCGTTTGGAGTGTCCCCAAAATCACCTCCGTAAGCGTAAAACCCACCTCGTTCCGATTCGGACCCTGTCCATAAACCATGATTGGCCCACTCCCATATATATCCACCCTGGAGCCTCTTGTTATCTCTGAAAGCTTCCTGATAGTCCTCGAGGCCTCCTGGGCCATTGCCCATCGCATGGGCATACTCGCAGAGAATCATTGGTTTCTCAAACTTATCGCCGTCCACGCCAGCCGTTTTCGATAGTTTAAGTAGCGTCTCTACCGAAGGATACATGTATGAAAACATATCGGCACTCTGGGCATCTGCGTCACCCTCATAGTGAACAAGGCGGCCTGGATCGACACGTTTGGCATAATCGTACATGGCTTGGTGATTCTTTCCGTAAAACGCTTCGTTCCCTAGAGACCAGATAATGATAGATGCGTGATTCTTGTCCCGGTGCAGAACCTGTTCCATGCGATCGATGTACTGGTCTTTCCACACATCGTTATCCGATGTGAATGCAGCGGCTTGAGGGAACGCAAGCTTCTTGCGTTCACCGTAGTCCATTTCTTCCGGAATGTTAAGCGGTCTGGCGATGGCATCGTAAAACCCGTGGCACTCCAAATCCGCTTCGTCCATAACCCACAGGCCAAGCTCATCACACAGCTCATAGAGTCGCGGATGGGAAGGGTAATGAGAACAACGAAGAGCATTGACGTTGTACTGTTTCATTAGAAGAAGGTCCTTCTTTATGAATGACAACGGAACCGCCCGACCATGGTGAGGATGGTGGTCATGTCGGTTCACGCCACGTAGAAGGATAGGCGATCCATTAACACACATTAGACCATCTTTGAGTTCAACAGACCTGAAGCCGACGTTGTGTGAAATTGTTTGCAAAGTCTTGTCCAGAGCTTTTGAGCGAAGGGTGATCTCAAGGCCATATAACGTGGGAGTCTCAGCAGTCCACTTTCTTGGTGCAGGAATTTGAAGAGATAAATCAATTTTTGACTTGTCGGCCTGGACGGAAAATGTGTCTGATTTCACAATCTGGTTGCCCTGAGCGGAGTCTCTGAGCCTTAAGGAGACTTCAACATCAACGGTCAGCGCCAGATCCAGCGATACCGCCAACGTTGCGTCCTTATATTGCTCGTCAAGGATAGTCTTCACGAAGAAATCCTCAATGCGAGCCTCTCCAGGAAACGCAAGTAGGTATACATCTCTGTATATTCCTACGTCACAGTTTAGCTTCGCATCACGTGAAAGAGTCAGTTACCAAGAGCTCATACCTGATAACCACCATTGATCTTGGTCTTCAATATAAGACCCGTCGCACCACTGATAAACCCGTACCGAGATCTCATTGATAGAATCCCTCGTCACAAAGGCACTAACGTCAAACTCGCTCGGGTTCCGCGATCCTTGGTGGTAGCCGGCAGGATGTCCATTGACCCAAACATGAAAGCTGCTGTCAACGCCTTCAAATCGGAGTCTCAACTGGGAAGATTCGTCCCAAGCCGATGGCACGGAGAAAGTGCGGCGGTATGTGCCCGTCGGGTTTTCTGTGGGCACATGCGGCGGGCACACCGGGAATGGATATATCACATTCGTGTACTGAGGCCTGCCATGTCCCTGGAGCTGCCAATGTCCGGGCACGTTGATTTTAGTCCACTCAAGGTCTGGTGCTTGGAGGCTTGATTCAGTATCCTGAATCGAATGGTCCGGAGTGTCCAAAGTGGTGCCCTCAAGGACACTCTCTATGTCACTGCTTACTCTTGAATCGTGCTTTCTGGGCTCTGGCGCCTCCAGCGGATTAGTGGCGTATTGAAAGTCCCACGTCCCATTAAGGAGAAGCGACGTTGCGGGAATGTGATATGCTCGGGCCGGGAGTCGGTTCCGTTGGAAGACGAGCTCATTGCCGTAATCGGGCAATTCCCCTTGGCCTGTGGAAAGCACAAAATTTGATTCCAGTGAAGGCATTTTTCTTGACGAGGCACCAAAAAATGTATTTGGATTAGCAATGGGAAGTAGGAAAGTTTTCAAGACCTCAGGTCTATTTGAAGGGAATAAGTGTGGAGAAGGCACGGAGGAAGCCATAAACCCGCGATATCCGTGATAGCGAATGCAATTGTGCTCTGCATGGAAATAACGTAAATAGCTCCTTATTACCGTTTCTAGCTTCTTCTCAAGCTCTATGGATTGGCGTAGAGAAGCTCTGTTGGTTTCGTTATCCTCGCTCGGGGAAGCAGCTTCCGTTTCCGATGGGGAAGAGGGCTTTTGGCAATACAAGTAGCACGGTCCGTTACGGGCCGTGGGCATACTCACGTGCTCATTTTCCCTGCAACAACACCAGATGCCGAATATCGAATTATGGCCCATATGCCTCGGCGATGTGCTTATATCGACGGAAAATTTCTCTGCCAACCCAACACTAAGTTACCCCACAATACTCTATAGCTTCCCCATTATTTTTAGCACTTCTACACTCATGACATGACCAGGAATCCATACAATACACTGGGAACAAATCGCAATCTCAAAACGTATCTTAAAATGGCATTGGTACTATTTTGAGATTCGTTTTCGTGTTGCTTTCTTTCGTGGTGCGCGATAATCTATATAAATCAAAACGGCCTAGCAATAGGCATATAGCTATGCTAATAATTCGACGGAACGACGTATATTTAGCCGGTTGTGCTCGAGCTTCACACGTGCGAAATACTGTCTGTGGATTTTTCAAGTGGTTATAATTTTCAGCTCGTATTTGTTACCACATTTCTAGTGGGATGGGATAGGCAATATGAAGTTGGTACTTTTACGTGTTGCTAGTTCTGTGTTCTGGGACCGCGTTTCCATCTGTTGAGGTGGTAACTGTTGGCAAGCCACGAAATCCCCATTACTGGCCGAAACTCACTAGCGAGCCGTTAATTACCGCGCGTGAATCCCTTTTGACGTTCGCTCTTGCATCCCATCCCCGCACTACAACCTTCACTGCTCGTCCAACCAACCAACTGCTGCAGTTACTATAAGAATTTGCTTTACCGGGCTATATTTATTTAGGTCTCATACTTATGTGAACTGTGCTGCCCATCTGGTGCCATACTAATGACCCCACATATTCCAGCATAACTGAGAAGAAATCCCCGGGCTTTCGCCGCTATGAACAGACCCCGGAGGCCCCTATTGTCTAGGTCGCGAGCGGCGCATGCGGTAAGAATACCCCAGTTATATATTGTGCCCCTACAGATACTAACGAAATGCTTGATCATTATAACCACCCAGGTGCTGACTGGAAGCTGACTGCAATCTGTAATAGTGCGACGTTTGCAGGCGAAGAAAGATCCGGTATGTTTGATCCGCAATGCTAATTGCTACCTGTGTCCAATATTAAACTAATTACAAATTAGATGTGATGGAGGGCAACCATGTGCGACATGCTTATCCTCAAACCAAGAATGTAACTATGGTGCTGAGGCGGGTCCGTAAGTAGCCAAGGTTTTGACATTATTGATGCCTTACTCACAAGAATGAAGGAAGGGGAAGAGTGACCTGATCCTTGATGGAGTTTTGCGCATGGAGCGACATCTTGAGGAGATGAGTGCTATTATTGTGAATCCCCTATTCTGGTCGCCAATTGATGTTGCTAACCCCTGGATCAGACATCAAACGTGGGCATGCTCGGCCACCGCGTCTTAACAGATCCAGCCATCTCGCCAGAAGTAACGCACTCTCATGACATAGCGGAACGTTCCTCGCATCATCAATCTCAGTCAACAACTGCAAATGATACACAAGGTGTGCACAACGCTGTACTTTCCGGTCTTCACACCTCCACTACTGAATCGGTCCTTGACTGGCCGCACTTCGATATCTTCCCCTCAATACGACAGAATTATATTCCCATCTTTCAACTTGAGAAGTCCCGATCGTCATTGAGAACTATGACATCTACATCAGTACCATATCTCCGTGCTGATGAAGTACAACAGGTAGTCGAAGCATTTCAATCATCAATTAATTTCTTCTACCCAACGATGTTAAAAGACAAACTCCTTGCTGTCCAACATCTAGTCCTTTCAGGGAACCTAGATGACAGTGTTTCCTCTTGCATCTCTCTACTTGTCATGGCTCTCGGATGTGCAAGTCAAGTTGTTAGTTTGCTCTTTAACGCCGAGGCCTTGACTCCAGAGTCCTTGGAATACCAACTTTCTCAAAGAAGATTGGCCGAGATATATTTTGATGGTGTATTGAAGAGACTGTATACCACACAATTGGAGATATCTACAGAATCGACACAATGTTTATTTTTTGTTGCGTCAGTACTTCCCTAGATTCCTGAATATAGACCATATTGACGCCTATAGTTTATACTTTGCATATCTCCAAAGGCCGTTACAGGCGTGGTCATACATAAATACAACGGCCGCGAGGTGCCGTCTGTTATTATCTTACGGTTCTTCTAATTCACCCGATGAGAATGAGTGTCTCAGGAGAATTTTCTGGTCTTGCTACATTCTCGAAAGGTTGTCCCCATTCCACTCCCTCAGGCATACAGAGAATGTAACTAACAAAGAGCAGCGATTACCTTGCAGAGTTTGCTGCTCTACCTGAAAGCGGCATCGCGTCTATTGAATCCACAATCCCGCTCCCAGGCCAATACAACACCCACACCATAACCAACAGGTTCACGCCTGCTACCCCTTTATCCCCACCATCTCTTCTGCCTCTGACTATTCCAAGGTCAGAAGACGAAGAACTCTCCTCTCTCTATTTTTTAGCATGTATCTCAATGCGTCGGCTTCTCAACCGAGTCCATGACATGCTATATGCAGCCACGACTGGGGTCTCCCCATCTCCGTCGCGCTTCCCCACCGTGGTCTCGGAACTATCACATCAGCTCGACGAATGGCGCGATTTACTTCCTGAGCCATTTAAGTTCTCTCTAGATACCGAACCGACCCAGACCCAACACGGCGGCTTCTTGAGACAGCGGTATTTGACCTGCCGGAGCGTCATATATAGGCCTTACCTGACATGGGTACTCGAAAACTGGAATAGCGGCGCAAGTTGGGAAAACGGCGGAGTGAGCCAAGAGATTCTCAGCAAATGTGAGATATGTCTCCAGGCTTGCATCCTACATATCCAGAATCTGCGGGGTTATGTGCACACCATTATGATCGATATGTGGATATGTAGCATGAGCATGACTGGTGGGATGTTGATCTTGACTGCATCATGTCGGATTCCAGGTCTACGAGACCAAGTAAGTGAAGAGCTATTGACTCTCGGGAGTCATTTAAGAGGTTTGTTCCAGCAATGGAGCAGGGTGCCTGGGGAGAATGATGCGTCAAGAAGCCCAAGCGTTGCGCAAAGCTTGAGGATGATCGGGGAGATCGAGGATTTTATTAGGCAGGAGTATCAGGCTCGATCGGATTCTCGGGAGATGACCAGGAATTATTAAAATGCGCCCATCACTTATCAATTAAACCGTATTTCAACACTATCTCTGTGCGCGGCAGCGGAGGGATATAAGAGACAAAATAATTATTATACAAATTTCACCTTAGAAGCTACAAATATTGTGAGGCACGATAACAATCATAATCCAAGGATATTACGGATACTAGTTAGAGACTTCAAAGTAAATACAGGCGCATGTTGTAGCCTGAATATTTTGGCCTAGCCCTGGCAAGAAATAAACAAATGGCGCTACAAAAAGCTTGATCCTGCACTATCATCCCCCTCAAATCAGTTGCCATGAATGCATCATAATTTGTTTCTCGGCCCGTTCTACTGCGGTCTCTGAACCTGTCTTAGTTATGGGTTTTGTTCTCTGGCGGGCTGTTCTCTGTGGTGGTTCCACCGCCACAGCTCTACTGTAATTAGCTAGTAGCTTACCCCTGCCACAGCTCCCCATGGTTCTAACCCTCTACCCCACCGCTACCCCGCACTCCAATCCCACCCTCTTCTCGGGGAAGGCGGCACCGAGAAAAAACACCTGGCCTGTCACTGGTCCACGGCAAGATAGCTTACCTGCAAAACAAGGATTTCGAACTAGCCAACACGGCACATGGCTCGTTTATGGTATATTAAGCACCACTCCGCAGCGGCCCGAGCAGGTCTCCTATGTTTGGCCTTCAATATCCCTCTCTCTAAATCTTTCCCACGGGGAAGACTTGGCGCCTCCTACCCCGCAAATTAAGCTATCCTGAACGCAGTTGTACCACCACTCGTAAAATGATAATAAAGAGCTGATGATCCGCATATCATCCTTCCTTCCGTCCTTCAGTTCACTTCGACTGGCAAAGGGATACCAATTCCCACCGCAGCCTTCGCTTTAATCACAACAATTCTCCTGTCACCTTGTGTTTTTTTCACGAATAATTCACCATGGCAGAAGATGGCAAAGGAGACGTTCATCTTTATGAAAATGCAACACGAGACGATAAGGAAAAAATCGGCTTGACTGGAGAAGCACTGCAACTCTCCGACGATGTCGACGCAACAAAGCAGAGCCCATGGACGAAAAGCATGTTTCGACTGTACGGTGTTCTCGCTGTTGCATACCTGTGCGGGTGCTTGAACGGCTACGATGGCTCACTTATGGGTGGCTTGAATGCGCTCACGAATTATCAGCACTATTTTGGCCTGTAAGTCCAGGCCCTTTGCGGTCCCAGAATGTTCCCAGTTGCTGATTGGAGTTTTTATCAAGTGCCCAGGCCGGGTCTAGCACGGGAATCGTCTTTGCAATGTACAACATCGGCTCTATTCCTGCTGTCTTCCTGACAGGCCCCGTGAATGATATGTGGGGCCGCCGCGCGGGGATGTTCACCGGAGCCATTATTATCATCATCGGCACATGTGTCCAAGCGCCATCCGTCAATAGCGGAATGTTTCTCGCAGGCCGTTTTATCCTCGGCTTCGGCGTCAGTTTCTGCTGTGTATCTGCACCCTGCTATGTCAGTGAGATGGCTCATCCCTCTTGGCGTGGAACTCTTACTGGCCTGTACAATTGCACTTGGTAAGCACAATACCGAATGCATTCTTGTCTGAAATAAATCTAACAAGTGTCAAGGTATATTGGTTCCATAATTGCAAGCTGGATTATCTACGGTTGCAGTTACTATGAGAACGATTACAATTGGCGCATTCCAATTTGGTGTCAGTTATTCACATCTACTCTGGTTGCCGTCGGCGTTTGGTTCCTTCCCGAATCCCCAAGATGGCTTATGGCCCAGGACAGGATTGAAGAAGCTGTCAGTGTCCTTGCACGCTACCACGGGGAGGGTTCAGTCTCGCACCCAATCGTTCAACTACAAATGAAAGAGATGTCCCATCAGATCAGTAGCGATGCATCAGACAAGAAATGGTACGATTACCATGAGCTATGGAACACTCATTCTGCCCGACGCCGCTTGATTTGCGTTGTCGGCATGGCATGGTTTGGCCAGATTTCAGGAAACAGTATAACATCCTACTATCTCCCCGAGATGGCAAGGCAAGCCGGCATTAATGATCAACACACCCAGTTGGTGCTCAACGCCATCTACCCTGTGATTTGCTTCATCGCCTCTTGCGCCGGTGCTCGCCTCACGGATAAAATAGGACGCAGACCACTTCTCCTTTACAGCATTGTGTTTTGCTCGTTCTGCTTCGCAATAATGTGTGGCTGTTCGCATATAGCCCATGTCAGCCCTTCGAACAAGGCCGCTGCCAATGCCTCCATCGGATTCATCTATGTCTTTGGGATAGTATTCTCCTTTGCCTGGACACCTCTACAGAGCATGTACATCGCAGAAACCCTCCCGACCTCTACCCGCGCCAAGGGCACTGCAATTGGAAATCTCAACTCTTCGATCGCTTCTACGATTATTCAGTACGCATCGGGCCCTGCCTTCGCAAAAATTGGTTACTATTTCTATGCATTTTTTGTGGCTTGGGATCTTATTGAGTGGGTGGTGATGTATTTCTATTTCCCCGAGACCAAGGAGCGCACTCTCGAGGAACTAGCGGAGGTCTTTGAGGCACCCAACCCGGTGAAGAAGAGTTTGGAGAAGAGAAGTGCGAGGACGGTGATGGCTACGATGCGTATTGACCACTTAGATGAGAAGGACGCATTGTGATAGCTTCATGTATAATTTCACATTTACATTATAGCTTCGTCCAAGTCGCAGCTATGCCGTGGTTTTGTCCTATTATCAATTTGTGAATCTAAACATACCAGTTGAACCCTCAGATAAAAAGTCTCTATTTTTAATCGGTACTGTGAATGTGATAGACGTGAAAAGCTGTATTATTATATAATTTTAGGTTATTCATCCTACGACGCAGAGTATTCACAGAAGGCGGTTTAAACTAGTGGTTTCAGGAGATTCAGACAATTCCTATTGAATACACTATGTAAAACGCTACATCTCCCTACATAGTAACGACAACGACCAAGCTAAAGGCCAACACCAACATTGCCCAAGCGCTATGCTTGTGAATTATTGCGTCACCAGTTGGCGTTGGCACTGAAGCTGTTGGTGCTGTTGTACTCCTCCCTGGGCTGGTACGTTTTAGCTTGGCAAATCCAACAGTTCCATTTTCCAGGTTATGATCAATGTAAAGCCCTTGGAAGAATGCTATGAAATCATCAATATTTGTGCGAGAAAATGAGAGCCAATAGTGCTTACGTTGACCAATAACCCAAAGTCCTGGATGCGCTTCATAATTCTGGCCGCTGAGGACAGCCGTGCAGTTATTATTGCCATTATCTACGGCTGCCCATGCGTTCAGTGGGATGTTGAAAGTCGAGCTTCTCATGCTGATGGCACTCAAACTATCTTTGCCAGCAAGAGAAGCATTGGTCTTTGGTGGAAAGTTGAATCCAACAGTTGGGGGCTTGTCGCATGGAAAATATCCAGTGAGCAAATCACCCTCGCTGGTAGATCGGAGAACACCTTGGATGCCTGTTGCGTTAAAAATGGCAGAAACAGTGACGATAGGTCTACTTTCGTTAGAAATCAGGGCCCAAAGGCATAGATTACTTACCCAACTATTGTAGCAGTTCCGCTGTCGAGCTCAATCAGCATGTCTCTTTCCTGTACCTCTCCGCCAACCACAAGGTCGCCGAGAAGGACCCAGTTTTCAATAATAGGTGCTACGACTAGATCACCAGTGTACAGAGAAGTGTCCAGTTCTCCCAATATTTGTATTCCAGTACCGTCATCTGACAGTGCGAGACCGAATCGGCATTCGGAGACTTTCTTTTGATCGCAAAGTGATTGAAAGAATGGTGTGGCATTGGAACTGGCTGGGAATTGGTTGAATCGCTGCCCAGAAAATCCAGCAATTCCGGACTTTTGCAGTGGTGATGTCCCATTTGCAGCTCCCACAATCTGAGTTGCCGTCAAGCCCCCGAAGATGACTTTGTCGGAATAAAGGTCGCCGACGATCTGTGGAAGTTCTATTGTTAGCGTCGCTCCATGGGTGAATGGCGGTACTCACTGTTGCACTTCCAGTGCCATCTTTCGATGTTGTACCATATGTATTCTCGAAAGTAATATTAAGATTCTCGGATGTTTTTCCGGGGATGTAGATTCCTGGGTTCACAACAATATCTCCAGACCCAGTATCGATTAAAAGACTGAGGTTGGAAGCGCCGCCAACGGTAAAGTCAGCGTACCAGAATCCCTATCGAATTGTTAAAAAGTATGGCGCAAAAGACCAGGACACATACTGCATCAATTTTTATTCCTTCAGAAGCCAATCCATCTCGTCGGTCAAGGTGGAGAAATCCCGTACTTTTCTTCTGGGAGAGGGTAAGGCGAGACGAGCGAGGTAGATCAACCGAATCCGAACCATAAACAGCCACAACGGCTAGAGAAACCAGCATAAAATATGATAAAATCTCCATTGATGTAAAATTGGAGGTGAGACGGTGGAGGATATGTTTTTTAAAATACAAGATTATACTCTTTTAAAAATATAAGCGCCTTGATCACATTTATATTTTCACAGAACACAAATTTAAATAGAAAGGCATGGGGAGCCACGAGGCTTAAAACATGCCCTAACAAGTCATGCCATATCTAATTGGTAGCATCGGCAAACTTGATATAGGGTCCAACATGTTTGCAGGCACGTTGTAAGATTCTCAGAATAGATGCTGAGATGTGGACCCCAATGTTGATGAGAGAATCCTCCGCCTCGGAATAGGGTCCGTGGTTGTCTCGCATAACACTCTCTGATTGGCCGCATCGGCAGTTAGTCATCAAAAAACGGGTCTCAACCCCACCTGTCAGATAATAGAGCTGTCGATCTGAAGCCCTTAAAATGAGATGTCTTGGGTGAGACGGACGTTGACGTTGAATGATTACTGGAATATGAACATAAATCTGCTAGTCCCACGTTATGCCTTGGCGGCTAGTCTCAGTGGCATTGATGTGCTCAATTTCGTCTTCTCCGAATACTTCAACACCACGTAGACCACCATCTATTTGTGAGATAAATCGCTCTGTGAAACATTCGAGGTTGTTGCTTGCAGCAAAATATGGAGTTAAGAACGGGTGGCAAAATTAGAGTGAAGACGGGGTGCCTTACTTGCAGGTGGGTTAAGCCTTCCTCTTTAGAAATATTTGGTCCATTATCCACTTTTGTCTTGAACTAAATTAGACGATAGGATTCGAAAGGTTAGGTGCGATGAAACTAAACCTAATTGTTCGCGCTGCGTAGACACCGGACGCAAATGTGATGGCTATAGCAAGCCTGCAATTCCTCCTTCCAATGAGCTGCGTATCAAACGGCGACATGAACAGAGGCAAAGCCCCCCGTCGAGCGGGCCTGGCATGGTTGTTACCCCTCCTGCATTTGATGATGAACGACAACGGCAGATCTTTAGCTTCTTTGTTACCTGCACCTCGTCAGTTACGTCTGTATACTACAGTTCGGACTTCTGGTCACGCCTTGTCCTACAGCTTTGCCTTTCCGAGCCTGCGATTAAGTATGCACTTTGTTCGCTAGGCGCGCTGCACCGAATGTTTCGGGCATCTCACAAGGCCAATCCGGACGGGACTGCTGTTGAGTTCCAAAATTATTCTCTCACCCAATACAATCTTGCAGTCAAATGTACACAGAGACTTCTGGCACAAAGTTCATCCGGCGACTCTGACCTGGTGGTCAAGGGCTTGGTAGCATGTGTACTGTTTGTGTGCTACGAGAACTTGGTGGGTAATTACAGAACAGCCCAGATGCACCTCCAAAATGGCCTGAAAATACTCCCTAGTGCTGTTGACAGACATGGTAAACAACACCCCATGGTACCCGACAACATCACGCAGGTCCTGAATCGGCTCGACCTACAGGCTATGTCATTTGCTGACTCCGAAGCACCCTATCCATATCATCAGGGCCAACATTTGAGCATTCCCACGTCCTCGCCGTCGTTGGCTTACATCAGAGATGCAACGGACCATCTCATCGAAACATTTCGATGGATTTTCTGGCTTGCTGCATTCTCGGAACCGAATCCAATTCCACAGTGGCAACTCGATGCGACACGTAGAGTATTACAGCAGTGGGCAAATGAATTTGATCGTTTGGTGGTTTTTTTTACCAGAAGATGATAGAAACACCATCGTGCTCCTCAGAATGTACCACACAACCATGACTATAATGGTTGCAACTGGATTATATGGGCAAGAGACCCTACACGATGAGCACCATGGACTGTACGAACATGTTGTCGCATTAGGCAAGATCTTGTTTGACCAGCAAAGGGTAGCTGGGTTCACGGAAGGCTACATCTTCTGCTTCGAACCTGGAGTCATCTTCCCACTCTTTTTTGTCGCCATGAAGTGCCGTCATCCCTTGATCCGACGACAAGCCATCGCGTTACTCGAAACCGCGAACCATCAAGAGGGGACATGGGAGAGTGTTGGAGCAGCCAAAGTCGCAGAGTTTGTGATGGGTGTTGAGGAAGAGAACTTGCCTCAGGGGGCTGGCTCGGAACAAGTTTTGGAATCTGCACGTGTGCATTTGGTCAACATTTCATCAAAAATAGAACGGCGTCGGATTGATTTGAGATGCTTGCTTCGGACGAGTGAGGAAGATTCGTGGTATTTTAGGGAGGGGACTGTGTTTTATTGAGATCTGAAGCGATGATTTTCCTTTCCACCGGAGAGGATATGGCGCAGAGTATCTGCTTTACACAAGGAAGGGAATAGGTGGTGGAGGTGCGAGAACTAGTTTGTTGATTTCTACCTATTTCCTTGCGATTTATATTTGTCTGCGTTTTGAAATGAAGGAATGAAGAGTTAGAAGAATAAATAGACCAAACCAACTGCAACATATTATATAAATAGTCTGACCAAGCCCGGCGGAGCTCTTTGCAGACATCTAATTATTATTCAGCTACAGTTACAGCAACTATTTCATTCCCTGCATTCATAAAACAGTCCACTATCGCGTCCGCTCATCGTATTGACCAACCAGAAGTACACATAGCTCGATCGGCTCAAGCACACGAGCATTATCTGTCACGCATCGCAGCTGTCAACACAAGTATCCCATGCACCAGGAAACTTGCTATGCGATTGGAACGGGCACAGTGTTTTACAATCTACTCAAGGCAGTCAGTCTCGTGTACATTTCCCTCATTTGTATGCCTCACAGGCGGCCCGAGGCACGCCTTCTCGTCGCTCTTCGAACGGCAAGGGGCTTAAACTTGACGCCGTGTCTATTATTCCCAGGTAACTACGGATCCTATTTATAACGTGGTGGGTAGAATGCCCAATTGTCTTGAATCAATGTTCATGCATAGTAGATACTATATTTGAATGCCGCGAGATAATCAGTTGCAGTGAAGTGCGAAGTAGATTGCGCATACATTCTTCCTTCCAGCCTCGCGCATTGGTTGCTTCGTGAAAGCTAGAGAGAAACATGGCTAGCCAATTACGGGCCTGAATTGCTATGCCGATTCATTCCCGATAGTAACAGGATTTTACTCGACAAAATAGTTCTCTAACATTTCTGAAATTGCCGAGCATCTTGGCCCTCTTGGCTATTTATCCTTGATCTTGGACGGTGATGATGGGGTGTTTTCTAAAGAAATGTTATCATCCAACATCTCTAACATTGCCCTGCACCTTGGCATTTTTAGTCCACCTTCCCCGTTTCAACAGACGGTCACGGCAACCAAACATGCCATGACAACCTTGTATTCTTGTATTCCATCTCTTCTCGCCGCATGGTCTGGGTGTTCGGAGACTAAATTAAGCTAGTGATTGAAATAGGTGTTGTCGCACGCGACCAATTTCCTATTTTTGTATCGACAACTCCAACACCGCCAAGTATACCAAGTATACCAAGCATCACCACAAAACATTGGCTGTGACGCAAGTTTGACGTCTGATCTTGGCTGTCTCCACGAGGAGGTTCGACAATAGAAAACAGCCTCCGTATACTATTGTTGGGATGCGACGTGTATGAACCTTGGGGAAATGGCATTGTACGCGCATATACAAGTATGGGGACGATTTCCTCTGTATGCCCTTCTTTTCTTTCTCTCACTATCATCAACACCATTCCTTCTCTCTCACGTTTTGTTTCTTGAAGTTTTAGCTACTCAGCTGGCCTGCCTTTGATTCTTTACGGCCGGACCGTCCTTTACTTTTCCAGACCTTTCTTCCCTTCTCGTCCTTCACATTTCGATCTAAAGCCAACTCGCTTCTTCGATACTTCTCGCAACCATGCGTTTTCTTCCCATTATCCTCTTGGCCGGTCTTGTTTCGACCTCTATCGCTGCGCCGCATCCACATAAGAATGGGCCAGCAGGCAAGGCCACAGCAGCAACCAAAAATGCACAGAAGGGGCCCAAGGGCGGAGCTGCCGCGGCAGCAGCTGCGGCAGCGGCTGCTGTTGCTGTTGGGACCGGCACTGCAGCTGTCGCTGCCAATGGCACTGCTGCCGCCGCTGGAGCAGAGGAGGTAGAGGATCCAAACAAGCTCGACCTCGCTGGGGTTTTTGGCACAGCCGTTGCCCTTCAAGGTGGCGACATCCAGCAAGACGTTCTCTTCACCAAGTCTGCCGTGGGCGCCCTTGAGGTAGAGTTCAAGAACGCCGCAGGCCGCACTCTCACCGTCACCGAGAACAAGACTCCGGCCGCCCCACCAACAGGCTTCCAGGCACTAGAGCCAAGCAGTTTCAAGATTAACTTGGCCGAGGGCGCTGATGCGTTGACGTTACAGAAGGTGGATTATATCATTGACGCAACCAGTAAGCATTCCTAGTAACTTATTTCATAACGGATTGCTAATACCACCCCAGGCCCCGACATAGTCGGCCTCGATATTGCCAATGGCCAGATCGGCAAACTTTGCACCGAGACAAATACCTTCGTCATTGACAAAGCCCTGGGAGAGCTTGAATTCGAGGCCGATGAGAATGAGCTCACCCTGACTGTTACAAACATGAACGGCGAGTGGGGTATCTTCGTTCCGGTTGCCGCTGCCAATGCTGCCGCCGTCGCTGGTGGTGATGCTGCTGCCAAAGCTGCTGCTGCCAAGGCTGATGCTGCCAAAGCTGATGTTGCCAAAGCTGATGCTGCCAAAGCTGATGTTGCCAAAGCTGATGCTGCCAAAGCTGCTGCTGCCAAAGCCGGGGAAGCTGCCGTTGGAGAAGAGGGAGACACCGACGTCGCTGGTAAATTCAATATTGCTGTCGCCACACCAGCCGGAAACCAGAAGACCGATATCCTCTTCACGGGTAACGTAAGTTCCATCCAAGACCCAATACCATCTGCTGGCGATACTAACCTCCACCCAGGAAGCCGGAAACCTCGAAGTCGAAGTCAACGCCACAGTCGCCAACGCAGTGACGGTTGTCAACGGCAACCCATCCGGCAACCCTCCCACGGGCTTCCTCTTCGTCGACCCTCAATCGTTCAAGATCTCCACCAAGAGTGCGACGGCCGCTACCGATGTCGTGAAGGTTGATTACATCTTCTCTGCCGCGATCCTCGCTGCTGTCGACCCGACACAAGGGCGCATCGGTAAGCTAGACGTAGCGACCAACGAATTCGTCATTGATGGCCTAGGAGAGTTCGAGTTTGAGGTTGAGGAGAACGAGTGGAGTCTTACCGTCCCGGATCTGAACGGCGAGTGGGCCATTTTGATCCCACAAGCTGCAGTGTTGTGAGCGGAGGTGTCAAGGATGGGATTGGGGTGTTAGGTGGTCTAGTTCCAAAGTTTTGTTTGTAGGTTTTAGAAAAAGGCGGAGAAAATCACGGGAGTGATCGGGGTTGTACAATACAATATATATGAGTACTTCATATTCAAGGATCCCATTACACCCGCCCGCCATTTATATATATTTTCTTTGCAGCCCGCCGCCAACTCCGCGCCTTCCAGCTCCAACCACCGACCCCCACCCCCCAAGTTCCAGAAACGCCTCCTCGTACTAAATCATCAAGTTATACAAAAGCATACTCCGACCTATCCCCTAGCCTTAACACAAATAGCAATCAGTCGATCAACATACGTCTCCGGCTCATCCAACTCCTTCGTCGCGCCTCCCCTCGTCCCCATCTTCGCCTGCGGCATCATCTTGACCAGCTCCGTCCCACGTTGTCCATCGTCGCCTCCACCACCCTCCTCGTCACGCCCAACAATAACACTGACTTCCTGGCTCACCATGATCCCTCCAAACTGATCTTCCACTAGCATAGCCTCAGAGCCACTCTCTAAACTAAGCCGTGGCGGCGTCAGCGCCTCCCTCTTCTCATGCCTGCGCCCAAATCGCACGCCCAAAAACCGGCGCTGTGCCCTCGGCGGCAGCGCCGGCATCGGCATATCCATCGCGTTATCGCCATACACCGATTCCAAGCGCTTGAATCCCTCGCTCGACTCTCTCCGCCCCGAGCTCATAATGCTCTTCCTGCCATCATCGACACTCGGCCTGCGCTTACTAAGTATCGGCGCGAACTCGCGATGTACCTTACGCGTAAAGTGTTGGTGATCTGGGCTATTCCTGTACACGTATTGCTGGGTACGGAAGAAGCTAAGGGGGACGAATTCGAGTTTCTGGCCGTGTGCGCGGAACTGGATTGGCACAATGAGGCGGAATGTGATTATTGCTGCGCGGCCTGGCGGTGCGTCGGGGTTAGGACCGCGGCAGGGCACGGTTAGGGGGTGGGCGATGAGGAGGGCATCGTTGAAGATCGGGTCGTCGATTTCGTCTTTCAAAGCGACGAGTGCGTCGCGGAATTCTATGGCGAATAGCTGCTCCTTTGATACGGTTACGGCGTTGGGCGATTTCGCATTCAGAAATTTCAGACACGCGGAGACCGACATCCCGTCGAGTTGAGAAAGATACTCGCTCTCCCAGCCCCTGAGGCTGTCAATTGGTAACTTCATGGCAGGGAGCTGGTTTCTGCGATTCTTGGGGACAAGGATATCAAAACCGCCACGCACACGGGCTCTAAGGGCGAATAACGCCAAGTGGACACCAGGGTTCATAATGGGCGTGTCCTTAGAGTATTCGTACATGTTAGTGAGCTGTCCCGGGAGGTCATCGCAGTTGATCTGCATGCTGCGAGATAGGATAGGGGCAACGCCTTTTACTTCGGCAAAGCGATAGCCAGAGGCTGCAAGGCGGTCGGCCTCTGGTCTATCCACGCTGCGGACAAGGATAAGGAGTTGTCCTTTGCTACTGAGAACACGGGCTGCTGCAACATTTGTCTCTTCGTCCGCGGAGGATTTGGTTCCTTTCCGTCTGGCTCCAGGCTCCGTGTTGTGCATCTCGCCAGTGTTTAATATCTCGTCGAAGAGGACGCCAACATTTTCCAAGGGTTGGTTTAACTGTTCTGCAAGATCTGCGGCGGCAGTACAGAATAGTTCGCGGAAAATAACCGAATAGTTCTCTGCATACACGTCCTCGCTGTCATGGGGATCGGTTTCTGACTTTAGCTCAGGACGGTACTTCCTGGTTTGTTGGATGTGAGTACGCATGCCAGGAATGAGAGTAGAGATGCTGCTCCAATTGCGCGTGGTGCGGAAAATCCACTGAAATACTGGGTGGGAGGTTCCGAACACTTCGTCGAAAGACTATTGTTTAGGTTAGTACATGGGATAGTTCGATGCAAGGGATTTTCGCTCGACATACCCATTCAACATAGGAAGTCGTGACCTTCTGATTTGGGAGGAGGCCTTCAGGTGTCACCATGAGTCTCCCATTGGGATCGAATATTGCAGAGGCCAAGAGAACTTGCTGAGCTCTGTTTGCAGAACGGGTTCTTCTCCTCTGTGTAATGATGGTGAGGCCAAGAATGATAACACAGGCAGCAACAGACTATCTCGTGTTAATATCCCTACGGGTGCAGAACGAGTGGAAAGCCATACCAGAACAATGATAACGATAACAGTCGAGTTCCTTGGAATGTCATGGGACTTGCCAGGATTGGCCATTTTCAGGCGATAATTTGTTCCAACGGACGCAACCCAATGCATTCCAAACACGGCGCACCCTAGAATGACAGCACACATAGCTCTCTTCCACCATGAGTCGGTCCAGGCCGCACGCAGGGCAAAAAAAACGGACAGTGCCGTGATACTGGCGAAAACAGCGATAACCGCTGAGCCTACCACATATCCCACGCTATAAATACACGTATAGTTCGAAATTCCAGCTTGCCCAAGGTAATGCATCCCGCAGATTGCCAATCCAGCCAGGGCTCCGCCAACTGGGAGTCGGACCCTGCTGATTTTGTCGTCAGACCCAACGGCCATGAAGGCGGCTAGGAGCACTATGATCGGAACGAAAAAGGAGAGAGCTGTGAAGCCCTGGTTGTATGCGATCTGGATTCCGAGATGCCCATCGCCTAGGACAATTGCGCGGTTGCCGATGTAGTGCATGCACCAGATGGAAATGCCTCCCATAGAGATCGACGAGCTAAAGAGGAGCAACCTGACCGAGATCCATTAGTTTTGATGATACTCGTAACTTTCACGATCAGAACGCACCAGTTGTAGAGGCCTTTACCGGCAGTCCGCCGGTGAAGGAGCTCCAAAGTCGTCCATGCTCCGATAAAGCTGACCAGGTATGACAGCACCACAAATCCTGGAGTAAACTGTCTGGGGACGATGCGTCCCTCCCACTCCTTCCAGTCGATCGCGTTGTCCGTCATAGCATTCTAATGAGTGCCGTGACTGAGGCGCGGATTTTGCCTTTCAATCAACAGGTACGGTTCAGTACACGCTTGCCGAACGGGAGATGATCCTACCCCTTCTCCAGGACAGGGACCAACCAGGATATTAACCATTTTCAAATCCTCCAACAGTGCCAATTCTACATCGGGTTGGGAGGCATTATCACATTCGTGGCGCTCCAATAAGGGAGGAGCAATGCATGGGCAACAAAAATATCCGAGGCCCATTACCGATGTTTTCCTGGTTCGCACGAACCCTCGAGCTGGGCCACTCTCAGCTGAGGCTGGGTGCATATTGAACGCCACTAACCTATCCCCTGCGAATGATCGCTCTCGAGGCACCTGGCTAGTGCCGCTTTGTGGATATGATGAGTGGGGTGCGTGCGTATGGTGGATAGCCCAGAGTAGTCCAGAATATGGTCGGGACCGTGCATCGCTAAGACTTGACACTGTCGATTATCGATTATCGATTATGCAATAGCAGAATGTGCCGCGGCCAAGAAGCTGCTCGAGGCTCTCCCCAGTTCAATATGTGGGCGGCTGACTCTTTTAATGGGCCGCGATATGATAACTTTTATCCAAAGCGACAAAAAATCCTTGGTTTTCAAGTATGGTCACTTTAGACACGGCTGGTGCTCGGGACGGCGAGTTGCACAGCATCCCCGTAAGGCCCTTATTAGCGCGGCTGGACCGGGGGCACACCCGGAGTCTTTTAGACCATACGAAGCAGGGAAATCCTCCCGTATCGGGATGCCTGTGTAGGATCACTGTGCGTTTGAGATGCCTGCGTGGGCGGGTGAAACTAAGACAGCCCTCCACAGTAATGCAGCTAACTCTTGCGATGCAGATACGCGCATGCAGCTCATATTTTTCGTGATACAGTAGTAAAACGAGGGAAGGATAATACTGATTTCAAGCCTAAAAGAAAAACTGTCAACTTAGGATCAGACCCGCCACGAGTTAGAGTGTCCACGATACTGAAAGGTAGGAGCGTACACGTGTCGGATGTGGGTGTTACCAAGGTCCAAGGCGGCGGCGTGCTGGTACAGCTGGGAACTCGGTGGGGCAGAAACGTGGTTTTTGCTCCAGACGCAGATAAGGCAAAAAGAGAAGAGGGGTCGTTCGGGTTCGGAGACATCCGAGAGGGGCATCACGAAGTCATATAAGGTTAATAATTTTCAACAAATACTAAGAACGCAGTCGTAAAATTTACAAAACTATGAATTCTGCGCGGCAATTGGTTCGTGAACGTAAAACTTTGGATCACGAAACCGTTGTCAGCAATTGTTGTCTCATCGACGACGACAACTAACAACTCAATAACAAATACACATGATTTGTCCTCAACCCAACCGCGAGGACTTGATTGTTCTCTTTCGATGATATTAATTAAAATGACTCAACTCTGTCAATGATCACCCCCACCCGTGATGGAAAGAATCATCTCCCAAGCTCTCCCAAACTCTCCCAAACTCTCCCAAGCTCTCCCAAGCCGAAAGTTTGTCTATCAGTCCGCTATTAGAGACGGACTTTAACATTCCCAGGTTGTCGGATCGTCAACGTCTCAATTGTTCCAGAACCGGGCTAAAGACAGGAAGGGTCCCAGCGGGGTGGAGAAATCGTATTCCAAGCCCAAAGTTTGTTTACCAACTCATCAGTGGAGTCGGGGCCACCTTCTAATAAACTAGGTCCGTGGGCTCTCACGCGTCCCAAAACTCTACCAGTGGAGAAAATAGACCGAGCGATGAGAAGAAAACACATCCCAAGCCTATAGTTTGTCAAGCCAACTGTCGTTAGAGATGTATTCTAATGTGACCAGGCAATTGCATCTTCAGTCATACAACTGTCGAAAATCTCCATTTCTAGTCATTCAAACCTCTGCAGGATTGCATTAGAAAATCAAAATGCTGCCCTGCAACAGTCGATCTCGGTTGCGCCAGTTGGTTTTGAACCCCCCCCAACCCCCCCCAAAGCCTGCGGCCAAATCACTGGGGGGTTCCAATGAATCAGCTGAAGCTGAACAAGCACTATCCCCAATACAGAAGCTGCCATCATATCCGAAGCAATTCCATCTCGGCATATTCGAAATTGGTCGGCCTCTAGGAAAAGGAAAGTTTGGGCGCGTCTACCTAGCAAAAGAATGCAGCAGTGGGTTGGTATGTGCTCTCAAGGTTATGCACGAGGATGAAATCAAGTCAAATGGCGTTAAAAGGTTAAGAAGCAAGTTCAACGGGAGGTTATCTTCGACATCCTAATATCCTCTAACTTTATGGCCGTTTCCACTTGCCATTTCCACGACAGTAAACGAATATTCTTAATTCTGGAATCTGCTAAAAAGGGGGAGTTATATAAGCATCTTCGTCGCGAAGGTCGATTTCCAGAGTAGAAGGTTGCGAAATATATTGCTCAAATAGCCCGCTCTGACGTTTCTTGTAAAAGAAGCATGTGATACATCAATACATCCAAAACCCGAAAACATCCTTGTCGGTATCCATGGTAAGCTGAAGATTGCTGATTTTAGATAGTGTGTCCGCACCTCTAACAGAAGAAAAATAATGTGTGGAACCATAGATTACTTAGTGCTAGAGATAATAAACCGTTACACGTATAATGCTGCCGTGGCCTTGTGGAATTTGGGTGTCTTGATGTATATGTTTTTGGATAGCCGTTCTAAGATACGCCAGTTCTCACATACAAACGAATAGTCCGTTGCGAGATGACCGTACCAGATTTCGCGCCAGCAGAAGCTAAAGATTTAATTAGGAGTGCGAGTCAATATTTCATGCGACTATACTAGCAATTAACACCAATGCTGTAGCTCTTGGTGGTCAATCCAGAAAAGGGAATGCCACTATATGAAGTTCAAAGGCATCCGTGGATCGTCAAGCACTACAAGGCCAAATAGCTAATGCGAAGTTAACGAAACTGAGAAAGAGCAAATCTTCATTTAGCAGCAGGACATACATTATCATGGAGGGCGAACTGCTCAAATCTCATGGTAAAATGGAGTCATAGGCTAGTAATAGTGTGCCTGTCTAACAATAAGATTAAGCTGGCTATTTTAACCACCTGCATCGTACGTTAATATCTCCAGCCCCAAATTACAATATAAATATGGCAACCGCAGGGCAGTTGCCGTACTTTCTTCTTCTCTCTTTCCTCCAACCAATTAAAATTCCCAGCTAACTAAAGTTAGTATCTCACATCGACACATCTTCAATCTACGATCAGGAAAAAGCTACATAATGGGTGATATCTCAAATCCGCCTGGCGACGGAGACTTCACATTTGAAGAAACCCAAGCCCTAGAATACGATGATGTCTTCAGAGCCAGAACCGGCTCTGGTAAACGAATCGTGTCTACGGCGGCACTGAGCGGCTTCTAGGATGCCTTGAGTTCCTCATCATCATCAGCCGTTGGAGGAGTTACTGTACGCTTCTCCGGCTACGACAGGCATCAGCAGCGGCAAGGCAGCTTTGAGATGCCGACGGCAGCCATTAGTGCTAGTGCACTTGAATTGATAGGCTTCAATCAATCTACAGCAGAGTCCATTTATGAGCGGTTCATAAACCGACCTGACCCTAGCATCAACATCGACAGCTTCTTAGACTATGCAACCAGTCAAGCCCAACGGATATGGGTCCTTAAGTCTCGCGATTATACAGACTGCGAGGCTATGACCCGTGTTGGATTAACTATAGACTTTCAAGATCGGATGCTAGACCCGCGGTTTAAGGCTGTTTATGAAACTGAAACCCTCCTATTCTGGGTGCTTGATACACTCAAGGTTGGCTACACAGCTTTAGAACAGCTCCATGAGCGTTTAAAGCACCGTGTTAAGGTTATAAAGGCTACTATAGCAATCTCTCAGACCCCCGAGGGTCACTCCCTGCCCGCTAACTTCATCCCTGCCGAGACTGAGCCAGCGCTGCCCTCGCCGCTTAAGTACGTGGCTCTATACAAGGCAACATCAGCCTTAGAGATGGGAGGAACACCGTGGATCGACGACGATGGTGGCGTAGACATGAACGTCATATCGTCTTTTCCAGGGGGTGATTCCAATTACTGCAGTATGGTTCACTACTGGACACCTGAACGCGAGGTTGCCGAGTTATACCGCAAATGGGCACAGCGGCGATGCCCCTATTCTGAGACCTGGATAGTGCGAATCTGTGTTCCTATTGCCCTCATCAATTCAATCCCCACCGCGGAGTTGTGGTACTCGCCAGATTGGAAGGAGTTCGTCTGGTATTGTAGGAGGGAAAAAACGCCACCTGAGAAATTCAGTCGCCTTGATCCGGAGAATAGAGCTATTGGTCTCATTGAGGGCCATATTTCTACTAATATAGCACAGCAGGTTGCACACATCAAGAAGGAGGATGTCCAGTCGATGATAAACGATGATTCTGCACTGCGTAATCCCATTACTGGATCTATGGCGACACAGTGGGTGTTCACGATTCCAAGTACCATTGATCGACTAGGGATTGAAATTCGCGGCCGCATCCACATCGATGTTACAGCTGTTCCCAAGAGTGGTGGCAAGGAGTAGATGTAAGCTTGTGACGGGTTTCGTGTGGCATTAGCAAAAACACTTGCGGTAAGAATGTCAGGGGACAGGGTGAAGAGTCACCAAGGACGGATGCCAAGGGGAATCCGCCAGGACTTATCGCTCCGGAGTTTAAGGAGGAGATATGAACGTCATTTCAGGTCGTTCGGAGTTCATAGGCGGCATCGTGCCTATGAAATGAACTCCGAAGTTGAGGCGCAGATGAGGGCCAGCAAGGTATCGGACTCGACGTTGTCCCGCGCCCGCCTTACGTATGGCAGTCAAAGCCTAAATAACGGACAGATTTACCTCCGATAAGAGCTGGGTTGATAAACTCAACTTAACTATAATACCAGCACTAGGTAAACCTTTTAAAAATCCTTCATAGAGTAGTTTAAACAATATTATTATTCACCTCTCTCTCAATCCTAATATATATCCCCAATGGCGACACCCTCGTCCACAACAGTCCTCGTAACCGGTGGCTCCGGTTTCATCGGCTCCTACGTCATACTTGGCCTTCTCTCAGAAGGCTACACAGTGCGAACCACCATCCGCAACCTCTCGCGCTCCGCCAGCGTCCTCACCTCCCTCGAAAACGGCGGCGCCACTCCCGCCTCACTCGCGCGCCTCACCATCTTCGCAGCCTCACTCGACGACGATAACGGCTGGGCCGAGGCAGTCCAGGGCTGCACATACGTGCAACATGTCGCCTCGCCCTTCCCCGCCGAGCTACCCAAGCATGAAGACGATCTTATCATCCCCGCTCGGGAGGGCACGTTGCGCGTCCTCAAAGCCGCAGCCGCCGCGGGCGTGAAGCGGGTTGTGCTGACGAGTAGCTTCGGGGCTATGGGGTACGGGCATGCGCCGCGAGCGGAGCCGTTTACGGAGAAGGACTGGACGAACTTAGATGGGGTTGTGAAGGTCACGCCGTATATGAAGTCCAAGACGATTGCTGAGAAGGCGGCGTGGGCTTGGGCGGAGTCGGATGCTAATGCGGACAAGATGGAGCTTGTCACGGTGGCGCCGCAGATGGTGTGTGGGCCGACGCTGGAGAAGGATATCTCGACGTCGTTGGAGGTCGTTAAGAAACTTATGGATGGCAGTATTCCTGGGTGTCCGAACTTGCAGTTTTCATTCGTCGATGTGCGCGACGTCGCATCTCTGCATCTACTCGCCATGACGAAGCCGGAGGCTGCTGGTCAGCGTTTCCTTGCTGGCGGCAACGATCCTGCTATCTCCATGCTTCAGATTGGACAGATCATCAAGAAGCAGAGACCTCAGCACGCGAAGAAAGTCCCGTCCATCCAGGTTCCGAACTTCGTCGTTCATATCCTTTCGATTTTTGATAAGCCGATCCGGCAAATCCTCCCGGATTTGGGGAAGGTGACCCAGAGTAGTAATAAGAAGGCTCGAGAGACTCTTGGGTGGGAGCCTCGTGGAACTGTGGAGAGCATCGTGGATACGGTGGATAGTTTGGTCAAGTATGGGGTGGTTTGATGGGGCTATGGACGTGAAGATTGTGTATACCCCAATAATTATTAATTATAATGAGATTTATTTGTGTATAGTTTTTAGTGTCAGAAATATAATGAATGTCTCAATTATCTCCATCATATGAAACTTATTTGCATGTCACAATATATATACACGAGTCAATGAAACATAGCACGAGAAACCATGCCATCCCCGAATGAGCCCAAAGTACAGGTTATTCACCACTACCGTTCAAAAAGCAGAAGTATACAGCCTCCTCTAGAGACACGCATAATGCCAAACGAACAAGAATGATGAACCCAGAATAAGATACACTATTCTACAGAGCTGCGTATGTTGCGCCGTATAAAAACATATCCACCATAAACATCATAATGGATGCAAGGCTAGCCCTCTACGCCGATACCTACACACATATCCTCACACAAAATCTAGCCTTATAAGACCTCGCCGACGATCTTCGCCGCCTCGCGATAAGTCTTGAGCAGCCTCTCGCACTTCTCGCGCTCCTTCTTGACGGCGTCGTCTTCGTAGAGAAGCTCCTCGAACATGTCCTCGCGGTACAGCTCGCTGACTAAGCGGTTCTGGACGACATCCTTGGAGTGGTTGACCAGGAGGTGCATCACGGCCTTGGGGACTTGGTCCGCGATGGACTCGCGCACGATGTCGAAGTAGGACGAGATGAGCGCACGGATGAGCTCCGTTTCCATGGCTTCTCTGTCTGTGAGCGCTGGCTCGGTGTTGTTGCCCTGCGGAATGTTAGTGCCTGAGGCCTCATTGCGAATGATGGTGACTTACGAATGGAGAATTATAATCATATTCTCTCGCGTAATCCTCATCGCGTGTCTGTTGAGCTGGGCTGCGGTGTGTGTTACGCTCTTCCTGCCTCCTGATGCTCTGCGTGATGCTCGGCTCAGCGCTCTGGCTGACGTGGCGGCCGAGATTTGGATTCTGCGCCGATGACGCAGCCTGTCCAACACCCGGTCCACCGCCTGGAGCACCATCCTTCCCGAAGAAGTAGTTGAGGAAAGAGTCCTTCGGGTTAGCCTGCGCACTGAATTGCATCTCTGAGCCGGCACGCTGCCCTATACGCTCGGCGATGCTGGCAGAGGTCCCGTTCTGGCGGACGTGGGGCGAGGCGCTGCGTCCGGACTTGTGCATTTTTGAGCGGTGGGGTAGGCCCTCAGCCTTCTCCGAGATTTCGTCTTCCTCCTCGTGGCCGTCGACCCCATTTGTAGCGCCAAGCTCCTTTTGGCGTCTCTTCTCGCGCCTCTCGCGCTCCTCTTGGAGGAGCTTCTTCTTCTCATTTTCTTGCTTCTTGGTAACGACGTGGCTCATAGCTGCCGCCGCGCCGAGGAAGTTCGGGTGGTTGGTGTTAATATATGCTCGTTGAATAGAGATAAGAGATTCGACATAGCTTGATGCTGGGCCTAAGCGCTCGCGGAGCAGGTCAGACACAACCTCAATAAGCTTGCCCTGTAACCTGGGGAAACGAGTCAGCTCCGTAGAGCCGCACGTATGGCAAATCTTGATGAGTTCTTCATATACAAGCTCGACGCAACGTTGGCTGGGAATTTCCAACAGCTTGATCTGCGGCTTGACGAGGAGGTCAAATGCGAGCTCGGGGACGAACAGGCTAGGCCTTGGTCCCGTAGAGTTTCTAATAGCGGTTCGGATATCTAATGCAGACAAATTCGTGGTCGGGTCTATCGTCTCGAGAGAATTTCCGAAAACAGAGTTGAAAATATAATATATCCTGGCTCCACCGCAAAGCTCCTTGGTAGAGATTTCGGTCGACGTACCGTCAATAGACGATATGAAGGACGACGCAAATCGCGTCATGAGTTGCAGGATTAATGCGCCTTTGTGTTCCTTGCCGTTAAAATGCATGTCACCATAGCTCGCTAATTCTTGCTGGGTTTGGCCCATAAGAGTGTTTAGTCTGGCCTTGATATCAGGAAGACGCTCACGAATGTGAGCCATAAGCGTCGTATTGAGGCTCTTGGCTAGGAATTGTGTGCCGCATCTGTTCGCCATATTTCTGTATGCTGGGTGATGCTTGAAGAAGTCGGACTCGGACTTCAAGGCCTCTGCTAGGGTCTTGTTCCCTTGGATATCTTGTTGAGATCTGTTCACAACTCCAATAAAACCAAGCTTGAGCGGGTATACTCGTCCTGACAAGATATCCAGCGCATTCGTTCCATGATCCATGAGATCAATCTTTGTAAGAACACCAATGGTTCTTCGGCCGAGGGGATCGACATGTCTCGCCAGCTTCAAGGCCTCGGAGTTAACAATATCAACATTCGCTGGAGAGACAGCAAGGATGATGCTGTTTGGCTTCGCGATATACTCGGAGATGAGGTTTCGTGTTTGCTTCTCGATGTCGCTGGGCTGGTCGCCAATGGGTACCTGTGCACTCATGTCAGCTCCTGATCCCGCAGAGGGCCTCGCATCGCTCTTACCTTGGTGAGACCCGGGAGATCAACAAGAGTCAAGCTCAGCACATGTGGCGAGTATATCTTCAAGTTGATGGGCGATCTGTTGATACCCTTGTTGTTCCCGGCAATCCTCGCCGTCTCATTCTCAATCTCGCGTTTCACATCTTGGAAGTTCGTGAACTGGCGCCCTGGGATATGATGGAATTCTCCCCATTCGCCCTGTGACTCGACGCTGGCGGGTGTATGGGGTTCATATACTTCGCTTCCTTCAGGTGCGTCATTGTCGCTTGGGACGTTGATAAGTTGCAGAATGAGGGGTCTCCGAGTGACAATGCCGCTGCCTCTGGGCAGAAAGTCCCTTCCTACGATATTCTCCAACACAGACGATTTGCCGGAGGATTGGGAGCCAACGACGACCTGGGCAAGCTGTTAGCAGGGGAAAATATTTGCGGCGGTAGTTGTCGCAAAGTGGAGAAGTCTCACGATTTGTGGGAGGTCGAGGGAGTCATTGCCGATAGTGTTGAAGACCAGATCCTGGAGCTTGTTGACTATCCCAAGCAAGTTCTCGCCGAGAGATGCCATCTTTGTTGACGTTGGTGTCCGGATGGGTTGTTGAAGCTGGTTCAGCGCGTCGGCAAACGACGACACTCGTCTCACATGCGACTAATCGCTTGCGCAAGTCAATGAGGAGGCTCGAGCCTTGAGCAAAGAATGGCTCGGTCTTCTAGGGATGTCAATGCCGTGGTGGCAGACTTCACGTTCGGGGTATGAAGCGACAGCGACTGTTTACCCAATCTTGGCCAGACAATTTGCAAGGTTTCGCGATCGAACATCAGGCAGGTTGCCTCCTAGCCGCCAAGTCCTTGTGTTCCCGGTTTAGGAAAACTACGTCACGTGAAAACCCGGACGGCCCGACGAGTTACCGTTCACCAGTTAAAACACATTATATCATCTATCACCTATCATTTTCAGGGGGCTTCAATACTTGAGTGGGAAATATATGTAGGACGACTACAGGCTATGTATGAAATATATACATTCAGTAGCCATCAATCACACATAGGATAACGATTATATAACTTTGTGCAATAAATATAGGCATTATCACGTGCAAATCCAGTACACACTTTTCTCCAGCGGATAATGACAAATGGATCTATAGAATCTTTTTGGCTAGCTACACCGACTCAGACAGAATCTTTCACTTCTCGTCAAGCTGTACATAGTTTGAAGGGAAAAGACCAGACTTCCCGTTAAGGTGGCCGAACCACCAATCTTCGTCGGGGAATTCCTATCACACGTTAGTAATGTCAATGGTAACAGATCATTGATGCTTACCAGGTCTGTAATCTTAGCATCCTCTTCAAAGCTCAACTCGTTGTCCTCGGCAGCCTCGTAGTCGTAAATGGCAGTGGCAGTAGGTCCGGAGCTAGTTGGCTCTGGAGCCGCAGGTGCAGCTGGTGCAGCGGGTGCAGCTGGAGCCTGTGTCTCCTCAGGGGCGGATGGCCTTGAAGGAGCAGCTGGAGCAGCCTCATCGTCCTCGACCAGCTCAACATAATTGCTAGGGAACAATCCGCTCTCGCCCTTGGAGTTTGTGCCCATCCACCAATCATCATCCACCATGTCGATTTCGGTGACATATTCGCCTTCCAGCAGCTCAATCTCGTTGTCCTCTGCCTTCTCATAATCGTACTGTGCAATTGCGCGCTTCCCGCCTTGCTGGGCGCTCTTGCTTGCGGCGACTGCAGCTCCGCCAAAGGCAGCTCCGGCGAGAGCAGCACTAGCGGCACGGGCTGGATCTTGGCCCTTGGGTTCGTCTGGCAGTTCCGATTCACGGGGGACTTCTTTCTCGAGCGAGCGTACTGGCATCGAGGGTGCGTGATGACGCTCCTCTGGAGCTTCGATATGTGGTTCGCTGCCTCGCGATACAGGCATGGCAATCCTCACAGGCGACTCGTCCCGTTCAGGCGTTGGTGGTGTTGGGCTGCGTGCAACGCGTGGTGGCGAAGGGAGGCGGCCTCTGTCATCTTCGTCTTCCTCAGCGGCGGCTGGCCTAGATGGCAAGCCAGGCATGGATACGCCTCCGGTGGGCCTAGTCGCAGATGGCACAGGTGGCGGAGAAGCATCTGTCTCTTCAGTTGCCGGAACACCCATTGGTGCCGCGCCCTTGAACCTATCCTTAAGAGCACCAATGCCTCCAGCCGGGGCCGATGGCGCCTCCTCTTCGTCTCGGGCGTGGTCATGTTCTTGATCGCCAGTCCGTTGCTGATCCAAGTCGCTGGTTGCGGATTTGCCAGTGGCTGTGGTGGAGATAGCAACCGGAGCCCATGACTTCCCCTTATATCCGCTCTTCCATTCACCACCACCGCTGGGTTGACTGGTAACAGGCTCAGCAGGGGCGTGGGCTTCTGTTGCGCCGCTAGTGCCGCGCTCCTTGGCTTTCTTTTCAGCCCAGATTTGAGCTGGGGTCTTGCCGCCCTCATCTGCAAATGTTCGACTTGCGACACCTACTGGGGCGGGGGCGGCAGCAGCATTGGTCACCGCCGAGTGCAAACCAAAAGTTCCTGGAGTTAGCGCTTTCGTGCCTGCGAAATTTGAAGGTAGCTTGTTAGCTACTTTGGGCTTTGGGAGCGATGTCAAACGCTCAGACTGCTTGAAGGCGGAGGAGCGGTCAGCCAAGGACTTGGGTTCATCGCTTTCTTCAGTAGCAACAGACGGCTTCGCAGGTGCGGGTGAAGTATGGCGCGAAGGCTCATCGGAAGGCTTTTGGGCCTTTGCCCTTATGGCAGCTATGTCAACCTTGCCCACTGGCTCGTAGGCGCCCTTAACAGTTGTTGGGCGGTCATCCTCGACTTTCTTAGCCTTGGCGCGGATTGCGGCGATGTCAACCTTTCCAATTGGCTGGTATCCGCCTCTCACCACATCGCCAGAGTCGGCATCGGGCTGTTGCGGGGCATTGTTGAATCTCGAAGGCTCTTGCTTCTGTTTGGTAAGTTCGGCCATGTTGACCTTGGTTGGTTGATAAGCCGATGGCACTTTTTCGATTTGTGACCTGCTAACTTGAGGGGCATCTGCGCCCCAACCGTCTTCATCCACATTGCTGTCTCGGCCAGTCTTTCTTGAGGCAGCGCCTCCCAATGGGTTGTAGGACGAACCGGCGCCGCTCTGTGTGGGAGTGAATACGGGCTTCGATGCAACCGCTGGAGCAGCAGTGGGAGCAGCTGAGGCACTTCCCGCTGAGTATTTCGAGCCTGAAGCATCAGCGACCTTCTGGATAATGCCTTCCGGGGTAAGGTCTCGGTCTGATCGTGCCGTAACCTGGACATGGTACCCCTGCGAGATGTTAGTGTATGCCACCAAGAATAGTAGAATGCACATACGTGTAATATCTTTGACACTGCTGCTAGATGGCTGGTAAAGTAGCCCTTTGTCCTCTCGGGGACTCCTTCGCCGCACTGTGGAGCCAGTCAGTGATTTATACGGTGCGGATAGTGTTGAGTTCACATACCCATCCTATGAGGACAGATTTTGGTAACGCGGAGTTCGAGTCCTTCACTTTCACGAAAGCAAACTGTATCCGGCCCTCTGAGAAATCCTCGATGAGATCTTGAAGTTCGCCCTCTATTTACGTTATGTCAGCAAGAGGTAATCTAAGACAGTCGCGGAACTCTCCAAGCTTACCTCCAGTATCCTGGACTTTCAACACACTTTCCTTCGAGCCGGAGTCCTGCTGAAAGGCATTTACGAGAGGCGCAGATACGGAGAAGATTGCCCACTGCGCATAAGTCGGGGAGTTCGCAGCGGCTCCAGTTGGAGGGGGTGCCTGGACGACGCCTTGGTAACTGGACCGGATTGATGGGCCATTGGTCGACGTATTGAGCGAAGCCATAATTGAATAAGTGGTTTTGATGTAATAGCCGTCGAGGCTACGAGGGAAGAGAGGCTTGAAAGGATTCGTGGAGGGAATGTAGGATGTAACAATATAAGAATGGGTTTTGTATATGGAAGTTTGGAAGTTCTGCCTTGTTGGGGCCCTGATGTACTCGCCAGCAACTCCGTCACTACGATGATGCTAAGAGGGGCCCGTTTGGATTGCAGCTGACGAACAGTCTAGCCGAAATGGTACTAGCGTGCGGCGAACGGCGAAAGTTCACTTCCTTCCAGACTAAAAGTAACTCGAGAGGTACAAGCAAGGTGTAGATTAGATAGAAGTAGCCTCAGGTGCTTTGGTCCGCCTCACTTCGAAGAAAAGACTCCAATACAACCCGCCCGGATACATATTCAACCTTACATCCTCTACTCTACTCCGGACTTGTTCCTTCCCTCCTCTTCCTCTCCTCTTCTTCCCTTCCTTCTCAGCCTTCACACTCCCATCTTTCTCTCCACAATCTTACTCCAATAGAAGATTACACGCGTGGTACTCCTGTTCTCTTCTCTGGCTATATATATCTCTCTTTCTGTGCCCCCAGGACGGTATAATCCAGTGTCACCACCTCCCTCGGTCTCAGACAACCCCATAGGACTGCTTCATGCGAAACTGAAGCCGCACTTGTGGAATCTGTAACCATTTCGCTGGTTAGGATTCCTCTGACAGCTGCTTCCGTTATTTCCTCTCCTTCCACCATCACCAAACGTTGAGGGAGTACGCTTCTCTCATGGTTCCTCTTTTCATAACACTCCCGGATTTGGCAGGCGCGACGGAAACAAGATAGCTCACCTGGACAGGACCCAAGCACAGGCTCTTTTGAAAACGATTTCCCGCGACTGGGTGGTTACCAGTGCCACATAACCAACAATGTCAGCCCAGGACGCTATAGATGAAGACGACCTGTCAGACGTTTCAATGTCAGCAGAGACGGAGGATTCGGATTCAAGCGACGATGAAGAAATGGATGCGCCTCACCCCGAACCTGCCAAACACGAGTCGACGACTCAAAACCCCGTTGCTACCTTATTGGAGAACATCTCCCGGAAACGCAAAGTCCCATCGGACGGAAGTGACTCTCCAGAGGACATACCACAGGGAAATAGGGAATCTGGCCATACGAAACGTGTCAAATTGGAATTATCCCCAGATGCGGCTTTTGGAAGCATTCGAACCCCGGAAGGCCGATTGCCATCTGATAAGTCTCTGTTACCCGCAGAAGTCTGGCACCACATCTTCACTTTTGCGTCGCCAAGAACTCTAGGTCGCTTGTTGCGTGTCAACAAGATATTTAGAGCATATCTTGATCCTCAGTCTCCAGCAAGTACTTCTGTTATTGCTCCTTTGTCCCGCAGCGTAGTTCCGCTACGTCAACCAGAAGTTATCTGGCAGGCCTCAAGGAGATTATTTCGTCCTTGGATGCCCAATCCTTTGAATGAGATGACGGAGCTTGGCATGTGGCAACTTTCTTGTAATTTTGTTTGCGACTTCTGTGATAAACGACAAGATCCTGTCTCTTCTATATCTCCAGATCAGTGGAATTCTGGTCCTGGAGAGGCTGGCGTTCGTCCCATTTGGGCATTTGCCATTCGTGCTTGTGGGCCTTGTTTGCAGCTCCGAACTATCAAGGTAGATGACTACTTTATTTCTTTCCTTTCCAAGCTTGCACTAATCCCCGGTCAGGAAATTGATCTCCTCCTCTCCTCGTCGGTGCCATCACCGCTTATGGCCGCACTCCCCTTCATATTTCTCACCGCCGAGCTTCACGTTGTTGCGTCAACAACCTTGCAGCAAGGCCAACCGCCTACAAACATGCAGATCGGCAAACACTTCTACAAACCCCATGTCGAAGATATCAAACAAGAATTTTTCAAAGTGAAAGCTTTAGGCTCGGGAACTGCCGAAGAATGGATTAAAGGGCTTGAAACCCGTGGGAAGGACAAACGCCTCGATCTAGTGCGATGGGAAAGGTGGGAATCTTCAGGAGGTCTACAGCGTATGCGGAGCAAGGAGCCAACGGAAGTCAATGGAACTAATGGAAAGGTCGATCTTCGACTACCAGCGGCTGTGCCTATGCAGCATGACGGTCACCCTAGCCACGGACCACCTGGACTTTCAAAAATCCCGGTTCTTTCCAAGGAGCATCTTCCGAGTTCTCATAGGATGCTCCCCAAGAATACGCATCCTCTTCCGCAGGTGCCCCAATTCCGTAAGCCATACCAAGTGTACATTGTAAGTGTTTTCTAACGTAAGTTCCAATAGCAACCTTACCACAGCGATTCGAGTCCCCTTCGCAAATTGGGTTTGGCCCATTTCCACGTCCATTTCCTCCCCAAACACGGCACGAACGGACGAAAGAAGAGGCCGACAAGTTGAAAGCGGCTAGACGAGCTGAAATAGAACGCCGCTGTCTATTGCTTGACCCTCCAATCACAGCGAATGTATTGGTACACATGGCCTCTTTTCAGGCCGCCCTTCAAATAATCAAGCCGTTTGATGATAACGCATGGGAAATGCTTAAGCCAAGGTTGTTATCTCAACGCGGCGATGCCCAACAGCGGGAAGACGACCGTGCGGCACTTACTCGAGCTGTTAGAGTGAAGTTGGATGAGCGACTGTATCAAGATGGGCAAGCCAGGGAAGCCAAGGAGTTCGTTGACCGTGTATGGGAAGATGCGCAAAGTATAGTCAGAGCCCGTACTGGAGCCTATGCCGATGAAATCATCCGGGATGGCTGGGCATTTGGTAAGAAGGTCAATAAGGAAACCAGCCCAAGGTTTGCCGCCGAGGTTCTTCTCTATGTCCGCAAGAGGTTTTATGCGGAAATTGCCAAAGAAGATGCACAATCCAAGGCCACGGGACAAGAATTGCAAGCGGATTCGCCCAGTGGAGCTGAATCTAGGAAGCTCAGCCTCGAGAACATGAGATGGGTTTTTGATATGAAAATCAAACCACATACAGAGCAATATCGTAAGGAACTTTTTCTCTGCAACGGATGCGAAAATTTCAAATGGTACGCATTTGAAGGGGTCTGCCAACATTACGCGTCGAAGCATACGAGCGATCTTAGCTCTGGCAGTATTATTGTTCACTGGAAGGCCGAGTGGCCCGAGGAACCACCATTCAATCCAGAACCAAGCCTCGAAAAAGGTGCAACTGTACCAGCGACATCATCTGTGGCTCCATATATGAATGGCGCATTAACTGCACCTCCGGTGTCAGCCCATGGTGGGTACCAGACAGGAGTTGCTCCCATACCGCCGAACCCACATAACTCGCAACCTTTTTACAACTCTATTCCAGGTCAGTATGCGGATCCTCACCATGCTTTGGACCAATACACCGCCCAGGGGCAGGCCACGTACGTGCCTCCAGCTTCTTTCCAGTCGTATCCAGGATTTCCAGGGCCGCAATACCAGGCGCAGCAGGAAGCTGCGTATCAGCCCTATCCATACTCTGGTTTTGAGCCGCCGTATTCCGGTGCTCCTCCTGTGGTATACGATACGTCACAAGCAGTCCCTGCATATCAAGTTGCCAATTTCGAGCCACCAGCGTCTATCCAGACTCAACATTCTGTACCTCCTCCTGAAATTCCAAGTCACATCCCTCCTGTCGTTTATAGGACCGAAGAGTATAAAGCGCAGCTGCAAGATATTGCGCTTATTGCCAAGGGACTTTGGAACAGTACCTCCGGAGTTCAGGATATGCCTGGAAGCGTAAGAGTTTACACCATTCTATACCACATTCTGCAACGTTCCCGAGAAAAGTACGCAGACGATCCGCCATTAAAAATGCTTATTGATGGTCTCCAAAACAATAAGGACATGAGGCCAGTTCGCAATGTCAACGGGCTCGCCTGCAAGACATGCACCATTGAAAGAGCGAACAGGCCAATCAACCCCCACACGGTGTCTTCCAAACGTACAAGCGCTGCAGACAGGAAACTTTTCTCTTTTCCTCAATTACTCAACCACTTTCAATCAACTCACATTGAGAATGGGAAGGCAAGCGCGCCTAGCCTGGACTGGACCAAGGACATGGTCGAGCTCCCGGACAAGAAGAAAATGAGAAACTTGCCAAATGCTAATGGCATGGACGATTATAAGCTCCAACTAATCAAAGAGGCCCTACCCGATGCCTTCAAGCCCAACACTCCTGAGCCCGAAGCAGAGGAGCCTCAACCATACGACAGGGGGGTTTCCCGAGAGAATAGCCGTGAGCTTGCACCTTCGAAAGACAACCATGAGCGGTATTATACTATGCCTGCGCCAACGAGCCTGTCGCCTCCACTGGAAACACGCCGTCCGCCAATCCATGCACTTGGTCAGCGCGGCGGCGATTCCCCTCACATGGTGCCAGATCGCAATGATAGGGCGGCTATGGGTTATATGGAACGCAGGGTTGCATCTCCTATGGGCTACAAACGGATTAAACGAGAGATTTACCAAGATGGCAATATGAGCGATTATGCGGCGGAACCCAGACCCTATCCCCAGCTCCAAGAGGTTGGTCGACGCTCTAGGAATGCTCGCACTCGGGTTATCAGTCCCACTCTTCAAGATATCCCTTTACGACCAGAGTATAACTATGAAGAAGCGAACCTCCTACCGCGCTTGATTGAGAAAGCAGGCATGGTCGCCAAGCCCCCATCACCTCAATATCAAGAGCGCTATGTGAGACGAGTTGATGATAGCTACTACCGTGCCGAAGAATCACGTCCTCCTGCTACGTATGATTACTCCAGAAAATCTGTGGTCGCTCAACAGCGGCCTAGACCGGATACTAGGGGTACTGGCTCCGAAGATGGGGAGGTGAGGAACCAATTAACACCAGGTGAAAGCGTAGCCACAAAAGAGGTCAGCGCCGACGCCAAGATTGCTGCCGAGCAGTTTCTTGATAACATATTGCCTGCAGAGACTGGCGAAGGGGCCCCAAGGAGTCCAGACAAAGGCCAGCACCTGAATGGGGAAGAACCGAGGGCACAATGGGCACCTGAGCGTAGAGAAGCCAGCGTACAGCCATACATGGGAGAGCCAGTTCAAAGAGTCCAATACGGTTCTCGCAACGAGGAGTACCGGATCATTAATGGGCAAGCGGTAACGCGAAACAGATCGCTCTCACCTCCACATATGCGACCAATTCCCGAAACGGCAGGTGCGAGGCAGCCCCAGTACTTGCCCTACGGGTACGAGGACCACATAGAGGCACCCCGACAGTATTATGCCACGCGCCGCACGTCTGATATGGTCGACCGCCGCTACGTTATGGACGAGATGATCTACCGCGACGAGCGCCCTACCCAACCCGATGCCCACCCTCGCAAGAGCGCCCGCTACGTCAGCTATGAAAATCTCCGCTATGACGACGAGGTACCCCGTTCACACTCTCCCGTCTACATTACCGACCGCCTCCCAGAGCGCCGCCAATACCGCGCCCTGACGCCTGGTGGACGACACTACGCCCCTCAGGACCCGATATATGAACCTCACCGAGCACCACAATCCCAGCAGCCCATGGAGCAGGTGGCATACGAGCGCGTGCCCCGTCCGGAGTATTACCGCGTATATCCCGACGAGCAGCCACGGCGATACCCAGGCGAACCACAGATAGAGTATGTGCGTGCGGACGCGCAGGGGGAGTATGTCGTGCAGCGATCATCTCTACGAAGGGAGCAGGAGCCTATGTATACGTATGATGGTGCCCCGCGGTACGAGGAAGTGCCGCAGAGGTACGGGGAGGTGAACAGGTACGATGAGCCGCCGCCACCGCGTCATCAGCGACAGCCGGTTTACGAAGAAGCGCCACAGAGGCCGATATATGAGCGTGCCGGCGCTGGTGTGCCGCCCAGCACCGGCGCCGGGGTGTCGAGAAACGATCCCGAATACTATGAGGAGTATGACCCGCGCCATCCGGCACCGCCGCCGGAGGTGTCGCAAAGGCCGCTGAGGTATGAGTGAATGTTCGCCTCGTAGCTAAATACGTTTGAGAGGGGCTTAACTTAGTCCCGCCCCTTCTCTCTTTTTTTCTATGTTTTTAAGGCGCGCGAGTTGAAAACGGCGCTACCTGTGGGGATGGTTTGATGAACTTCAAGGTGGGGGATATCGGTTGTATAGATTCACAGTGGGAAATGGGCAATTCGGAGAGATGCTTCTAGGTTATTTTGCTGGACTGTACAGTACCCCTTTCTACTTCTTGGGTGGTGGCTATTTTTGGGGATATTTTGACGGAAGGGAATATCAAAAAGAAAAGGGTTTGCTTTTGGTGTATATCCTGTACGAGTATATTTCTGGAAAAAAGGTAGGTTGCAGGCGGGAGTACAGCGAGAGGAAGTAGGCAGGCGCGTTTGGAGATATTGGGGTCTATAATTTGAGGATACTGTTGTGTTGAGCTATAGGCTCTTTAATAATACCAAGGGGAGGTTGCCGCTGTCTAATTGTCCTCTCTTTCTCTCTCTATCCACTGCCACCAGTAAATTGAAGGCGCCAAACCACTCAATATCGAGTAACGTCCTGTATCCCATCCCGTTACCATTACACCCCGTAAATCAACCCAAAAGCTACGAAGGACACAAACGTAAAAAAGAGAGACCCTATGCACGTGATACTCCGCACGAGCCTCCCCCCAAAGCACACACATGTTCGTCCCTACCTACAACCAGGCCTCCGTCGGCCTTACCATCCCAACGCCGTCTGCCTGTCCTATAACTCCCCCAGATATAACGTTTGAATATAACGAACTCAGATATAACACTCTAAACAGCGTACCCACACCGAGACGTCAATCTAGTTGCTCCGGGGAATGTTTGACTTAGTGGTGGGGGGTGACAGGGAACGGGGGTTTCGGTGGAGTGAAACTCCGGCACGGGCGGGAGGGGATGGTGTTGTTGGTAGAGTTCGGTGTGTTGATCTCCCATCTGCATGGCTGGGAGCGACGGGCCGGTGGGAGGGAGGTTTGCGAGGTGCGAGGGGAGGGGGTGTGTGTTTATGGAGGGCGAGGTTTACACACACCTTGCTTAGGTTGCTGATAGATGATGTAGCTGGTAAAATATATGATTAAGCTGTTGGTATATATAACTTATACCAGTCAATTGATGCAATATCTAACGCCTTGAAGTCCATCCAGCCAACACCAGTAGACTCGGCCGAACCGCCCGTTCTGTAGTAGTCACGGAATCAAGCAACAAGGTGAAGTCTGTCAAGTGTGACCGAAAAGAAGTAAATATTATCCCGTCCACCCCCATTAAACAAAAAAAATATGCGCTACGAAGATTTATGTAGGCTAAGTTAACAGCAAACAACACAAGAAAAATGAGGTCCCGTGTTAAGTTATTCCGTATATACAACAATCGCTCTCCTGCTCCCATCCTCCTCTTATATCTCCCTCCAGCCCCCCTGTCGTAGAATTCCGTTCGAAGCGTGGCGAACTCCCATTTCGCGACTCATCCATTCATGCTCATGCACTCTAGATTCCACATCTCCTTCATTCAACCCCAACTCCAAACGTCCGCATCATAGCGAGGAGCATCTATAGGTAGATGTAGCACATGAACTCACCCTGGGTGTTCATCACATCGCCAATGGTGGCACTCTTTCCGCAAACACCCATATCCATCCAGTCATTGAGAGTTCCAAGCGGCAACGGTGGGTCGTTGAAGAGGTAGATGCTTCCGCCAACAGCGTTCTGGCGGGTCTTCAAGTCCTGGTTTTGCCAGATCCACCAGGTGCGATCGATCTGTCCGTGGTGCAGCCAGAACATGGGATCTCCGGGGGAGACGAAGAAATCTCCACCTGGGTCACCGCCGATGGTGTAGTGACCGCCGGCGTGGACACCGAAGAAGCCGTCCTTAAATGGTACGCCATCAACGATACCCTGCATGAAATCCTGGAAGGGGCCAATGGTCTTGTAGTTGGAGATGAGGTCGGTGATACCGGCATCACCGAGCCACTGGGAGGAGACCCATTGGCTGACGTCGCGGGAGAGGCAGCGGGGCTCGTACGCGAGGAAGTTGGGGGCGGGGACCTGGACAGCGTCCGAGGTGGGGGCCGTTGGGGAGATGTTCACAATCCAGTCCTTGAAAGGACCGGTCGTGACGCAACCGCCACCAGCTCCGGGGGGGATGCAGTTCAGTCCGTTGGGAAGGGCAGCAGTGCAGTTGTGAGCGGCGAAGACTCCGTTGCCGCCCATGGAGTAGGCGGAGCCATCGAAGTAGGCCGAGTTAACCGGGTCGGAGGCAGACTTGCCCCAGTTCCAGTACTATGGAGTGTTAGGAAAGTGTATAGAAATATTCAGGTGCGGGAGCTTACTGGTTGGTATCCCTTGTAGCCACACTCATTGCGAAGAGCTTGCTCGTAGTTCCACACGAAAAGTCTGTGCCACGCGAGGAAGTTGGCCTGAAGGTGGTGAGTAAATCCCTTGGCATTAAAATGTGAGGCGTCAATGAGGTGACTTACAGTGGCGTGGATGTTCAAGGTGTTATTGACGTGATGAGCGACAAAGTCATCATATCTGTTCTTGGCACCAGGCGCGAATCCTGCTGGTGACTTTGAGGGCTTGGTGGCAAGGCAGAGCACTGCATTGCTATACGCCGTTCTCTCCGAGTTCGACATTGTCGACCTGCAATTGTCTCAGCCACGAACTCGCTTATACCATTCCAGCGGGAGAGGGTGGGGAGATCAACATACCATTCTCTGCGAACAACAGCGTTGCGCAGAGAGCACTTCGAGGTGTCGAAGCCGACGCCGCTCGTGAGCTGGTTGATGGCCACATTGATCATGCCCATGCCGGCGAGAACATCAGTTCCGAACGTTGGGTCGGGCCGCCATTTGGACTGTGTGGTGGCAGTGGTGGCAGAGGCAGTGCCGGCAAGCACCACAGCGCATGTGGTGAGATCGAAGCGCATGATGTCGGGTGAAGAGGATAGATGGGTGAAGAGAAGAGAGGTGAAGGTGATCCGCGGCTGGTCCCTCTGTTTATATGAAACGAGAGAAGGGTGATGAGATGCACTTGGGAAGAGATCTGCTAAACGGAGGGGAAGCGGCGCCTATTTGAACTTAAACGTCAACAAGGTGGCAGCTGGGCCCTGGAGATAATCTCTTGATCTTTTGGAGCAATTGACAAAGCTCCCGGGGTAGTGGGGAGGGCTTTAGTTCGGGTGAATGGCGGGTTTCCGGAAGTTCGCAAGGACCAGGAACAGCCTTGCTTGATTAAGTCCTGCTGTTGTCGGAGTGGAGAGATATGAGTTGGAGTGGGTTTTGAAGAACGGGGGGTCCACGAGGTCGAGCACTCTGCAGCAGCACCATGCATGCATGGACCGGAGATTGGGCTAGAGTGAAGGAAACGAGGTATAGGATCCCTTCACGGCGTCCACGATACTCGGTACTGTAGCATCGCCGACAGGCTTTTCTTTTGTTTATTGAGAACTTGCATATTTCACAGACTAAATTGGCTTGTTTGGACGTGCGCTCGACGGGGTCATACCTTAGGAGTTCTCCTGATCGGGGGTTAGTGGTGTTGATAGTGGTTGCGGAGTTTCTTAGCGGTCTCGTTGTCGGAAAGATCGCCAATTTCATTGTTGCAGCAGCATTCGGGGGTAAAGGACCACCCCTGCTTAGTCGAAGTTAGCGTGGATATAGGCAGAGTTGCAGCTGAGAGCGAGCAGTATAATTCCGTAATACAGCATTTATTACTATATTCCAATGTTAGCTATACAAAGAATACAAGCTATAGGGAACATTGTGGCTCTTAGTGAGGGTAGTCGTCTCTTGACTGGCGTTACACGAGGAGCCTTCACGGCCACCTAGGACCCCAAATTGCGGCTCCAGAGCTGCAGACGATCACCATCTGCCATGGTTCTATTTCGGCGGCGGCATTAAGCCCAACGGCGGCGTGGGTTTCCAACGCCGCGGTCACGAATTTCTATAGCATTGAATGCGAATGTCAGTGTTGCATCTGCTGTGCCATATTTTGCGCAGGGAACGATGTGCTTGGCGATAGTTCTGGCATAAACTACTGCATAAAGCATAGTTTGTGAGGAAGAAAGGTACTGTACAGAGGTACAGAGGATGGAAAGGAAGGAATAGAAGCGTAAGAGACCTCCACACTGCCATATGGTCATCAAATCTGGGTATCGTGGTTGGATGGAAAAAACGTGGGGGGGAAGGCGCAGGGAAGATGCTAGGAAGATGCTAGGAAGATGCCAGGCAGGAAGAGGGGCCACTAGGATGGTGGTACCTGTCGAACCACTCTTAATTGGCCCCGCACCCTTGTACCTGTCTGACCTGTCCGCCCTGACAGGGACCACCCACGATATTACAGTATGCTAATGCAAGTCTAGATTATACAAAAGCTGTTACGACGAGTATACGACACATCTCCGAGCCACCACACGTAGCCGGCCTAGCATATCGCAGCACGCTAGGATGCAGCGGCACGCAGTTCATCCTCTCCCAAACAACCGAGCCAGCGCATTATTCACGCGAAACTGCACCGCTTTGGTCTGACTGTACTCTCTTGAAGCAGGATTTAGACTGCCTAAGAAACGCCACTGCATGCCCCCCCAGCCGCCATCCTGCGAGAATGCTGCCCTCGACGAGGCCGGCAGTGGCCACCGCATCATGGCTTCCCTGCGCACCTCGTGGTCGCCCACACACACGCATGCTTCTACCGGGGAAAATGTGGTCACCGATAGAGTGGGCAATCTCGATCGTTTGGGGGTTTGTTGGATGCCTCAAAGTAAAATTAGGGATGCGTATGCACGTGTGTCTGGATATGAATGAGTTACTCTACTGAGAATGAGAGGCTTAACGCGGCTGCTTAGCCTGTTTACTGGTCTCTTTGGTTATTAGGGTATTTTCTGCCGCTACTGCTTGATTTCTGCCTCAACCCCCACATACGAGCGGCGGACCGGCTGGAGCTGAGTTCTTGAAGGTTGATTGGCGACGCCGGTGCCGTGCTTCGCGGTACTGTCATCCTACTCCCCCGCTCAGCTAAACCCGCCAGTGCAAGCGAGGCAGAAACGAATCACCTACAAGCCCAGCCAGTTGCAAGTCTAGCCACGGGATTAGTTATTCCCGCACTACCCCCCACTCCTCACCACTTTCCAGAACCCTACCCCGGATAATACCGCGCTTCGCTATTGACACGACAGGATCCAGTCAGTTTGGACCTAGACGGGGCTCACGGTGGCGGCATCTCCGCGCATGAAGCTTCACTCTCCGACCTGTCCGCGACCATGTTGCTGTGGGTGGAGGTTGCGCGGTGAGGTGAGAAAATAGCGTCTTTCTGTTTGTTGTGTTATCAAGATCCACTGACTGGCAAGGGAAGCCATGGCGATGAAATTGGACCCCATCTTAGAGCTAAAATGACTACGACAGGGAGACTTGTTAACCCTGCTCCTGTTGGCCTTGGCCACGCGTCGCTGGTCCCGATGCTATGGTGGAAGCCCTAATCGTGCGCCTCGCCGGTAGGAGGGGACCGAGGTGTGTCCGTGGCGGGCGAACTGTGCCCGGTAGCAATCTCTCATAGTCTTGTTGTGGGGAACTACGAGCTGTGCCTGGGATGCATCTCCGCGGTTGGCAGAGCAAGGACAACACTCTTTGCCATTCTAACAATCTGCTTTGCCTCTTAGGCAGAATCATACTGTATCCTTAGTGCTCCCAATACTCTTCCCCTTTCAATCTCTTCTCTAAACCCCGGCGCCGGCGATAAAACGCCCTTCGTCGCGGCTGCGTATGGGAATACTCTACGCTTCTGCCTATCTAAGGCCCGTCCGCCGCTCAGCCATAATTATCATCCAGCCTATGCGTATCCAGCCAGGCATAGGCAGTTACCCTGACCACCCCGAGAGCTTGGGATCAATAGCCTGTCCTTGGCGCACCGGAGGTGTGCACAACGTGGGCGTCTAGGGTGTCTGCCGTATGCATTCATGTGGGAACGAACTTGCAGAAAACGCCACATTCAGAGAACACGGCATATCGAGCAATGGAATAGAGCTATATTCCAAGAATCCAGGACTAGGTAAGCTCTTGTTTGCACTATTGACAGTAATGTTACTTCGAGTAACCTCACCGCTAATGTTAAGAGTCAAAGAGCTACAGAGAACAAGGCACTTGGCCGCGCCTCGCGCCGTCCCCTTTTCCATTTCCTCTCTTCTCATCCTATTCTGGTCCGGTCGTGCCGCTGCCATAGTCCATATTCAGTAACCCATCCCGTTATCATGCCATCTTGTCCATCAAAATTACTAGTTTGCTCTCCTTAACCAAAATATGTTAATCCCATCCCACGCGCGCCAAGCGAATGGCTGCCCTCTTCACCTCTTCCCACTTCCCCTTTATCCCAAATACGATCTCGTACCCAACCCTACCCAGTCATATCTCACCACCTCTATCCTATCTTCCCCAAAAGATAGTGTCAATAGGAGGTACAGCGAAGAATGTGCAAGGCACGGTTCGCTCTGACGAGGGGGAGGATGGTGGCCACGTGGTGAGCTCATGGCTCTCGCAGATGATATATTAATTTTTCTATTTTGGGGAGAGGGGAGTTAGATGAATAGATGGATGGGAGATTTAATGGGATTTTTCTTTCAGTTGGTATTAGAGGTTTTTCTGTCTGCGTAATTTAGCGTTGGGGCCTGTAGCGCAGTGGTTGTAGCGTTCCTCTAACTCCGCCCCCACGGTGGAAAGTCCGCGCTGCCTTACTGCCTTACCATTACCACACTTGACCTGTAATTTTTTGGAGTCGACATCTTTTTACTTACTGGGTTTTACGAGGTCCCCGCGGGGATTTTAATTTTTACTCATTGGAACTCGAAGTTCGTGTATTGGAAGATTTGTAGCGGTGTCACTGAATATGCGTGTATAGTTTCAGCGTTACTACTGCTCGCATTGAACTTGATTTTACTTTCAGTCGAGGCAAGTATGGAGCTCAAAGTCGTCGACAAAGTTCTCTATCTGTTCGTCTATCTACCTCCCTGCCTCATATCTAGCTCACTGCCTCTCTATCTACCGCCTACGAAACCTGTTCTAATCTCGTTCGGCAGCCTAAATACTCTACCAACCTGGGCTGTCCATCTACGCCCGAGTCGGCAACCAAACAGCAGGGTGATGAGCAATACACGAGGCATAGAATACCCAAAGTAGGTTGGATAAGATTACTTGAGGCTGATCTTGGACGCGACGAGACGGGTAGCCGCTACGAGGTGGAGGCTGTGCTTGCCGTGGTCCATGGCAGCAGTCCGAGGACTTAGTAAAAGGGCGATAGAAGATTATGGCCGAGAGAGGGAAACAGTGAGAGGCGGCACGGCAGATAGAAAATGGTAGGAAAGACAAATATAAGGTGAGGGGAAGTAAGACAGAGACGGCTCGGCAGATGGGTAAAGAGAAGATGGTGGATATATGGATGATATCATGGAGAAGCGATCAGCGTACGAGGAGCTGGAGAGCGAACATAAAGACGCCAGATGACCCTTCTGTATCATCTATCTCGTCCATATCTTCCAGCTCACCTCATCTCATCTATCAAGCGAGATATTTCTTTCCTTCCATCTCATATCCTAATGGACAGCAACGGCACGTCCACTAAGCGCCGACTTTAGACGAATCGCACTTGCCAATTCTTCATATTCCGATATCACCAGCGCCATACTCCACACACATAAAAACAAACTTCCAAAACCGCATAACAAAATTCCACATCACAAATTTTTGTTGATGGTGTGTTTTGGAGACACATAGCGACGCAACGATGAAGAGACATTAAGCCTTCAGCTTACTCAGCATCTCCACAACCTGCCACGGGAAGATCGCAAGTCCGTCGGAAATCGCGGACTTTAGGGGTGGGATACGGACACTTCCGGACCGGCCGGACACTACTTTGGAGTCAACTTAGCATTTGCGAACCGAGCGTATCACGTGAATCGCGGCGAGTTTTAGCGAAATGAGATGGATGAGAGGAGCGGCGGAGACAGGGAAGTGCCTGCCAGCCGCCTTCCTTCCATTTCCCCGCGTCACAACGGCCGAAAGCAAAATTAAGTACATCCTTACTTAAGGAAGAAACGTTTAACATGTGAATTCCCATCGTTTCTCTTCTGGGGATTTCATTCCTTTTTAACAGCCTTGGCTTCAGACTGAGACATTGGCGGGGTGTGTTGCATGAATGTGTACCCCTCCCCCTCAATTCGAACACGAAGTGTGGAGTAGATAGTACATTTACACTGTGGTATGTGTGTACTTACAGGAGTTCGTCTGAGGTATTACCCGCTTTCTTCCCCGCCCGGCATCGACAGATGTCACACGCTTGTCACGGACAGATTATCCGCTTTCCCGACAGAGACGGGACAGGATAGATGGGGGAGGAGATGTTATTGTTGTGGTGGTGGAAACGGACTTTTACCGCGGACCCCATCCAAATGAGCCGCGCCGGGTGATTTGGGCTGGAGTGAGGAGCGTCTGGGACGCAGGAAATAGAGTGGCGTATGCGACGTCGTAATTTCCACGGCGTCGTATTATGTGTGCCGCTCGAGGTTATTATAGCTCTAATTTTGTGTGGGAATTCTCGTTGCGTTACAGCACTGTGGGATGAGACGAGGCATTTAACTACGACGATGGCGGCCGGAGGGGGATAGGAGAAATATGAATCTCAGCGCGCATCATCAAACTCCCACGGATGAATTGCCTCCGCCATCGTTCGTGGTGCAAGTACGCACATACCTCGTCGCTTCCACCTGACGTTCCAGGCGTGGTCTGAAAGACCGTCTGCCCACATCCTTTTGTCGTGCACCCGTGCCTTGACTTTTGTTTCTAGTGGGCATGTTCGATTCACAATTGTAGCGTGTTGATTGCGCACCAGGCTAGCACGTTTCCTCGCTGCAGCGAAGTGCGCAAGCGAGGTCTTGGCCCTGTACTGATGAGGCAGGCTGGAGAGACCCCGGCCTTCCCTCGGAGAGTTTTGGGGCTGGGATGGTGACGATGCATGGCCGTGCGTGGCGCCTCGCCGTGATCCCAGGGGTTGATGGTGAATTTTGGACTTTCATGTGGGCTATACGTGAAGTTTATGGAGGGAGAGTAGTGGTTGATACTGAGAAGGGTTCGGTTGAGATGGAGATAGAGGCGGACTGCGGGTTGGGTTATGCTTACTTCGTACTCTATCCTCCAGTGCCGTTGGTGGTGTCACATTCTATCGGAAATATCAGATCGTGGACGAGACGGGGCTCGCTTCGACACTCGATCGTTGGTTGCGTGGCCAGGAACCGGTTTCCTGGATGGTGTGTGCCGTGCTGGGCGTTGGCTGAAGAACCAGCTGTGTCCACCTAGGACCACAATCCTTTTTTTTGCGTCTATTGTTGGAAGCAAGCTAACTGGCACGACTACTGTCAGGGCACATTTGGTTCCATCTAACCGTATCTGGTCCCTGTCACTCATCTATTGCGGATCCGCATATCCCTGCCTATACCCCAACACCCTTAACCGACTACTATCTCCACCCCTATCCACTCTCCTAAACGACACCCCGGCTGACAACTCACACAAGCACTATTGGCCCGGAAGGGCAAAAGAAGCGTGGTAGTGGCTGAGAACTAATGCGATCATTGGACGATAAAACCCCTTGGTAGGGCTTAACAAGGGGCGGCGAGACGTTGTTTTACCCGCTGCCAATCATATAGCTCAGAGTGCTAGCAAGCATGGGGTAGGCGTTTTTTAGCAGATGCACGCTCGGATGTTCAGTGAGCCAACACGGCCGTGCTCTTAACTCTCCGGCACGGGGTTTTTAGGAAGTAAACGACCAGATACGGGGCAGATACTACGCTGTGCAATTGGGCGCTGAAGAATATTGGGGGCGCGGTCTCGTTGGCTTCTCTTCTGGTGGCGAAAATTTCGGCGACGGCGCCTGGGCACTGAGCTTTGGTGTGTGCAAGCGATGGAGCAATCGAGACGCTGCGGCACGGCTTCACGGTGCGGCTCGAGGGCAGTCGTCTGTGCAAAGCTATGGCACTACGCTCTCATCGCCCCTCCTCAACAATGCCATTCCACTCCCGCCAGCTCTCGCGCTATTGTAGGAAAATTGTAGGACGCTACCCCTTTTTCCACCACTCTCTATCCTGCAATCTCTCTCCCTAAGCACGCCTAAGACAAAAAAAATCCAAATACTCTCGACGCTTTATTTCGCATCGTGAAGATCCCCTCTAAAAAGGCGAGTCCCAACGACACGTTAACGGGCACCAAGATCACCGCCCCCAAAATGTTGATCGCCCGGCCGATCTATCACATTTCCCTCCCATCACATCTCCTCAAGCAGCAATTGATCAACTCCCTCCCCAACCTGACCGCGATCAAAACTTAATCTGCGCCGATGCGGAGATCAATCACCCAGGGCTGTGCGCAGGAGCGGAGGGGGTCACCCAATTAGGGGGGGTTGGCTGCCCCTGTCTAAAGTGCATACGTTGGCGTTGATGTGGAAAGTAGTGGTGGGGAAAGTGGTGGGGAAACCACAAACACTACCTACGAGCATACAAGCAGTAAAGTACAAACGTACAGCGCTCGCGGTGCTTGCTCAGAGTACCGTAGCAATGACGCCGTGGGTGTATGGGTGGTGACTGGGGTGTGCGAGTTGAGACTCATAACGCCGCAGTCCAGTACCATGTCATGGCTAAATAAAAACCACGCAAAAAATGTAGCCTACGTCGACTCTGAAAGGGATTGAAGTAGGTCGAGAAGAGGTAAACAAATGGACGGAAACAGGCTTACTTCAGAGTGTATAGCACAGTACAGATGAAGACTGGCTTCCCCACCGGCGCTTTTTTAACGCATCCTTCCAGAACGCCACATCCTTTTCTCTTCTCATTCCGATATTTCCGCCCCACTGAACTACCATATTTCAAGTTGCAGTACGACGTTGCGGTGCTCTCGAGTTAACTTCTTACGGTGCACCAATGTTATGTTCCTTTTCTCACACCCTCCCTCACCCCACACCCCCTGATCCATTCTTTAACAAGGCCCACGACCCTGGGCGCGGATCGGCACCGAGGCGGGACTGGCCTGCGTGAAAGAAGGTAAGAAGGTGGTGGTCCTGATTGCGCTGTTGCAGCCCTAGTACACGGTCCAGAGGGGACGAATACTCCAGCGCAGAATAGTGCAGCACTTTAGTATAGTACGTACATATCTCTCACACAGTTAATTCTGTCCTATCCAGCCGCGGTCTGTGCGAAGGCCGTGCAATTCCGCTTGCATCTTTGGAGTGACTGTGGAGACGCATATATGTTCTGTAGATGTCCGGCAGGCTGGGCTGCACAGAGAAGCAAGGGAAAATCAGTCCAGAGCGGAAGAGAGATATACGTGCGATTGCTGACGTTGACGGATCCCCCTGCAACACCTTGACACCTCTCGCCGCTCGCAAGCTGTTGCTGCGAATGTGAATGCGATTGAAGTCTTGCGCTGCTGTCATTGCTGCTTGTGGACGATCACTTCGGCCGACGAGAACATAGAACGGGACTGAGGAGGATACGCTCGCTACAACTACTTTTCAAGGCAGGGCCTTGACCCTCGAGCTACAGGCTACAACTTCGACTCACTCCTCACCTCTCCTCCCTACAACAACGTTTATCATGGACTTCCCCGCGCACCTTCTCGTGCGCCAGGCCGCCGAGACGCCGCCGGTGATGGATTTCACGGAGAACAATGGATCCCAGATCATGGCTGTGGTGGGATTCCTGATGGGCTTCGGGATGCTAGTTGTGGTGCTGAGGGTGTATGTGAGAATATTTATGACGAAGACGATGGGATGGGATGATTATCTCATGGTTGTTGCCCAGGTGAGTTTTGGCGGTTGCTGTGGTGTCCTACCCAGTTCTATCTTTTTGGTCGAGGGAGCCCGGACGTGTGGAGGAGATTCCCACGCAAGGACAATATTTGAGGATGTGGTCTGACAGTTCACGCAGTCATTCAGTGTCGCAATAATGGTATGCATGTTCTTCGAAGTCAGTAAGGGCGTGGGCAGGCATAGTGCCGACCCCATATACCTACAAAACATGTCAGAGATCATCAAGATAAGCTTCGTTCGGAGCCTATTTCTTGTCTCAGGGATCAGTCTCGTCAAAATATCCGTAGGGCTGTTTCTACTCCGCATCGTTGAGGGGACAATTTATAAACGGATTATCATTGGGACCATTGGTATGTGAATCTCCTCCCTTTCCACATTCTTTATAACCCCTGGTGGCCAGAAGCTCTGGCTGCCTTGTCGACAACGCTGGTGTATTATGGCAAACAATGGCAAAGCTAACATCACTCGCTATCCAGTCTTCCTCGTCATCTTCACGCTCGCTTGCATTGGCACGCTCATATTCCAGTGTATCCCCGTCAGCGCCGCCTGGGACTTCGCCCAACGACCTCCGCCATTTGGGACTGGGAATGCAACATGCTACAGCATTTCCGTATTCACCGCCATAGGTCTATTCAACGGCTGTTCGTACCCCCAAGCCCATCATTCCAGACCCTTACTAAACCCTCCTTAGCTGTCAACATCGCCACAGACGTCGCCTTCGCTCTTCTCCCCATTCCCATCATCTGGAAACTCAACGTCAACATCCGCACGAAAATCACGCTGATCTTAATTCTCAGCCTGGGTTTCATGGCCTGCGCCGCAGCCATCGTGCGCGAGGTCCTCCTCTCTACCTTTTTCGAACAGACGGACGAAAACTTCCACAACGCCTACGCGCTTTGGAACTACGCCGAGCTATGCGTCGGCATCATTGCCGCCTGCCTTCCTGCGCTGCGCCCGCTCTTCGCCTTCCTCCTCGACAAGGCCAGCTCGACCTTCGCATCGGGCCAGCCGGGACTTAGCACGAGACATAAGTACTATATGCAGAGTAACGACATCAATCTCTCGGCGGTAGGGAAGAAGGGGGGTGATAGTGAGACCCCGCGAGGGGACGGGCGGTACGGCGTGAGCGTTACTAGTAACGGAAGGGACTTTTATGAGGAGCGCATGCCGAGGAGGCCCATGGGGAAGCTGGAGCAGAGCTTGACCGAGGGGGAGGGCGATAGCGATGAGAATATTTTGCCGATCCAGGATGTGGAGAGACACGCCAATAATCGCATCGTCAAGACTACGGAGGTGCTTGTTACTTGAGCGAGGGGCTATTCCTTTTGGAGGAGGCGGATTGTATCATAGCTGCTACAGTGTTATTCTCTTATTTACGTGTATATGTCTGCCTTTTTTCCGTGCTTGTTTTTATTTTCCTCTTCTTTTCGAAGACGGCGATTTGGGTCGGGTTGGCAGGGAGAAACGGATTTGGAATGTTTTTTACTTCATACCCACAATTGTTTGCGAAAGAGAGAAAGGGGATGGGCAAGACTGAGGCCCAGGATGTAGACAGTACCTAAAAATGGTGCTAGTGATGACAGTGATGAAACAGGGAAATAGGACTGATTCTCCATGCGCCCTTCTCGCATTTTGCTATCAATCTTTGTTATCTGCTTTCGAGTAGTTCTCCTCTACTCCCCCATGCACCTCCGCCACCATGCTCTTAATGTGACTACCATTTTCTCCAATCTTGAATGGCAGCGTTGTAATTTGTTCCAGCACATGGTGAATATTAGTTGAATGTACTATACCCCCCCCCCCTGAATGATTGTTTCGACCCGCTATTTTGAAGTTCGTGGAAGCCCACTTATAGCACTTGATTTAGGTAAAAAGTCATAAATAAAATGAGATCACTGGAAGTGTCATTTGGTAAAAGAGTGGATCGTTACAATCTTTCGGAGGGATAGTATATACCCTCGTATCTATAGTTCACAGCGACGTTCGGCGGCGAGCAGGCTGTCTACACATACTATAGTAACGTGGCGGACTGGGGTCTCTCCGGAGTTGACTGCTCGAAACCTACAGTTGAAAATTACATGGGCTAGTCGGCACTTCGCTGGACAGTAATCAATCGATATAATAATAATAAGGCGACTAGGCATGCCCGACTTATACTTTAATCCTACCTCAACATACCTCTCTATTTGTGCACGCACAGGCAACACCAGGCTTAAAGAAGATATTACGTCGAGTTATAGGATAGAATTGCCGCACGCAGATTTAATATCAATAGATTGCTAACAGTCCTAAAATAGGCTGCGTCTGCCAAGAATGAGCAGAAGAACACCAGGTGAAATGTTCAATGCCGAACAATTTTTCCCTATCAAACTCACCTACTCTTTTCATTGACCCACCTCTTTCCTCACAGAACCGCTGTCACACATGATGGGAAATACAAGTCTGTTAGATATGTTAAATCCTAGCAAATGAGGCATTGGTCTTCAGAGGGAGAATATTCAAACAACCATCCAATTCTATGAACATATACGAACGGTTGGCCTCCAATGCCTCTAGGAGAAAATAATACCACGACTACGAAATCCCGTCCTAACTACCCAGTGAAACCTGCTGAAAATCTGAGGGGCTGGTAATCTCTACCACCGCCCCGTTGGTGTTCCACATGTCTTTACCACGTACATTTAACCTCATCATAGTAGAGTTTCGAGCATGTGGCCCAAGCAAAGTCATCCGAGCAATGTGCGAAATCATTGCTTGTCTCCTTCAAGCACCGCTTTCCCTGGCCATTGAATGTGAAGTGCCCCCTTCTCTTGCCAAAGTCCATACAGAGTCTGTTCAAAGCTGGGACGCCAGGGTTCGTATGGCAGCCATCGACGTTGCCGATAATATAGCTGTCGTATTTAGTGACAAAAGTCCCGGTGTAGGTGTTGCCGCTGAGAAAGCCGTAATGATTAACAATCAGACGGTCTGCGGTGGCCGCTGTGGCAAGAGCCAGGGTGGTGAGGACAACGGGGAAGTTGAAATGCATTTTCTATGACGAGATGAGTATATGGCCTCGGCGTGATAGTAGGGTAGTGTTGGGAGAGGGGCTTGAAAAGGACTCACGGCTGAGGGAGTGTCTCTGGGCTGCTGTTCGAATAACTCGATTGTAAAGGTGTATGTGTAGCGAAGTAGGCTATGGATCGATGTGAATGTAGCGATGGAGAGAAGTGAGTTCTATCATTTCAAAGGCGAGGAGTCTCGGGGTTTTTATAAACCTAGATCGCCCCCACGCAGGTACGAGCATTTTCAAAATATTCTCACTCTTCATTTCTTGCATCTGTTGTCGGGCTATGGAGATAATCCTTCGTTACTGCCAAGATGTGACGCTTCTATCAATCGTCTGCGCAAAAATACGCTTCAGCTCGTATGTTGGGGGCCGTTGCTCACATTAAATTCGAACATAGCCACTGACGTCTATATGCAATTAATCACTCGATATAGAACCGCGACATCGTTCATAGCTTTTCTGTAGCCAAGTGAATCCTCTAGAGCCAAGAAAGTAGGAAATAGAGTCAAGAATCTAGCCGAGGAAATCCTCCAGAGCCCAGAAGGTTAAAAGTAGAACCGGAAAAGCGAAAGAAGATGCTTCAGTCAGTATTCAGATACCCACACAATATATACTTCGCCATAGTGATACAAAATACAAGAGCAGGTGCCTCATCACGAGATATCTTAGAATCCTTAAGTTGGGAGGGCATACTAACTCCACAAAATTCGTAGAATCAAATTACAGAAATTTCATCCATCTCGTCGCTCATAAACCGCATACCAGAGTTAAGTGCAGCTGTGGATAATCGGGTAATTTGTGGTTGGGGCTCTTTTCTGTGACCTCGCCTCTGATCATTCATACTGTAGATCTTCCAAGAGGCTATATTTCTATATTTGGCCCAAATCCTTCACCCGCGATACTATACAAGCAACTCAGATGTGGAAACTAGTCGCGTGCGCTTTGGACATTTGGCTGCAGATCCCGCCAACTACAGTACGAGGAGTGTCCGCGAACTGATCGGTATTCTCGTCATTCTAATCTTCTGGTCTGCTAGAGGCCTCTCTCTATCCTGCTTCGGTCTATCATGCTTTGGTCTATCATGCTTTGGTCTATCATGCTTCGGTCTGCCATACTACAAGCGGCCGGGCCGCGGGAAGTAGTAAATTAACAATCAGTAGGACCTCGAAGAAAGTTGAGATTCACATTACTCCCCACGATTAAGAGTGCAAGCACTGGTATGCAATATTCGTCTGTGGCCATTCCATGATTCTAATTATAAATCTGGCCCCCATGGTGTATTTTATACCAAGGCGGCTGAAAACCTAATTACGCGCCCCCTGGAGATAATCGACTTATTTATAGATGGGGGTTTTTCCCCATACCAAACATAAAAATAACTTTCTACAGCAGTAAGAAAAGAATCTGGAATGTGGGCTCTGCATAGTATAGTACAGTAATCGCAGGGCATATAGCAATTGAAGTGGTTAATAACCCATCAATGCCACGGGTGTAGGCGGCAAGGAGCGACTTGGGGGCGGCACAGGGGCGGCACAGCTCGGAGGAACGAGGCGGAGCAACGCTCTGGCCCTATGTCCGAGTCAATGAGTTACGGCCTTGGAGTTTAGGCCAGATTATGTCCAGATCGAAATAGGACAGCGCCCCCAGAGAGCGGCTTGCTCGCAAGATCACCCCGATTTAGCCAGCCTTGCGGCCGTCTGTGCGGTCAGGGTCCGTGCGAGAGCTTCTGCGAGCATATCGGCCTCCTTTTGAGACAGTGGTTGAGACGGCGGGTAAAAGTTTGGGGTAGTACTTTTAGTGCGGGGGATGAACGGCGGCGGGGGTTCCAGTTTGGGTTTTGGAGCTGGCCGGGGGGAGGGGGTGGGATAAGGGAGCAAGGATCGGAATGGGGGGGGAGAGAGACCGAGACGGCTTGGGAACGGACAATCTAGTAAGAACAGGAAGGGAGAGGATTTCCAAGTCAATCACGAAGTATCAACCACGGACACAGGATAGGCAAGAACCACATCTAACACGTAACAACATTCATTCATGTATTGCCGTCTACCCCCTAAATAATCTAACCCCATACCCCTACTCCTCCTCATCCTCCTCAGCGACCTCAGCCTCCTCCTCGACCTCCTCTTCAAACGACGAACTCGGGACGTCGTACAGTCTCAGGATCTGCTTATTCGGGTCCTTGACGAGCACGTACTTGCCCTCGGGCTGCGCCATGCACATGTCGACGATGGTGCGGACGATACCCCAGCCGTTGGAGAGGGAGAGGTTCATCTGCGCTGCGAAGTCGCGGGGCTTCCAGCCGATGACGCCGAGGATCACGTGGCGGTCGTTGGACTTGGGGTTGGCACGGGAGACGAATCTGGGGGGTGTTAGTGGCTTGCTCTGACTTTTGATATAGTGGTGAGAGGTTTGGATCAGGAAGGGGAGGAATGAAAATAGTAGTGGCGGGTAAAAACGTACCCGAGCTTCATGACATCGGCGTTCGCGATGATGGACTGGACGGTCCAGCGAGCGAGCTTGCACGAGTTGTTCTTCATCTCGGTGGCGACAACGGCACCACGAGCCGAGACGAGCTTGGTGCGCCAGTCGAGGGCACCTCCGCTTCCCTGGGCCTTGTGGTCGAACTCGTTGAGAGCCTTGACGGTGACGTACTGGTCCTCGCCGCTGATAGCATTCTTGGTAACGGCATCGAGCTCGGTACGGACGATCAGGTTGAGCGGCTCCTCGTCGGTGACGGCGAGATCGAAGCGGCGGTACTTGTAGGCCTTGCTTGCGGGTGGGTCGGTCTCCTCGGCGGCGTTGTAGAAGGGGTTCTCGTTGGCCATGTCGGAGCGGTGGGCGTCATCCTCGATCATGGTCTGGTTCGCGAAGTTGTGGTTGATGTAGGTGGCCTCCTCGGCGAGCGCGGCAGGCTGGTTGATGGCGTCCTTGTTACCCTCGGAGGCGTCCATCGGGGAGTCGGCGGCGTTCTCGTTGACGGAGACCATGTCCAGGGCGGCGTTGTCACGCTTGTCAAGGAAGATCTTGTTGCCTTGCCTGACGATCACGATGTCCCAGGGGTACACGGAGCGGGGCGCGCACATAAGCATGGAGAGAACGCTGTCGGTGGCGAAGATGGTGGCCTCGTCCCTCTCGGCGAGGTCCTGGATGACGGGATCGGAGGAGGTGGTGACGTTGTAGGAGGCGCGGTCGACGACGTTGAGCTTGCGCTCGTTGCTCTTCGTAGCAGGCTTGTCGAAGGAGCGGTCGTAGCGGTACACGAAACCGTAGCTGTCGACATCCTCACCCTCGTCAGCGTCGAGGTTCAGCTTGGTCAGACGGTTGAAGTCAATCTCCTCAAGTAGCTTCCAGTCAGGCTTGATGTTAACCGACGCATCGCGGTTGCGCTGCGGCTTATCGTAATCCTTCCAGCCGAATCTGCGGCCGCCACGAGCACCACCACGGCCTCCACGAGCATCGTAGCCACCGTATCCACCCTGTGCTCCTCCGCGTCCGTTGCTGACTCTCTGGAACTGGCCTCTGCCGCCTCTGGTGTCCCCGCGCCCGCCACGCTGTCCACGGCCACGGCCGAATCCGCCACCTCTTCCAAATCGGGTCTTGGCGGTATCGCGAGTGTTGCTGACGACGGAGAAAGAAGACTCGTCCTCGGCGAGCTGAACGGCGAAAAGCGACGAGGTTCCGGCACCGTAAACTTGCTGGTCTAGAACTTCTGTTAGCACAACTCAAATACGCCACCACCACCAACCGCGCCCGGGGAGGGAAACGGAGGCTTTGTGTATCGGAAATATCGCACCTCTGTAGTTGCGGTTATATTGTTGCCTTCCACCTCTGCCATCTCTGCCGTCCTTGCCCTCAGAGGTCCAATCGGCCATGCGCCCTAGCTTGTCGCCTTTGGAGTATGGTGCGTATGGGACGCCATCGAGAGTGGTCTCAGTGGAGGTCGCTGGTCCCCAGCCATCCGCGGATGGGAGAGCCGACACGATTTCTGCGAGTGATATTGGTGCCATATTTGCGCGACAGTTGTGTATGTGTCGAGCGATCGCGGTTCGGTCTGGAGTCTGAAGTTCTTTTGCTCGCGAATATTTGTCTAGGTGTGGGTTGGTGTTGAGTGGTGGGGCAGGCGAAATCTTGGCGTTTGTCACGTGATCGATGGCTCGCGATTTATATTGTGGGATGATGGGGATTCGCACGAAAAAGATATTGATGCTTTCCTACTCTATGTTGGAGGGTATGATATCTTCATATTGTATGTAAGTCTTGGGAAAATTTTGATTTATTTATTTTGTCCGTTAAAGCAAATTTATAGGGGCATATTATAAGGCTTTCATCCAATAGAAAATTATTTATTTATTTATTTTTAAATATTTCCCCCCCGTAATATATTCCTGTCAAATATATTTCCCACCGACAGACGCCCCTTCTATATTCGTTCAAACCGTAAGTTATAGACTTATTTACGCTGCCAGTAGTTTTGCGCACTCTTCTATCAACTGTTCCTGTCTTGCGCTTATTCAACTTGACTGCAGCCAACTTGCCTTTCTTCGATCAGACCTCAAAAGTAGCTGGTTCCCTCCCATTCTCCCCTTCCACTCTATCCATTGCCTTCTATTCTACCAGCCACCCCAACCGGTCCTTGCCCAGCCCGTTTGTCCAGTCTGTTCTAATCTTGGAATGTTACCTCTGGCCAACCCTCCAGAAGGGCAACTGTCGATCTCGGGCAAGTGCAAAAGCCGCGTTACCCCCAGGGGACACGGGACTGCTCGTAATATGCCGAGATACAGCCCGCAGCCCAAGGTTAATCGCCAGGGAAGGACCAAGTGGCCTCAGACGAGACAACGATCATGCGGTGTACCGCAATAGCATGATCGGTTCGATGACTGGCATGATCGGTTTGAGCCAAACTCGCGCTGGCCTCGGCAAGGACGTGTCACCATCTCGGCATCGAGTCTCAGTGTCACATACGACCACGACATGTGCCGCTGTGTGGCTACTCGTGAGATGTAATGAGACCTGTGAACTGTTAGAACGGAATCGCATGAAACAGCCAGGAACGTAGACATATAAACGCATAGATGCATGATGCAAACCACTGCTGCCACTGCTCGACTTTTTTTATCCTGCCGGACACAGCATCGTGACCCCTTTTTGCCCCTGACTAGAATTGACTCGCCGACCCAATCTCATCGCCTATAGGCCCAGGGCGAGAATAATAGAGCTGCAACTGTAGGTCGGAGAGTTCTGTCTAACATAGGTCCGGCAGATCTCCCACTTGGCCAAATTCCCTCAACAATGGCAGCTGTCTACCAAAGACGGCAGGTGCAGGCGGCTCGTCTCTCGGACAATACTGCAGCTCTTGCTGTGCCAACCCTTCCTTGCACTGAAGCAATGTCCCCGGTGCTCTGGTAACAATCCGAGAGAACACCTCATGTGATATATGAGGAGCGTGGACGGCTCGATGACCAGGGGTGGATGACCAGGACACAGCTTCGAGCTTCCCACTGCTTCTGTCGTGACAAGAGGCACACTGCATTCCATAACCCTACTGTAAACTTACAGTAGCTCGCAATCTTCCGTCAGGATGGTAGAGGCCACGAGTGGCTGCACACAAGGCCGCCATAATCAATATACCTGCTCCGATGCACATTCCAGCCGCGGCCGTGATGGCATGTGGCTTCATATAATTCAGTATTACTCACATTAGTTTGAGACGTGTAACATTGAGTACCCAATAGATGCAATAGATTCAATAGTTCCAATAGATCCAATAGATACGATGCGCCGTCGCTGTAAGACGCCGTTGAGGCGTCGTTGGACCCCTGGCTGGGATGGCTGAGAGGCTCACCTGGCACATCTTTTTGATCCCTTTTGGATCTTTTTGGTCCCTTGGTCCCCCAAATTAGGGAATTGTAGATGCCATAAGATTCCCGAGAACCACACACAAACCACATAATCCCACACTGAGTAATTAATGTGTAAAGTAAGGATGCGACATACATAACCAACCGCCAATACGATGTACTTTACTTACTAAACTGTATTGACATGTACATAATCCATCACATGATCAATGCATGCTTCAGCCCGTGTTCTCGACGCAACGCCAGAGCGGGACCGACTGCCGCCGATCAGCAATCAGCAATCAAGCAATCGATTAAATCCACAATACAATGTCCCTTGTTAATACTCCCAGGGCAACTGCATTTCAACGACCCTCCATCACCTGCACCACAACTCCTCCGAAAACTTCACCTTCACCTCAACCTTCTGCATTCTCGACACTATCTGCACTTGCCTTCGGTGGCGACGTGCATCTTTACATTACAACAGAAGCAGAAGTACTGGCGGCATTGCGCCTACCTCCGTCCCCCCGCTGAACCCGAATGCGCCCCCAGCAGCAGCCTTGCTCGCTCCTGCTATTTTAACTGATTGTTACCGTCATACAACTTCCACGAGACTGCGAACAGTGACAAATACCAACCACACCCGAGAGCCCTGGATTTCCCTATACCCTCATATGCTTCTCTCAAACCGACATAATTCGGTACCGCGACCTCGTTCCCTTCGCCCTCTCTTCTTACGCACACGCACATCCTGTGCCCGATATTCCAAATACCAATCATCCTTCCATAGCTTCGGTTGAACGAACAACATCGCCCTCTGGCGCTTATAAAGGAAGTCAGTCAGACCTGATACCGTGACCTTGCGAGGCACTTGACAAGGTATGCGCTGTGTCCTTCTATATCCAGACTGGATATTCGAAGTTGCCGAGGAGTCTTCCCCAGCCGGGCAGTCATTCCCATCCCAGCCCTCCTTCTGATTCCCATACCCCCCATACCCCCCATACCCCCCATATATTCTCTTTTCGCTGCTTCTGTCGCATTGCTAGACGGCATGACTGACCCGATATCACCTGAAGCGTTACGACAGCTATATGCGAAGCAGATCGTCCTGCTGAGCGAGATATATAAATCGACTATACCTCCCATCGGAGTGTTCCCAGACGGAATGGAGATGCAGACAGACCAATATGCGAATCCCTCAGGCGGTAGCGGCTATGGGAGCAGTGAGCAGTCGGAGAGCGGGAAAAGCCCCCTGTCGATGAGCTTGGGCTTCCTCAAGACCCTCACGGAGAAGAAGAGCACTCGTGGTGAGCCGAACGACAAGATAATGTATACCTCTGCTAAGCAAACCCTAGTTGATGGACAGCCGTCCAAGCGTCGCGGCCCGAAACCTGACAGCAAGCCTGCCTTGACCCGACGTCAGGAACTAAATCGACAAGCACAAAGGCACGACCCCTCCTGACCCCGCCTTCACCACGCTAACAGACCCTAGAACCCACCGCGAGCGAAAAGAACTCTACATCAAAGCGCTCGAGCAAGAAGTTCTCCGCCTGAAGCAGAACTTCTCTAGTGTTGCCCGTAGCAAAGATACCCTCGCCGAAGAGAACCGTCAACTCCGGAACCTCCTGGCCGCGCACGGCATCCCGTGGACCGGCAGCGGCGGCGTTGACGAGCTCGCCGCCACAGGTGGTAGCACATCCTACCCCTCGTCGGGCTCCTTCTCCGGCTCCTACCCCTCCTCCGTCTCGCCCACCCCACAGTACAGTACCAACGCCGGCAATAACGGAGCGCACCTTGCCCCGCCGCTCCCCCAGACCCCTCACACCCACCATCCTTCAGCCGCGCAGGGCCTAGACCTCGACCAGGCCGGCATAGACTTCGTGCTCACGTATGCGCCCGACCCCCGCCCGCCCTACCTGACCCCTCCCCGCTGATGGCCGGGCCGTGTGCACACAAGCTAACCTTGTGTGTACACAGGCTCGAGCGACCGTGCATGGATCACTTACAGTTTTTGGTCGAATTATCGTCGACGCCCTCCGGCATGCCTTGCGGACACGCACTCATGGCGACATGCCCCCCTGTCCCACACCCGGCTGATGAGATGCCCTGGGGCCATGGGGTGGCGAGGCTGCCGCACGAAGAGCTCAAGACGTGGGATCTGCAGAAGGGCGATCTGGCGAATTTGTTGGATTTGAGTATGCGACTTAATCTTGATGGGGAGATCACGCCTGTTATGGCGTGGGGGATGGTGTTGGGGCATCCGAGGTTTAGGGAGTTGGGGACTAGGGAGTTTGGGATGGTTGTTGAAGAGTTGACGCCCAAGGTTCGGTGCTATGGGTGAGTTTTTCGCGTATCTGGGGCGTGGGATGAAAGCTAACGGTCCTGCAGGTTCGGCGCTGTTCTTGAGGAGTTTGAGGTCAGGGACGCGATGGAGAATATGTTCTCGACGCTGTGATTTTGCACAGTTATCACCTCGCTACAAGGAGACCACTGCAGCGGGACTCGGGGATCTAGTCTCCCCTCTCCATCTTACGGCGTGGCAGCCTGGTATCGGCGTTCTTTCTTTAATTATTCTGCAGGCGGAAGGGGAGAGGGACAACGGAGATAGGGGTTTTAAGAGGTTGAGTTATGGAGTAGGACAGGTGGTGTTTAGATGTTCACGGAATTTTTGTTGTTTGTGTGCTATCTATATCCTATATGGTTGATTATATTCTACAGCCGGTTTTTATTAAAAAAGTATAGTAATGAGAGATCTGTCTGTTTGTACGTTCGTTTATAATGTCTGTTGCGTGTATGATGGCTTGGTCTGGATACTGGACTGGCGCCCTCTCATGTCGTCTCGTCTTGAGCACTATGATCTCCTGTCACACTGTCTAAAGTTAGATACACTATGCCTATCCACTGCTTCACACCCACTCCACACGATCATGAGTGCAAAATATCTCACATATAGTCGCTAGCGGCGTATCATGAGTGGCCAGGTGTGAACAATACGATTCCAGTAGCCTTAAGTTTATGCACGCACCAACGCTACTCCTCTCCCCATGCATCCAGCACCTACCACAGTGCGTACCTCTCACCCCTCTCTAGTCAGTGCGCAGAGACCAGGCCATCGCACCACCCGCCAGCCCTCGACCTGTCGCTAGAACGAGTCGTGGCGTGCCTCGACTCTTCCTCCTGCCGATATAAGAGGGGGAAGGGTAGCGCGCTTGACGTAACTTTATGCGTGTCTCGTCACGGCTGTCACAGCGCACAGGGTGGCACGGCGGGTACGGCGTGGGTGGTCGAACGGCTTGTGACTCTGTGATCCCTTTTTGCAGGATCGTTTTGTCTTAGACAGGGTGAAGATGTCGTTGAGACATTTTTGTGGGTGGTTTGGGCGTTAGGGGTCATGAGTTACATGTTCCACGACTAGGGGACTTTCGGTTTTCTGGTTTGTTGTGTCGTTTGGCTGGGAGGTGGTTGCTGAGAGAGTAGATAATGGAGGAGTGGTGGCTGGTGGCCGGTGCTGGTGTTTATTTATGGGTTTGCGAATACCAACAGCGGTGGATTGTAAGTTGGTGAGTCCTAAAGAAGGTCGTGCATGTAAGACAGTAGCTGGGTTTTAAACCACATCTATTTTATTTCGTCTTGTGATGGTAAGTGTTGGCTATATAAAGAGCTGGTGAGTGAGGGTGTGTTCATTGCTCTATTGGTATCTCAAAACTCAATCGTCCTACATTAGAATCGTTTAATTTATATATTTCGTGATATTTTCATTGGTCTAATCATGCAGTTCTTCAAAACTTTAATAATCCTTGCGACGATCCCGCTTGCGTTTGCGTCAGCTCAGAGTTTTGTTAGCATTATATCCCTTGCACCCTTTAAAAAGAGGAAGAAGGCTAATGATATTAACATATCTGATATCTAGAGCTATCTACTTGGAAGAAGGTGCAAAGTGTGCATTCTACACGTATGTTTTTATCTCTTCTTTGACCTACAGCTTTCTATCCCCATTATTCATCACCCTGTTGCTAATAAAAATATATACACAGAGCTAAGACATGTTATGATGGCAAAGGAGATAATTACGTGTATGTGTCTGCGGGGTGTCATCCTATCTCGGAGTGGAAGGATCCTCTTTCGTTCAAGTGCCTACCGGCGTTTGAGAGCCCCTGATAAAGGGATAGATGGGCGGGATAGAGGAATGCTCTGGCGACGCTGAGTCGTACACTGAGTGTGGCCTTGCACGTAAGACAGTAGCTGATCCCTAACTATTCTGGCTACTATTGGTCTTATGTATAAGACATGATAAAATCCTGTCATCTATATATGCTGGTAGAAAGCCGTTTTGATTGTGCAGTTCAGGGGGTTTGTTGTTAGTACTATCCTTTCGCCCCCTTAAATAGAGAAGACCAACTAAACCACTACAGGCCTCCACTCACTCGGATCTCGAGTGCAGTCCAGACACCCTCCAAAACTTTATACCAGGCAGCACATGTCAGAATATTCGTCTTAGCAAAATACAGTAAGCGGTCGCCGTGCAGCTCTATCCTCTCATAATAGAAAGCTTTTAAACTGACGCGTGAACAACATTAGATCCATCAAGTTTGACGTCGACGATACTACCATATGCAATTTCTTCACGGGGTATGTTTTATTTCTCTTCTCCTTTTCTTCCTCTCCTGCTCCTCAAACAGAGAGTTATCTTGCTAGTGTTGGCTTATCCCCCATTGGACTTATTATCTTATTTTGTTGTCGGTTTACTAAATCAAATCTCCGCCACAGGAACGAAATTTGCACAAATGACACAGAGGAACACCGTCTGAAGCAGAGATGCTATCCCCTATCGTATTTTAAGGGGGCTCGTTCATTCTCCTGTTACAAGAGCAAGAACCGATAGAAGGGGGATACGAGAGGGGAGGGAGTTGAGATGGTAAGTCGTACGACGAGTTTCATGAATCCTAATTACATTAGAAATGATTGGTCTTATATGTAAGACATGGTGAATTCTGCTATCTACAAAAGTTGGCAGGAAGTCGCCTCAATTGCTCAGTAGACTTCCAACTCCATCGCCTTACTTCCCGTTGTCCAATTCCAAATACTCCAACCATGCATTTCCTCAAGACTTCAATGCTCCTAGCGGCCATCCTCGGGCTTGCTTCAGCCCAGTTCAGGGGGTCTATTGTCAGTGCTATCCCTTCGCTCCCTTAAATGAGAGGGAAAGCTAATAAAACCACTACAGGGCTCTACTTATACGGATCTCAAGTGCAAGACAGGCACTATCAAACCCTCGATGATAAGCGAAATGTGCCAGACTGTTGGTCAAAACAAAATACAGTAAATGACCGCTGCCCAGCTCTGCCATATCTATACTAGGGAGCCTTTAAACTGACGCATAAACAACACTAGATCTATTAAGTTAGACCTGCGAAGTAGATGCAAATTCTACACCGAGTACGTTTTCTCTCTCTTCTTCTCCGCCTGCTCCCTAGACCTGAGTTCTTCTGCTCGTATGAATGCTTATCTTTCTTTGCATTTTTTTATTTTATTTGTGTCGTTGTCGTTGCCGTTGTCTTACTAAATCGAATCCCCACTACAGGAGCGACTCTTGCAACGAGAAAACCAAATCGAACGATCACGTCCTGGGACGGCGGATATGCTATCCCTTGACGAATTTTGAGAACGCCCATTCATTCTTATGTTCCATACACTCGGGGCTCTTGGAGGGGGGGTCGGCTTCTCCCGCCTAAACGTTCACGTTAGGAGCAAACCGACTCGGGTTTGAAAAAGAAGAAGAGGGCGAGAGCGAGGGGGAGAAGAGAGAAAGGAAACATACATACCACGTGTGAAGGCTTGGTGAATGTTTCCCAAAAAGGGCGCTTGTTCGTCCTGCTTGGAAGTAGATTAGCATCATCAATTATACAATCAATCTATCGGCGGTAGAAATTGCGATTCCAATCCCAATACCATCCTTAGCTTCTAATTCTCTCAATCCAAACTGAAATCCCCATCACTATATGCTTCTAGTCAAAATTGCGGAGAGAGGGGGAGGTTGCTCGTCACATGATAGGGAGGGCCAGAGCTATGGTGGAGTAGTGGGCTGGCATCCGTCATCCGTCATCCGTCATTCGTCATCTGTCGATGGGAATGGGAATGCGATTCCGCATCAGATTCCAAAATAGCTTCGATCGAATTTCAATCCCCATCAGATTCCAATGCCAGCCCCCGCCGTTATCACATCCCAAAGTCAATCTCCATCCCAATATACCTCATCCCCCTATTACACATTCCAATCCCATCCCCACCTCTCAATCCCCATCCCCGCCTTCCCCAACCCCTCCCCGCTAGAAACCCAAAGAATTCGCCACCGTCACCCCGATCGCCATAACCCCCTCCCCCAGCTTCCCCATCAAGGGGATCAGCGCGGTCCTCCCTACTTCTCCCCACAGTTTTAGTAGTGATATACCTTACAGCGGCGTCCCGATCGCCCCCTTTGACGACTGCCGAGTGTGAGGGTGTCACGTGGCCGTCTTGTTTTTTTGCTGCAGCTCCTTACTATCTATTGATAGGGTGATGCACGCCTCCTCCCCTCCTTTACTAGTTGGGAGTAGCCATGCAGTGTTGTATCCCCCGTAGATGCACAGGAGTTAAGTTAAGTCAGTTCAGTGCAGCAGCCCAATCCAATCCAATCCAACACTCCATCGCCACAACAAAGCAAGCGATGCCAATGCATCATCGCCACACATCACATACGTAGTCCCAAACCCAATCCAATCCAATCCCGTAGCTTAACGTAACTTTTTAGCTTGCCGGGGGTCAGGAGACCCCATCGATTCGCGATGAGGTTAGTAAGTGCGGGTGGAGGGGCGCCGGGTTCCGAGGTGTGGGGTGCGTGTGTGTGGGTTAGTGTGGTGTGGTGGGGGAGGGGGTGGGAAGGGCGTTTTTGGGTGGGGATGTTGTCTTGGTTTGGTTTGCCACTGTCTGTGGGGGAGGGGGTGGTGGTGGTGGTCTAGACTATTGGTGGTGGTGTTGCTAACAATACCACTGCTACTAACGATAAACAATACTAAAGGGACTGACGATACTACTCTGCCATAAAGGTGTGGCTGTCAACAATGTTAATACTACTACTAATAATACGCCACTTTTAAAACTCCTGACACTTCCAACACACGAGAGTCGGCAGATGGCTACTGCATGTAGTGGCTGCCAATCCCATCCTACTCCTCTGGCACTTCTTTGGCAATGCGAGGACGGGTTTTATGTGATGTGGGCGTACGTACAACCCGTTGATCAAATGACGCCAGCTCCACGCCTTCAATAACCCTCTCTGCACTGGGCTTAGGGGGGACTGGAACCGGGTAAGGAAGATGGGTGCCGCTCTTGCATGATCGTGGATAGGCCCTCGTTACGATGTCTCGGCCGGCGTTGGATAAGCTCGTCCCCCGTCCCTCTCCATCCCCGTTGACCACTTCCTTCCCGATAAGGGGAATGACCCCAGAGCGGGTTCCCTAGATCGAGATTCCCGGATAGAACAATCGAATCGAATAAATTTCAATCAATCAACTCGCTACGGCTTCGTCACACACAAGACACACACCCTCGGGGCGGGACGAAAGGGACGAAAGGGATGGAGCCGAGATAGGGGATACAGGTCTCGTCATTTGTACGTAGGTTGAATGTGTGAGAGTGGTCATTTATAGGATGGTTGACTGACTCTAGACCGATGTGGATGGGACTGGGGACTAGGGGCTGGGGATGCACGTTCCACCTCCCGCGCTGCAGATGGGGGGCTTGGCTGCGATCGCAGGAGGGGTGGAGGGGGGAGCGGTGTGGAGTGCCCTGCTTGCTGCGGGGTTGACGCCATTCTGGTGCCGCTGGAGGGTTGTCGATAGATAGACAGTTGGTTGTATAAGGTGTCCTAGTCTAGGGGGGGGTGTTTATGGTGTGTAGGGGAGGAAAAGAGGGTAAACAAATATAACCCACGCTATATGGACGGGGATGGGGGCCCCTAGGATGAAGGTAGGGCGGCATCTAGCTAGGGAGAAGGGTTCTGGAATGTAATGGTGGGCTATGACGAGACGCTGTCTTAGGGGAGGGGAGGGGGGCGGGAGGCAGCATCAGACGACTTGGCGGGGGGTGGAGTGAGTGGTTCGGGTGGTTCGGATGGGGTTACAGTGGGAGCTTGGGGTAGTTGCTAGGCGTGTCTGGGATGTCTGAGGGAGAGGCCGCGAGACATGTGTGGAGGTACAGCGGCGGGATCGGGGGGATGGGGGGGAGTGTGTTAGTATAGTAGTATTGGTAGTGTTAGTAAGGTTAGGAGGGTTAGGAGTGAAGACAGGCAAGGGACGGTGAGACTTAGGGTTGGTGATTGTTTGAGCTGGAGCAGGAAGGGGGTGGGTGTGCGTGTGTGTGTGTGTGTTCGACTCAGATGCGTGCAGCCGCCTGTATGGTTGTGTGGACGCAGAGCGGCGAGTGATGCACGGTACACGAAGGTGCAGTGACGCACATCATCGATATTGTGCTCTGTAGTGCAGATGTGCAGGTGTGCATCTGCGGACAGGATCTTGCTTATCGGCAGCAGGAGCAGTCAGTGGTGCCGAGGAATTTTGTTTGTTTCAGGTTGGTGGTGTTAGAGGGAGGGTGTAATCTGGGTAAATGCGCGGATCTGGTAGGTTTGATATGAGATCTGCGAGGATGGATGGGGTTTAACGGTGTTACTTACTTATCTATCTGTTAGGATTGTTTAGATGAGGGCAGGATGGGATTGAGGGTGTTTGTTGGTTGGGGATGGGATGATGGGGTGATCTGAGGGGTTGACCAATGCAGAATGTGGTAACTGCGCGGCTTGAACACGATGCCGTTTGGGAGCTGCTTTTACTCGGTTTGTATGTATGTACTGTATAGATAGTCAGTACTCAAATGCCGTGGGAGCTGTTTTGTATTCACTTAATGCCGTTGGTATGTATTGTCGTGGAAACCGCAGGACTGCAGGAGGACGACGGAATAGAGAGCCCTGAATAACTAGAATTGAATAACAACAACAAAATTGTAGGGTCCAACAATAACAATAACAATCACAACAACAGAAAATAACAAAAAATAACAAAAAATAACAAAAGTTTTGTTTATAATAGCCTCTGGTATACCTTACTATGACTCTCTGGTATGACTGTGCATGAAGGGGGGGATCCATCCATGGGAAAGGTACATATATAGCTGAGCTGAGCACTCTAATATACTACTAATATACTAATATAGCTGTTGTTTCGAGTTTCTGATACGCTCTCGCCCAATCAGTTCATGCTAAACTGCTAAACTAAGCACTCTGGTCGGTTAACGGTTACTGCTTAACGGCTGTTTATGCTGCTTTGTGCTGCTTCTTGAGCATATTACGGGACGATAGGGCCCATTTATCTATCTGCACGGTCAAGGATTACCCTTCTAGCTGCACCTTAGCTGCTCCCAAGCTGCACTACAGCTCCCTAGACGGCCATCCCATTGGTCGGTTCATCTATTATATATTACGTGCATCCTCTTCTTCCTAGCACTAGAGTACCGTAACCCTGTAAAATGGCCGTGAACCGTGACAATAGAGTAATCAATGGTCATCGCGCTTTAACTACGATATGGAACTGAAGAGTGATTCTTAAGCAAAATCTGCTCCTCGGACGCGTTCTACTGCATTAATCAGTCCGTTCGGCGATGCCCGTAGCGTGTAAAACTATACCCGTATTACCAATACCCATACCCGTACCCATAGACGAATAACAAGCTCCCATGGCGCTGAACTATAGCACTATACTGCCCTGCACACTGCACCGTCTATGTACCTACCATCGTTAGAGACATCCGTCCCTAGACCACCACACCCAAAACCGACCCCATCGCCAAATTATTTCCACACAACACCCAACCCACCAGTTCACACCCACGATAAACTTCACGACAACCTCGACAACAACAACACACAAAACGACAACCTAACGACAATCTGCAATCCTATCAACCATCAGCTCAAGGCCACAACTTCACTGTTCGCTCGGTCCCATTGAGCCCCCATCGTCAACCGTAGCAACACATGCGTTGAGCGACAACCCACCCGGTCCCGCCGTGAACACCACACACCAAGGTCACCCACCACGCACACCCGCCCACGCCAAACGGGCACCCACCAACTCTCCCACCACAACCACACCAACCCAAGAAAGCCTACGCTCCTCCGAAAAATGCAAGCAGTCACCACAACGAGGACTAGCTAGACACAACCTCCTCAGCCCATGCACGGCCCACCCCGGCGTGAGCACCGCTTTATGGCCTGGGCGCGCGCGTCGCGGACGTCCTGCGCAGCACGCTGATAACGAGAGGAGGGGGATTGATTGGGGATCCATTCATGTCGACGCCGGATAGCGGGGACAACACCACCACGACAATCACCTCGGCAGGACAATGGAGACACCGGATGGGACGCTGGCGCCGCCGGCGGTGACGGCGCTGCGGGGCACGGGCGCGGCGATGGAGAGGACGCTGAGTGGGGATATGAGGCTCGAGAGGCAGGATTTGAGGGAGGCGGCGGAGCAGACGCTGAATGTGATTCTGGATTTGGGGCTGGATGGGGTGGTGAGGTGGGTGAGTCCCAGCTGGACGGATGTGATTGGGACGGCGGTGGAGGGGGTGCAGGGACACAGCATTGGGGAGGTGGTGGAGGCGGGGGAGGAGGTGTTTGGGAAGGCGGTTGAGGGGATGAGGGGGGATGCAATGAGGAGTCAGATTGTGAGGTTTGAGCTCGAACTGGGCGAGGCTTCGAAATTGCTGAGGGTGAGAGAAGCGGGGGAGGAGGGGGATGAGGAGGCGGAAGAGGTGAGGGAGACGGTTGATTTGGAGGGGCAGGGGATTATGGTGTATGATCGCTCGACGGGAGAGGAGAGCCATGTAAGTTTTGGATACGAAATTCGAGGGATTGGAGGCTAATTTGTACAGACTATGTGGATGATCAGGCCATGGGTCGAACCGCGCGAACTCAAAATCGACCTACCGAGTATAATAGTCGAGAGTTTGGGATCGGGAGCAGAGGTGCTGGCGAGCCATCTCAACATGCTCGCTGAGGCCGGACTCGACGACCCGGCACACCACCCACCGCCTCCCCCGGTCCTATGCCGAATCTGCGAGCGACAAATACCACCGTGGTGGTTCGAGAAACATACCGAGTTATGTCTACAAGAACACCAGGCCGAGATGAAGGTGCAAATATGCCAAGAGAACCTCACAGAACATCGCCACGCCATTGTAAAGGTGTTGGATGCGTTGGAGGCGAGAAAGAGCCGCCCATTATCTACAACCGAGATGCCATTATCCTCACCCCAGGCAGAATACAAAGGAATGCCCATCGGCCCCACCTCCCAGCACAGCTCAGCATCTGGAAGCTCCTCTCCAGCACCCAACCGACCATCGCGCGACCCCTCAGCGTCAAAAAGCAACCACACACGCGCCCGCTCCTTCGCCGTCCGCCGCCCACAAGCCCGCATCGTCGAGCTCCTCCTCGATCTCTGCGACACAGCCATCGAAATCGGCACCCCGGCCATCAAAGAAGTCTCCTCGCAGATCGGGGAATTCCGCACCCAATCCCCCGCCTCCGAGTCCCGCGTCTCGCAGGTCCTACAGTGGCAGTCTCCTAGCACGAATACGCTCGATCAGGAGCAGGGACTCGCGCTGCTGTGTGCGGATAGCGAGAAGGCGGCTAAGGAGAAGGTGGATGCGGTGCTGAGGCATCGGGGGATCCTGGAGTATAGTGAGAGGATCCGCGGGGAGTTTGCGCTGATTGTGCAGGATTGTATTGATGAGGCTGTACGCAAGGCGGCGAGGTTCGCGGCGGGACTGGATACGGATTCTATGGATGAGGATGATGATGTGCCAGAACACGATGATAGTTTCTTTAGAGGCTCGTTTGACGGACCGTCCACACTGGCGGCGGCGCTGCGAGAGGCGGAGATGAAACAGCACGAAGAACGACTGAGCAGGTCGTCACAAGCAGTCTCTACCACCGGCTCGAGTAGTCCGAAAGAGTGTCCTACACCACGCTCCCACGCAGGGACTCTGAGCATGCTCACACAAGCACGACACTCATCCCGTGCTTCCGCTGGGCCTTCACGCCGCGGCTCGCTCTACTTCGAGAGCGGCAACGATGACAGTGATAGCAGTATCCGCTCCTCATCCGTTATGTCTCGCCCCACGCGCATCGAATCACCCGTTTCTGAATTCGGTGACCTTCGCCGAGCGGCCAGCTCCCGCCAGCGCAACCGTCGCAGCATGGTCCTCCCAGGCCACCGCTCCAGCTCCCCGCAGCGACAGGAATCGCCGTCGCGGCCTGGTGGAGGAATTAGCTCGTCACCGCTGCGGATTGCGAAACCTCGTTCGCTGGCAACGGGACAACAGGCGATGCGATCACCTGTCACGTCGCCGCTGCTGAGCTATCATGAGTTTGCCTCGCCGTCGCTGGCGCCGCATCACCACAGGCGGCAGTCGTCGGCAACAGGATCGGTGCCGCCGCCGTCGCCGCGTCTGAATTCAGCGAGTGTACCGCAAGCGCGTGCTGTGCCGCCATCGATTAAAGATTTTGAGATTATCAAGCCGATTAGCAAGGGAGCGTTTGGGAGCGTGTATTTGTCCAAGAAGAAGTCGACTGGAGATTACTTCGCAATCAAGGTGCTAAAGAAGGCAGACATGGTTGCCAAGAACCAAGTTACGAATGTCAAAGCCGAGCGCGCCATCATGATGTGGCAGGGCGAGAGCGATTTTGTGGCTAAGCTGTATTGGACGTTCTCGAGCAAGGATTACTTATATCTTGTGATGGAGTATCTCAATGGTGGCGACTGTGCGTCGCTCATCAAGGTCCTCGGTGGCCTGCCGGAGGATTGGGCGAAGAAGTATCTTGGAGAGGTCATTCTGGGAGTTGAGCACCTGCACAGTCGCGGTATCGTGCATCGTGATTTGAAGCCGGATAATCTGCTCATAGACCAGAAGGGACATCTGAAGTTGACTGATTTCGGACTGTCGAGGATGGGTCTGATTGGTCGACAGAAGCGCGTTCTGAGTAGTGCTGGCAGCGAGCAGGCGCCTGATTTATTGAAGCAGGGACCGTTTGCGAGGGCGTCGTCGCTGGCGTCGTCGAGATCGACGTCGTTTGATTTTCAGACCCATCAGTCACCTGGGTCCACACCGATGATGACGCCTGATCTGGGGACTGCGATGGGGCAACCTTCGTACTTCAGCCTGACGCGTGAGAACAGCATGAGCCGCGACTCGCGACAGAGCCAGCGCAGCGATAGCGGGGGAAGTGACACACTCAGCGCTATGTTTAGCAGTTTTTCGCTCACCGAGCCTCAGCAAGTGAGTCCGCGCCCTAGAGAAGGTGAAGAAAATGAGAGCGAGCGGGGATCGCCTGAGATGTTCAGCTTGCAGAATGTGAATAGCCACTCCAGCGTCGATACGAAGAATACCCCACCGCAAGCTAGCATGATGCCACCACCCATGGCACTGTTCGATCCAGATGACAATACACGCCGCTTCGTCGGGACGCCGGATTACCTCGCGCCCGAGACTGTCAAGGGCGAGGGTCAAGATGAGACGAGCGATTGGTGGTCTGTGGGGTGTATCCTGTTTGAGCTACTATATGGTTACCCGCCCTTCCACGGCGACACTCCCGAGCACGTCTTCGAGAACATCCTCGCGCGCAAGATCTCGTGGCCGAGTGAAGACGAGGCTGAAGTCTCCCAAGAGGCTAAGGACCTCATGAACGCGATGCTATGCATGTCGCCCGCCGAACGCCTCGGTGCTAATACCGACGAAAAATTCAGCTCCGGCGCGGAGGAAATCAGGAACCACCCGTGGTTCGCGGATATTAACTGGGATACCCTCCTCCAGGACGAAGCGCAGTTCGTGCCCGTGCCTGAGAATCTAGAAGATACAGAGTACTTCGACAGTCGTGGCGCGACGCTACAATCCTTCGCTGAGGAGATGGAAGATCAAATCTCCCCAGCTGCCGCGACAGCGCCACCGGAGTATCCCCCCGAGCGGCCCCACGACGCTCTGTCGCGAGTCCGCACGCAAATCAACTCCATGAAGCGCGGTCTAATGCCCCTCCACATCCCACCCCACGTGCGAGACCTCAAGAGCCGCCGCCTCAGCGAGCCCGTCATCGCCGACGACTTCGGGAACTTCGCATTCAAGAACCTGCCCGTCCTAGAAAAAGCAAACAAAGACGTCATCCAAAAACTGCGCGCCGAGGCCATCGCAGCACAGAGCAAAGCAGCAGTCGTCAGCCTGGTATCGACGAGTAATAGCGCTATGGTCTCCCCAGTTCCGCCGCTAGAGGGAAGCCCGGTGATTCCGATGCCGCTGCAGCGTACGATGTCGAATGCGAAGGCGGGGAATCGACCATCCTCGCCGTCGCCGAGTCAGGCGAATTCGTCGCCGTCGAGACAGTCGCAGCCGTCGTCGCCGCTGCTGGTGTCGTTTGTGGCGGGGCAGCAGCAGATTGGTGATGGGAATGGGAGGAGGAAGACCTCTAGTACGTCGTCTAGTTTGTCGCAGCAGCAGTCTCTGCAGCCGGGGGGGGGGTTCTTCGATGTCCCACGAATTTCGCCGACGTTGCATAAATCGGGAATCGCGACAGTGTCAACCTCGCCGATTAAGACGAGGGGGATACCCGCCCCTCTGGCGCTCTCACCTGCCAAGGTAGCAGGATCACACAGCACGCCCGGCCGCTCGCGCTCCCAAACCGTCGGGTCCCAAGAAAGCAGTCCCATCACCGTCGGCGACCTCTTCTCGCACCACAAGCGGCGCAGCCAAGTCTTCGACATGTCGCCCTCCAGCTCCGACAACGAAGGCGACAAAGCCAACGCCCTCCTGCGCGTGCAACGCCGCCGCCAATCCTCCCGCCGCCTCTCCCAGATCAACATCTCCGACGGCCCCGTCTTCCGCCCGCTCGACGTGCTGATCTGCGAGGACCACCCCGTGTCGCGGATGGTGATGGAGAAGCTCCTCGAGAAGCTACGGTGTCGCACCATTACCGTGGCGGATGGCGCGGAGGCGACGAGGGTGGCGATGAGCGATATTAAGTTCGATGTCATTATGATGGAATTCAAGCTCCCTGCTGTCAATGGCGCGGATGTGGCGAGGATGATTAGGAGTACTAAGACGGCGAACTCGACGACGCCGATTGTGGCGATTACGGGGTACCTCAAGGAGCTGCAGCAGCCGCATTTCTTTGATGCGTTGGTGGAGAAGCCGCCGACTACTTCGAAGTTGACGGATGTGCTTTGTAGACTGTGTCACTGGAAAGCTCCTGCTCCTGGGCAAGCGGTGCCGCTGCATTACCCCATGCCGTCGGGGCTGAGACAGGAGAGCTTGAGGCTGGATGATAGTCCCAGCTCCGGCTCCTCCGCACGATTGGCGGGGAGCTCATTCCGTGGCTCCAGCCGCGGTGATTCCATCGGCTCCTCCCTCTTCGGGGACGAGTCTTCTGTCGCTACTGACGACGTGGCAGTCATTATTTCTAGAAAGGCGACGGGAGAATGGGACGTCGATAGTGGTCTTGGGATCTCTGAAGACGGCTCACTCCCGCACTCTCACGAGATCCCGAAATTACTCCCTCACCTCTCGGCACCTGCTAGTCTCGAGACGACGCACGAGCCGCCGGGGACGCCATGTCCTGTTCCGCAATCGTCGTCCTTAGCTACGATGCTCAAGCGCCCACTTTCTCCTGCAAGGTTACGCGCAAAACGCGACGCCATCCGCGGCAGCGGTTCCGCCCAACACGCTGAATCCGGGGACGACGAGGACGAGGAGCTTGGCGACACATCAGTCAAAGAGCGATCGCCCAAAGGCAAGACTGGCGCGGGACATAGAGGCTCCAAATTGGGAACGGAGATGATGCGGACTAATAGCCGCGGAAGCGTCGTGAGCGGGTTTGATGTCCCTTATGCCATGGATGGGAGTGCGGGGAGGGGAGAGGATGACCTCGCAGGGGGGATGGAGAAAATGGCACTTACCCCGCCCGCTGAGGAGGGGGGGGATATGGATGAGACTCCTAAACCGAGGAGTTTGTTGGGGACGCCGGGGGAGGAGGGGACGCCGCGTCCTGGGAAGAGAGGGGGAGGAGGGTATTTGAGTGCCGGGGATGCTGAGAGGTGAGGGTAGTTGATGAGGGATGTGGGGTGGAAATTGTGTTTGTTTTGTTTACTGCTTTTTTTTGTACCGATGATGGCGGGGTGGATAGCGAGGCGTTTTTGTGTTATCGGACTGGGATGGGATGGTATGGCGTTTGGGGATGGTGTCACTCTGTCGATTGGAACGACTGACTGACTGAGGAGAGAGACGGGGAGAGGGAGAGCGGAGATGCATTACCGGCGTTTTCAAACTCTCCACACACACACTTGCGTTGGATTTTCTCTTTTCGACAACGCGAAAAGACCTGTCTTCACTTTTTTTCTTGTGTTATAAAAACCTCAATTTGCTGGGTGGAATCGATAATGGGTGCGAGGGGCGGTTCACTTCGGTGCACACTTACTTTTACTTCTTTTTCAACAGCCAACACGATAACCAACAACAACAACAATACAACAACGATGATAGCTACGGCTACGGATATGGATGGAGGATGGATAAGCTGCGGCTACCAACCATCCGACAAATCAACTACCGCTACGGCGACGAAGACTACAATATTTCCTTTCCTTTTACATTTTGAATTTTTCTTTTTACCAACCAGGAGTGGAGGTGTCAGGATACCGCTGCAGTAGACGGGTCCGAAATTTGAACACAAACGAGAGCGAGCCCTTGCAAAAACGCGAATTGGGCCCGGGGGTGGAGGGGGGAGAGAGAGAGAGAGAGAGAGAGAGAAAGGGGGGAGTACAATACAGATCCACTACATGTGTGAATTTTTACCCATAGCAACTGGGGTTTTTTTTCTCTTTTTTTTACCAGCAACAGCATGGCAAGGAGGGGGCTAGTTTGTGTATCTCGCGGAGCGGATGAGTCTAGCTAGATCGCAGATATACAGACAGACAGAGAGACAGGCAAGCTGGTTGTTGGAGATAGGGTAGAGTAGAGAATTTGAAACTACTGAGTCCCATGTTGTGTGCTTTTTGTGGGTGTGATTGTGAAATGTGACTGTGAGGGAGAATGGGGGCGAACATGGGTGTGAATGTGAACAGAGTATGTAAAATTATGTGATAAGTGATGCAGCAAATGGAGACGTGTTTGGTGGTAAATATCATTTATCTCCTCGTCTGCTTGTCTGCTTGTCTGTCTGTCTGTCTGTCTACCACTACCACTACCACTCACTACCACTATCCCCCATCCCGTACGTCGCTCAGGTGATCTAGCCCCCCGTCATAGCTATAACCCCCCTCTCAACCCCTATCAGTAGACCTCCTCGCGGGAAATAAAAATCCGTGCATCTGACTCAATGAACCACTTCCTTTCTTCCTTTCTCCATCCATCCTTGCGATAGAATCTCAATCCCATCTAGCACCCCCGTCCCCTGGCATATCCGTATCATCATATCGTGAAATTCATAACCCCTCCCCACCCTGCTTTCCCAGCAAAAACAAAGCAAAAGCAAACGTAGCCCCGGGAAAAATGTTAATAGCAAAGCAAAGCAGAGCGAGATAATAAAAATACTCCCCCGTTTCACCCACCAATCCATCCATATCCCTTCCTGTCCTTATCCCTTTCCTTATCTCATCCCTATCCCAACCCCTAACCCTATTCCTATCCCATCCCAGTCCCTCCCCATACCAGTCCCTATCCCTGCCCCGATCCCTACCCCCATCCCTTCCTTCCCTTAACACCCTGATACCCCGCTGACCCTGAACCTAACCCCCTAAACCTCAAAAAAGACAGAAAGACAAAAATAAAAGACTCCGTGTGCACCCCCGCTGATACCCCCGCTGATGTGCTGTTTTTACGCCGTTGTGTATGATTGATTGATTGATTGATGGATCTGGTTTGTGTGTTCCTCTGCTGTGCTGCCCGAGCGCCGCGCTGGTGGTGATATCTTTGTGGAAAAAACTGGAAAATGACAAATTGGAAATTGGGAAGATGGGGAGGTGGATGAGGAGAGATGTGGAGGTTGGTGGTGGGGAGGTGGATGGTGGACCTGTGGATGTGAGTTTGGCACAAAGCGGAACCTACTCCAAACTCCTCTGCACCGCCCTCCTCAACAACCGATTATACGCCTTCCTCTCATCCTGCGTCCCCCAATACAACTTCGCCGCCTCGGGATTAACCAGCGTCCTCGGATCATACGGCGGGCTCTCCTCCTCCAACGCCTCAATGATCCCATCAATATGGCTCTTAATATCATCGCTCCTTGTTGCCGTATAGCAGGGCGTCCCATCGCGGGCAATACGGTGGTGGAAGAGACTAGTCTCGAAGCGCGCGCGCGGTTGCTCTTCCGGGAAGCGGGGAGAGAGACGGAGAGTGATGCGGAAGAGACCGCCGTCGAGATTGGTCATCGGGCGGCCGAAGTAGGTTATCGCCCAGACGAAGGGGTTGGAGTCTACGAGCTCGATGTCGAGGGTTACAGCTGAGTCGCGCTTGTATGCCTCGACGACCTGCTCGTACTGGCGCTGCAAGTTCGCCGCTACACCGCTGTCTTTCTTCTTCTGCGCGAGCCCCTCATCCGCCCAGCGATGCGTCTCAGCATTCAGCGTACCCTTGATCATCTCAAGTCGGCGCGTAAGTTCAGTATAATTGAACTTCCCAACCATGTCGTTGCCCTGCCCCTCGAAGGGCATGCGCGCGAAGAGCTGGCCGTCTGTGACTTCCTCGCGGGCCTTGCGGATGGCGAGGAGGTAGGAGTCGTAGTACCAGAGGAAGCGGCGCTTGCAGAGGTCTTTGAAGGGCTCGAATGCTGTGAGGGATTCGTCGGAGTTGGAGTCGAGGGAGTCGGAGTCGGAGTCGGTGGTGAGGGGGGGGAGGATGGTGCCGTTGGCGGCGATGCCGAGGTATTCTTCGAGGCGTTGGATGATGGAGATTCGGAGGGTTTCGTGGCGGATCTGGGGTGTGTTAGCAGGGTTGTTTCGGTGGGGGGTGTTTGGTATGAGGTTGGCTGGCTTACCTTCATAACGTAGTTCTTTTGGTTCTGTTTGTCTTCTGAGCTCTTGGCGGACTCGTAGCCGGGCTCGTTCTCATAGGGGTTGGAGGACATGAGGCTTTGGATGGAGATTAAGATCGATTCGAGACCTTGGGCTGATGACCATTCCTCTCCTCTTTCTCCGCGCCAGGTGCTGAGATCGTACGTTAGTAGATATCTTGCATTATAGGGCTGGGGTGAAGTTACCCAAGAATTGACCTAGTTTCATGTCAGTATAGTTCTCAGAATATACTCCATTGCCGGGATTAACTTACAGGCACACCTTCCCCTGTGCGTATATGTTGGGGTTGAAGCGGCATCTCCCGCCATTCGTGGTGGTTGCATTGATCGAGGGCGCCTTGGCTGGGTAATCTGTGTGGTGGTTTAGTGTTGGTTCAGTGGTGGCTGCCAGTGAGGCTGCCTGGGAAGGCTAGGGGAGGCTCATGGTACACACCTTTGCCAAACCTGACTGCAAACTACCAGGCTGTCAGAATTGTATATTTTTGAGTAGATATGTATGTCCATCACTCACCTCGAAGAACCCAAACTCGTATGGGGTATCTGGGGGACCTAAGATAATGGCGCGGACGTTTCGAACGTCGACATCTCGGCAGGCAACTCCTATAGCTGTAGAGGGGTCGTGTCAGCCTGAGCCTGGCAGGTATTGGGTATGGAGTATATGATATGAAACTGGGGGGATTCCGTACATAGATCGTTGGACTTCTGGATGCCGCTCAGCTCCTACATGTATTGTCAGTCTGGGGCCCCAACACGTCAAGAGCCAAATGCCCTTCTCGGCGGGGTCACATACCTTTGCGATGCGAATGATTCCGTGGTTTGACATGTTGGCGATATCAGAATGGCTCACTCAGCGAGCTTCTTGTGTTGAAGGTTGAGAGGGGGGAGAAAGCATGAAGAAAGTAGGATGGTAGATCAGGCAACCTGGTGGGCTACCTAACGAGTTTGATTCTGGGTGGGGAGGAGAATGGTGTGGTTTTGAGGATGTTGTGTTGGGTGTGTTGGCTGTTGACTGTTTGGAGTGGTCAGTCAGAAGAGGGAGGGTAAGGCAGAATATGGGCTGGGTATGGGCTGGCAGCGTACTATCAAGGTGTGCGGCTAAGGGAGTTTGGTGGGGGTGTTGGCTTGGTGTGTGCTTCTACCGCTTGCTGGCTCTAAACTGAACTATCCTGATCTAGGGAAAGTGGGAGCGGGCGGGTATTGTGAGGCTAAGGCTGAAAGAGGGATAGTGTGGGAGAGGAGTGTGAGTGTAGGAGAGGGGGAGAGTGTGGCAGATTTGTAGGGAAGAGGGAAGGGCACTGGGGATGACCTGAGGCTGTACTGTGGTGGCAGTTATTGGGATGTACCGAGATGTACCGAGCACGGGGTGCGTATGTAGGAGAGTAGACGCCGTGGATAACACCGATCGACTGCCAACAAATCAACCCCGCGGCTATTTGATCAGGGAGCAAAGAGGAGAGGTAGTAGAGAATAGAGAATATTGTCAGTAGTATAGAGTATAGAGTATAGAGTATATGGAGTATATTTGCATACCTGAGTATGAATGCTGTCTTTGTTCTTCCTGTCTTTGTTCTGTGATATCAGCCTTTGGTTTTGTTGACACTAAGCACTCCCTGTGTCATGCCTGTTGCTGTTTTATGCTTTGTCTGTCAATGTATGTACTGTCTGTTTGATGCTTTATCCGTTGCTGTATGCACCATTTGTTTGATGCTTTATCTGTCACTGCGTGTACTGTCTGTTTGATGCTTCTACACTCTCCTCAGCCTCGACCCTAAGGCTGGCTATATATAAGGCCACACAGATCGGGCATCTGTTCACTAGTGTGTGAATCCCTCCACGTACCATTCCCTCGTTGCCATTCCCTTGTTGTCATTCCCAATTGCCGGTACTCTACCTTTTCAGGCCAGGTGTATTCACGTGATGCTCCGTATCGTCTGTATATATAGTATATATAGAGTATTCAGAGAACTAAATATACTGTAGTCGTCTCGTTCTATGGTACCCAGCCCATATACGATGCATGGCGCTGTTCTGTTCTTAGTCACCTGACTCTAACGGCTCAACTCTTCTCTAGCGTGAGTATATTTATGTCTGTCTGTCTGGCCCATCCATGGTTGCTCCGCAACAGCCACGTGACTGCCACCCCCCTCCCTTAGCTGCAATTGGGCCGCAACGGTAGGCGGTGGGCGGTGGGAAGAAAAAGGAGAAGGGCGAAGGATTAAGGGGGATAAATTTGGAAGCGTGAGGGGGGATCCAATCACTGTACACCACATTCCTCTAAGATCCTCTAAGATCCTCCTATGGTGATGACAAAACGAGAAACTAGAAAATGGCCCCAATGTTCGCTGGCATGTTCGTATACAAACTTATTATAGATAGTAGTAGACAGGTAGGTAGACAGAGAGACAGGTAGACGGGTAGACAGATATAGACAGATAGCATAGGCCACGACACAGTGTACCCTACCATACAATATTGTATGCACAGGTACCTCTAACCCATACTTTTGTAACTCTAACGCCTCCTCCCAGCGCTTGTTTCTTCTTCCCGGCCCCCTTCCTTCGCTAGAGCCAATTCCATACACCCAGAGTCCACACAGCCCACACACCTAACACACTCTACTACTGTGCCGTGCCGCATTTACTTACTCGCTGTCTAAATCTACTTCTGCTGCCTCTCTGCACCCTGCACGGTCCATGTCACTTTCACACCTCGTGCCCGCTGCAGAGTGACTTCAAACACACTACCTCTCTCAGGGTATCCTATGTACCTTGCGACAGAGACGGACTGTGCTTCTTCCCCTTCATCCCTCCTCCTAATCCCTCCTAATCCCTCCTACTCCTCCTAACTCCTCCCCATTCTTCTCCTCCTACTGGCTACTTACTGGCCCTCCTACTGGCCCTCCACTCACCAAACGAAGAAAGTTACTAAAGTTACCTCGTACCTTTAATTACTCCGCAACCTCGCATCTCACAAGTCACAAGTCGCTCAATATAGCACTCTGCTGCAACTACACCACTATACTACCACCACCACCTACTTCACGTCCCTCATGCGCTTACCTCCGTCATCTACATCGAGAGCTTCAATGAATGTGTCTCGCTGCCTCTGTTTGATTCTTCCTCCAGCGTTCAGCCTCGACACCTTCCACGAGCTAGCGTGTTGAGAACAACTCCTCCTCCTCCCGACACAGAGAGAGAGATAGCTCAGGGCCTCATCCAACCGTCCTTGGCAAAACCACAGAGTGGCTTGTCGCGCTTCATTCTCGTGGGATACCAATACCATATCCCGGAGAGCTGCTTCGGCTCCTGTCTCGATACTACTTCGGTGTTTGATCTCCTACAACAATCGCGCTCGTTAATACCCTCGTTTGCTTTCACGCCTGGGCCATACACGACGCCCTTTGCTTCTACTGTTTTGGCTTCGATCTGTCCTGTCCTCCACCACCAACCAAACCACGAGCGAAGTGGCGCATACCCGGCGATACGACCCCTCCGACTCTGATCGCGACAAAGTAGGGAATAAAGGGATACATCAAGCTGGCATACTCTTCTGGCTCCGATAATGGGTCCTCAATCGGAGGGAGGTCCCCCTGGTCCCAGCTGGGCATATGGAGGCCCACCGCCGTCGGGAGAGGATAATCGCTATCAATCCAGTCGGGATATGGGCCCTTCAGGCTACCCACAACAACAACAGCAGCAGCAGCAGAATCTCCCACGCCAAAACCAAAACAATGGCTACGACCAGGCCAATCGAGGACCACCACCACCATCGCTCCAGACCAACCAAAGAATGGACAACATCGCAGGAGACGCACATAAAGACAGTTCCGAACGGGATCGCTCGCGGCACCGTGGCGGAAAGAGGACGGGGAGCGGGCAACTCCGTCTATGCAAGAAGTGCGGCGAGCCCCTCACCGGGCAATTCGTGCGTGCACTCGGCGGCACGTTCCATCTCGATTGCTTCAAATGCAAGGCAAGTCTACCTATCCCGTGTGTTCTATATTTGGAGAAGACTCGGCTAACAGTATCGCTTTGCAGGATTGCGGACAAATCGTCGCGTCAAAGTTCTTCCCGGTAGATGATGAGGGGGGCCAAGGCCAATACCCATTATGCGAAACAGATTACTTTCGACGCTTAGGCCTACTATGCCACCAATGCGGCGGGGCACTGCGAGGCTCGTATATCACGGCGTTGGAGCGCAAGTACCATATAGACCACTTTACGTGTTCGGTATGCCCTACGGTTTTTGGCGCACAGGACAGCTACTACGAGCACGATGACAAGGTCTACTGTCATTACCATTACTCGACACAATTCGCACAACGCTGCAATGGCTGTCAGACTGCGATTTTGAAGCAGTTTGTGGAGATATTCAGGAATGGACAAAATCAGCACTGGCATCCAGAGTGTTATATGATTCACAAGTTCTGGAATGTAAGGCTCGCTGAAGCGTCGTCAGAACCGCCGCCAGAGCGACCCCTCCTCAAAGATGCCTCAGATGTCGAGGCTCGTAATTTGGTACGCGATGAGGAGGAGAGGATGGAAGAGAAGGTGTACAGAATCTGGAGCGTGCTTTCGACGTTCGAGGAGTCCTCGGCGGCGAATATCTCGGATATGCTGCTTCATGTCAGCAACGGTGCCTATGTGGATGGAGTACTTACAGCCAAGAAGTTTATCTGGCATGTTGATCTCCTCTTCAAATCTGCAGATAAACTGGATGCCGTCATATCCCAGCAGGGCGTTAAAGGTACTACGTCGCATATGGCCAGCCGCGATCAGAAGCTAACCCATAGTGCAGGTCTCTCTTACTCGAGAGAAGCGAAACTGTTATGCAAGAAGATAGTCGCGTTCTTTGCGCTGCTGTCGAAAACTCAGGAGACAGGTGTTAGGAAGCTTGGCGTGACACAGGAACTCCTTTCGCTTGTCACGGGATTGGCACATTATCTCAAGCTTCTTATCAGGATATGCCTCCAGGGAGCACTCAGGGTTGAACGCGAAATGAAGAATACCCATGGACTGGACCTGTTCCTGGGCGACCTCGGCGATGTGGACCAAGTCCGAGACGACGAGAAATCTTTGGAGGAGACAACTGGCACGACGGGCCTTGCGGGAGCCGCCTCGGATCAATGCACGCATTGCCAACGGCCTATAGAAGACGAGTGCGCCCTTATTGGCGAGAAGAGGTGGCATCTGTCCTGTTTAAGCTGTAGCGTCTGTTCTCGGGATCTCAGTCATAACCTCGAAGACGTGCGATGGAGCGATTCCGACAGGGTACTATACTGCAACAACTGCCAGAACCGGTCGCCAGATTCCGTTTCTGGATTTACTCACGTTACGCGATTACAGCAATATGTGTTCCTGCTGAGGGTGGCGCTTGCGAGACTGTTGGTGATGCTGAGGAATAGCGGTACGCTGCCACACACTTCTGATAATCCAAACTTGAATGGTTATAATTCACAGGAAGGCCATCGGCTCGGCGAGTCGTCAGATCAACACCCAGCCGCTCTCACGCAGGAGAGTCGGTCTAAATCCTACGGCGGCACGAGCGAGGAGAACCCGCGAGAGTCGTCGTATGAGAACACACTCAACGATGTGAGGAGGTTGCGCAGCACGCGTATGGACAAGCACTTATCTTCGACTATCAAGAAGGCGAGGACGTCGCGTATTATGGATGGACCGGAGAGCCGGAGTGTGCGGCCCGGGTCCGCTGGAGCTGATGGGTCTGATACGAGGAATAACGACTTTCACATCGTGGAGGAGCGGGATAACCAAGGCGAGCCGAGATCGGAACTCTTGTTCGGACACCAGGATGCTCTTACCCTTGATGATATCCCCAGGATCGTCGCGGCTGAGCAAGCAAAGGAGCAGAGGCCGAACGCCTATAAACACGCCCGACACGAGTTATTCAAGACATCTATCACGGAACCCAAGCTACTGAATGGACACCAGAGGACCTACTCCAACGCCAACGAGCTCGACAACCCCAATCTCGAGAGCGAACCCTCCCCACAGCGCGGACCGCCCGGAAAGCGCTATTTCTCCGAACTCACCGCGCTCGAATACTTCATCGTTCGCCACGTAGCCGTATTATCGATGCAGCCCTTACTAGATGGCCACTTCACGCTCGAAGAGCTCTTAGGACTCATCGAATCGCGCAAACCGACATTCTGGGATAAATTCGGCAAGGCGTTCAAGAATGACAGCCGCAAGGGCGCCAAGAAGAAGGGCGTCTTCGGCGTGCCGCTCGAAGCGATCATCGAGCGAGACGGCGCGGACTCAACGGATGGCGTTGGGCCCGGCAGCTTGCGCATCCCGGCCTTGGTGGATGATGCGATTTCGACGATGCGGAAGATGGACTTGTCTGTCGAGGGCGTGTTCCGGAAGAACGGGAATATCAAACGGCTCAACGAGGCGGTGGCGGCGATCGACAAGGACGGATGCGACGCGGTGGACTTATCGAGCGAGAATGTCGTCCAGGTCGCTGCGCTGCTGAAGAAGTACCTTCGGGAGCTGCCTGATCCATTGCTGACGTTTAAGTTGCATCGGCTGTACATCACATCCCAAAAGATCGCGGATGAAGATAAGCGCCGTCGCGTGCTTCATCTCACGTGCTGTCTGCTACCCAAGGTGCATCGCGATTGTCTTGAGATCCTGTGCTCGTTCCTCAACTGGACGGCGTCGTTTCATCAGGTCGATGAGGAGTCGGGGAGTAAGATGGATACGCATAATCTGGCGACGGTGATCGCGCCGAATATCCTGTTTACGAATACGAAGAATGCGGGGATGGATGATAGTTTTTTGGCGATTGAGGCGGTGCATTCGCTTATTGAGTGTAATGACCAGATGTGTGAAGTAAGTTTTTACCCCTTTCCTTTCCCCTCCTCTCCCCTCCTCTCCCCTCCTCTCCCCTCCTCTTCCTCCCCAACCCCCCCAAACAAAAAAAACACCCCCTTTACTAACAACCCCCCCCTTTTAGGTCCCAGAAGACCTCCAATCCATCCTCAACGACTCCTCCCTCTTCTCCAACCCGAGCGACATCACCACCAAAGAAATCCTCAAACGCTACGGCGACATCGCTGCTAACGGCGGGCCCCGCCACACCGTCGAGACAACCCAGGGCCCTGCGCGCTCCCACGACAGTGGTAGTGGTCGCGCACACGCCCACCCGGTCGTGACGCGCGTTGAGACGGAGAACTCGCAGAATGGGACGTGGCAGAACGAAACTAGTGTAAGACACGTTCAAGAGGGGTCCGGTAACGGCGCTGGGGGCGGGTCGGGGGGTAGTCAGGGGCAGGGCCAGAGTCAGACCACCCCGCCGCAGCAACAGTGGCAGGGGCCAGGGGAGGATCTAGAGCACCCGTCGCCGTATGGACAGCGTGATGGGTCGGGGTCGGGGTACCCGAGTAGAGAGAAGTTACCGTTTGTGCAGAGGGAGGGGAATGGCACGCCGGATAGTCATAAGGAGAGGAGTGGGTGGAGGCATTCTGCTTGGGGGAGGAGTGGGGGTGGGGGGGGACAGCAGCAGCAGCAGCAGGGGGGGCCGGGGCAGGGACAGCAGCAGGGACAGCAGAATGGTGGGATGGGGGTTATGGGGACGAGCTAGTCGACCCGGCTTGTTTGACTGTCTCTCTTGATGAATTAATGCGATTGAAAGAAGAGAAAAACCCGACATTGGCGAAAACGCGATACCTCCTTTTTTTTTGCACATAACGAAAGTACATATCTGGATCAATTCAGCGGTTGTTGTTTTGCTGTTTTTTGTTTTTTGAGAGGAGAATGGGGGGATATACCAGAACTCTGCGAGCTGCCATCGACACCATACCATACCATACCCAACTACCGACACTTGAGCTTTTGAGCGAAGAGAAAAAAAAAGCGAAAGTGAGGAGTCCTCACCAAACTCTGCGATTTTGTTTGCGAGGGATTCGATTCGCCACCATGCCGTCAATCAGCAATCAAAAAATACCCTACTTCTTTTCACTCCAAAAATCGAAAATCGAAAATCGAAAAGTCCGCCTTATTCCCAAAATCGCAGCGTTTCCACCTCATCATCCTCATCCCCCCCTATCGTCAAATACGACAACTTGAAACTAGGGGGGTAGGGGCATCTTCTTTACATCCCCCGCTTCGCCCTTCTTTTTCTCCGACTTGGGATGTTTATTTTGCGCGCATTCCCACGGGCGTTTTTTTGTGTTGTGTCCCATGTCGATGGAAAGGGGGAATCGCGATTGGATAGCTTATAATTTTCTTCGACGGGGTATTGTAGTACGCTGCAGTACGCCCACCACCTTTATTCGCTCCCCCCCACCTGCTCGCTATCTCTCTCGCACACCAACGCCGTCGTCGCCGTCGTCGTTCTCAACTCCTTGGATTTCCACGAAGACGCCACCACGAACGACGCCAAACATCCCATTGGAGGCCAGCCATACCGGCTTTGAGTGTTTTTTTTTTTGTGTTGGATTCGGGGATATACTCTCGTGTTTGTTTTTCATGTTGGTGGGGTAGGGGGGCTCAGCGAACGAGCTCTTTTTTGTTACCAGCAGCACCGCTGGAGTGCGGGTGTGGATGCTGGCCGTGCATCTGTTGAGTGGTGTCGAAAATTGTGAGGGGTGGGGGTGGGGGATATAGGATAGCGGCCCTGACGGGGTCCTGATGAAATAGGGGTCCTAGTAGGCCGAGGTTGTGTCGTTCTGAGCGTTATGATGAAGAGGTGGGAGGAGGAGGATGAAAAAGGGAAGATACGCGGGGGGCAGCTCCGCGTCCGTTTGAGTAAAGTAAAGCGCTCTCGCTGGAAAAGGAATGAGGACCAGGGATGGAGATTATGGATGGGGGATCAGGGGCAGGGCAGGGCAGGGCATGGCATCGCGGGGGGGGACGCGGGAGGGACGCGTGCGTGCGTGCGTGCGTGCTTGCGTGCGTGCGTGCGTGCTTGCGTGCGTGCGTGCGTGCCTGCGTGCGTGCCATCTTGTGGTATACTACAGGTGTTAATGTAGAATGAATGAATGGGAGTGTGAATGTTGTAAAGATGGTGTGCTGTTTTTTGGTTGTGTGATGATATGTGATGTGAAATGGTAACTAAATTACAATATATACTATGAGCAACGGATTACGCCAACGCGCAGTCCTCTCCTCGTAGAGCTTATGTTTCCCGGACCCATCGATGTTGAAGCGATACACGCTGCCCCCGAGGTCAGAGGCGTAAATAAATTCGTTCTCGACATCAAGCTGCAATCCAATCGCCTCATGCAGTCCTCCCAAAATTATCTCATACCCCCAGTTTCCGCTCTAACCCCGACTTTCCTGCAGCGGGTCCACAGCGATCCCAAGGCACCAGCGCGTTTGATCAGCCTTGTTTGGGGGGGGGTTGGAATACCCGGTCTGGATTAGATTAGGGTTGTGGGGTCGGAGGCGTTGGGAGGTATGATGAGAACGTCGAGGAGGCGCTGAGGTTAACGCACGACGAGGACGCTATGGCACCACGCGCGCTTCGGGTCGCATCAGCCGCAGGCTACGCGGGTAGCACGATGAACTCACCTCTGATACCCACCGCGTTGTCTGAGGCAGGAGCTTATATAGATGCTTCGTGGTAGGGGCAGTGTGCGGCGAATCACCCCCCGAATACTATTCGGCGATCCGCCGAATCATTCATATTTTTGAGGTATTCGCCGAATCATGACTCGAATCTT